TTTACTGGCACCATCAGAGGCATAACTGTACTGACACCATCAGAGACATAACTTTACTGGCACCATCAGAGACATAACGTTACTGTCAGCATCAGAGACATAACTTTACTGCCACCATCAGAGACATAACTTTACTGGCACCACCAGAAACACAACTTTACTGGCACCATCAGATGCACAATGTTACTGGCACCATCAGTGACACAAATTTACTGGCACAATCAGTGACATAACTTTACTGGCACCATCAGTGGCATAACTTTACTGGCACCATCAGAGACAAAACTTTACTGGCACCATCAGAGACATAACTTTACTGGCACCACCAGAAACACAACTTTACTGGCACCATCAGATGCACAAATTTATTGGCACAATCAGTGACACAACTTTACTGGCACCATCAGTGACATAACTTTACTGGCACCATCAGTGGCATAACTTTACTGGCACCATCAGGGACATAACTTTACTGGCACCATCAGAGACATAACTTTACTGGCACCATCAGAGACATAACTTTACTGGCACCATCAGAGACATAGCTTTACTGGCACCATCAGAGACATAACTTTACTGGCACCATCAGAGAAGTAACTTTACTGGCACTATCAGTGGCATAACTTTACTGGCACCATCAGAGACATAACTTTACTGGCACCATCAGAGATATAACTTTACTGGCACCATCAGAGACATAACTTTACTGGCACCACCAGAAACACAACTTTACTGGCACCATCAGATGCACAATGTTACTGGCACCATCAGTGACACAAATTTACTGGCACAATCAGTGACATAACTTTACTCAGTACCATCACCATCAGGGCATAGACTTTACTGGCACCATCAGAGACATAACTTTACTGGCACCATCAGAGACCATAACATTTTACTGGCACCATCAGAGACATAACTTTACTGGCACCATCAGTGACATAACTTTACTGGCACCATCAGAGACATAACTTTACTGGCACCACCAGAAACACAACTTTACTGGCACTATCAGATGCACAATGTTACTGGCACCATCAGTGACACATAATTTACTGGCACCATCAGTGACATAACTTTACTGGCACCATCAGTAACTTTACTGGCATCAGAGACATAACTTTACTGGCACCATCAGAGACATAACTTTACTGGCACCATCAGAGACATAACGTTACTGTCAGCATCAGAGACATAACTTTAACTTTACTGGCACCACCAGAAACACAACTTTACTGGCACCATCAGATGGCACCATCAGATGCAACTTTACTGGCACCATCAGATGCACAATGTTACTGGCACCATCAGATGACACAAATTTACTGGCACAATCAGTGACATAACTTTAACTGGCACCATCAGTGGCATAACTTTACTGGCACCATCAGTAACTTTACTGGCATAACATAACTTTACTGGCACCATCAGAGACATAACTTTACTGGCACCATCAGAGACATAACTTTACTGGCACCATCAGAGACATAACTTTACTGGCACCATCAGAGACATAACTTTACTGGCACCATCAGAGACATAACTTTACTGGCACCATCAGAGACATAACTTTACTGGCACCATCAGAGACATAACTTTACTGGCACCATCAGATGTACAAATTTATTGGCACCATCAGTGACATAACTTTACTGGCACCATCAGAGACATAGCTTTACTGGCACCATCAGTGACACAACTTTACTGGCACCATCATAGATATAACGTTAGTAACACCATCCGAAACACAACTTTACTGGCACCATCAGATGCACAATGTTACTGGCACCATCAGTGACACAAATTTACTGGCACCATCAGAGACATAACTTTACTGGCACCATCAGATGCACAACTTTACTGACACCATCAGAGACATAACTTTACTGGCACCATCAGTGACATAACTTTACTGGCACCATCAGAGACATAACTTTACTGGCATCATCAGAGACATAACTTTATTGGCACCATCAGAGACATACCTTTACTGGGACCATCAGGGAAATAACTTTACTGGCACCATCAGGGACATAGCTATACTGGCACCATCAGGGGCATAACTATACTTGGACCAGCAGGGACATAACTATACTGGCACCATCAGTGACATAACTTTACTGGCACCATCAGGGGCATAACTAAACTGGGACCAGCAGATGCATAACGTTACTGGCGCCATCAGAGATATAACTTTACTGGCACCATCAGTGACATAACTATACTGGCACCATCAGAGGCATAACTTTACTGGCACCATCAGAGACATACCTTTACTGGTACAATCAGTGACATAACTTTACTGGCACCATCAGAGACATAACTTTACTGGCACAATCAATGACATAAGTAACATCGCTCTCGCATAATGACTGCTGACTCTCCAGCAGTTCTCACGTCAGTCAAATATCTATTCATATATTCAATTCTGGCAATGTTTCATATTTCCAGTGGCGCAAAACGTTTAGATTGCATGGTTTAAACTCATGATATGAACCAGCATAAGACACGACACACAGACTCAGTCCTGGACACACCTTGGTGTTACTGTCCTGAATACAAGGAACCAGTATAAGACACGACACACAGACTCAGTCCTGGACACACCTTGGTGTTACTGTCCTGAATACAAGGAACCAGTATAAGACACGACACACAGACTCAGTCCTGGACACACCTTGGTGTTACTGTCCTGAATACAAGGAACCAGTATAAGACAGGACACACAGACTCAGTCCAGGACACACCTTGGTGTTACTGTCCTGAATACAAGGAACCAGTATAAGACACGACACACAGACTCAGTCCAGGACACACCTTGGTGTTACTGTCCTGAATACACAAGGAACCAGTATAAGACACGACACACAGACTCAGTCCTGGACACACCTTGGTGTTACTGTCCTGAATACAAGGAACCAGTATAAGACACTGACACACAGACTCAGTCAAGGACACACCTTGGTGTTACTGTCCTGAATACAAAGGAACCAGTATAAGACACGACACTTCCAGTCAGACTCAGTCCTGACACCTTCAAGCAATGTTACACACAGATAAGACACACACACAGTCAGTCAAGGACACACCTTGGTGTTACTGTTACTGTCCTGAATACAAGGAACCAGTATAAGACACGACACACAGACTCAGTCCTGGACACACCTTGGTGTTACTGTCCTGAATACAAGGAACCAGTATAAGACACGACACACAGACTCAGTCAAGGACACACCTTGGTGTTACTGTCCTGAATACAAGGAACCAGTATAAGACACGACACACAGACTCAGTCCTGGACACACCTTGGTGTTACTGTCCTGAATACAAGGAACCAGTATAAGACACGACACACAGACTCAGTCCTGGACACACCTTGGTGTTACTGTCCTGAATACAAGGAACCAGTATAAGACACGACACACAGACTCAGTCAAGGACACACCTTGGTGTTACTGTCCTGAATACAAGGAACCAGTATAAGACACGACACACAGACTCAGTCCTGGACACACCTTGGTGTTACTGTCCTGAATACAAGGAACCAGTATAAGACACGACACACAGACTCAGTCCTGGACACACCTTGGTGTTACTGTCCTGAATACAAGGAACCAGTATAAGACACGACACACAGACTCAGTCCTGGACACACCTTGGTGTTACTGTCCTGAATACAAGGAACCAGTATAAGACACGACACACAGACTCAGTCCTGGACACACCTTGGTGTTACTGTCCTGAATACAAGGAACCAGTATAAGACACGACACACAGACTCAGTCAAGGACACACCTTGGTGTGACTGTCCTGAATACAAGGAACCAGTATAAGACACGACACACAGACTCAGTCCTGGACACACCTTGGTGTTACTGTCCTGAATACAAGGAACCAGTATAAGACACGACACACAGACTCAGTCCTGGACACACCTTGGTGTTACTGTCCTGAATACAAGGAACCAGTATAAGACAGGACATACAGACTCAGTCCTGGACACACCTTGGTGTTACTGTCCTGAATACAAGGAACCAGTATAAGACACGACACACAGACTCAGTCCTGGACACACCTTGGTGTTACTGTCCTGAATACAAGGAACCAGTATAAGACAGGACACACAGACTCAGTCCTGGACATACCTTGGTGTAACTCTCCTGAATACAGGGAGCCAGTGTAAGACAGGACACAGGCTCACTTTCTAATTTGGACGAAACACCGATTACGACTTCTAATAATAATGATAATAGCAATAAGTATAAGAAGCATCAGCGTCAAATTCTAATCTGTTTGCTCTGTTCTGATTTTGGTTCCAGTATCTACTGATGGAACGAATAAGGAAACGCGTGGAAGTACAAGTGCCCTTTCTTTGTTCCGAGATTTTCACCAAAAATGCATTACAAAGTAAACGAAGAAGCCTGGAAAAGAAGATAGTAACATTGAACTTTCAGGTTTGCCTTTGGTAGTGTGTCAATGTCGATTATCTGAATGCTTTCGCTCGCCAAACAAGTGAAACGCCTTTCCTCCCTAACGTTTCGCCGCTTGCTACCTCTCATCTTAATCCCCCTTCACAACATTTCGAGGTACAATAAAGTACCATTCAGGCTGTTTGTGCCGTTGTTTTGGTGCGAGGGTAATGCCAGGGTGTAACCTTGATTTGTGACTAATCATATACAACTCCGACATGCTTCTGCAGAGTGAAATCGTCCAGCGGAAACCAACAGGCGGGTGGGACTTTTGGTCCTGACGGAAACGCAGAACCGCACGGCTAAAGGAGAGGCCATGTACAACACGACATTGGAGAGTACGAGCTACCCGATTAAAGCAACTCAGCCCTGTGGGCGCGGCGAGTGATGATTAATAACTGCAGGTTGACGGGACAGCGTCATCGTCCACCATAACTCAGCGTTGTGTTTACCCGTCAATCCAACATCCCCAGGGAGCGATTTATAACTCATATTCACGACTGGGTGGGACAGAGCTGGGTATATAACGTGTCAGTCCCTCCCCACACATCATCACAGTCTACCCGTGGTACATTGTGTTTAAATCGGGCTCTTTTAACTCAGGAACACAGTGCATGCGAGAACTTCAATACGTGCAGGCTGTTCTCACATCCCATCATGCATCTGGCGTCAGTAGTTCTCACCATAGTGGCACTCTCCACAACAGCCGCTAAGGTAAGAAGAGTTTTTTAAATTATTATATAACCCTGTGTAACTGTAAACTGTATTTCTTAGTTGCCTGACACAGTCACGCTATTCTCAGGTTCTACTGCCATTAACCAATGTAGGAAAATAGTTTGTCATTTGACATCAAACTGCTGGATATCTTTTCTGAGTGTTCACGTTTCAAAATACTTCAATATGATATCAGTTATATCAAATCAGACAATCGTATTTAACCGCTGTCAAAAAAAGGTCAAAATATGTTTATTTGTATGTAAGGCCACCGGCCCATATACAGCGGTTACAAAGAAGGTTCTCATTTAGGAGGATAACAATTGTTTTCTTAACATAATAGCATGATGGATATACAGTGATAATCTTTTTAAAATGGAGACATCGCATGAGGAAACAATTTTGTCGGGAACATGGGCCAGCATGGGTTGTCAAGAGTTCTCAGTCGGGCCACTAGACAGGATTACAGGTGGAAAGAAACCACTTCTCAAACTTCCAGCAGAGTTTGACACTGTTCAGGAAACACGGTCTCTGTCGCCGTCAACACGGGCAAACCGAAATGGTTGTTTTACATAACAAGTTTCCAAACGTCCTCTCTTCTCAAAACGCCATAGTTCCATTTCGTCGGACACAGTTTTGTTTGACTTCGCTATACATCGCTAGATACGAGAGAAAACAGTGATAAAATAATACAAATAATAATTCATTAGGAAGTAAAACAATACCAAAACATGATAATATCAACATTTAATACAACACGCAACGATCATACATTAAGTAACACTCTCGATATCACTTTGATGAATATTAGAACTTTCTAATATAAATACACAAAACAGATGAACAGATGAAGTTAGGTACGTTAAAACAGCAAATAGTAAATGCTGTTCTAAATTGAAGATACAAAATGTTTGATAGACGTACTAGGCAATATAAACATGTACTTCTATAAAGTAATTTGTTTGAATGAAGCACATTGTACAGACTTTCCCGAGAGACACTGTAATGTTCTAAACTCTCGTACTTCAGCAAAACTCTCTATTCTCAGGGTTTTATATTGTATATATCTAAACAGTGAACATAGATTGAATGTTTATCACTCCCAATGGCGAACGTGTTAACAGTCTGTGCAGTTAACAGTATTATGGTGAAGCGTGATGTTATTAGGCCTGTATACATCTGTACATATATTTACAGTTATAGTTACACTGCTCTAAAACTAGTACCCTATATACATTTGTTTTTAAAAATATATCTAAAACTTGTCTAATTAAACTCGTTGGTCCCTTCATCAATCGTTAAAAACGAAAATAAAAGAAGTTTAATCATAAAATATCTTGGATTTTAAATGCCACTGAAAGACATTATCTAAAACTTGTTGCTGAAATCGTTAATGAAAATGACATGATTTTTATTATTTCTTTTAAGATAGTTTATGATACAATTAAGGATTATCGTAGAATGTCTTTTAAATTAATAAACATTAATATTATTCCTTAAAATGACTGCAAGATAATAAGGTTGATGTTTGATATGAAAGTTCTTCTGGTTAACTACACCTGTAGATGGGATGAGGATAATTACACCTGTAGATGGGATGAGGATGGCGTTCTCTATTTTGACACCTCTTCTGTGAAATGTCGTTACATCTTTCAGAATCATGAGAGCGGTTCGTTTTTATTATCGATATGACACGTTTGCTCCCTGCTCTTATATCAATACAATACATGTATTTGTGATCAGAATCGGAATGCTCCGTCTACAACTTCAGGAACGCCGAAGCATGCCTCATTAGACTGGTACATCTCAATGAAGGTAGCAGCTATTACGTTCATTGCTTCTCCGTCCGAGATTTGCAGACTTTGGTTTCTGCAAATGTTAAAAGACAGGCCCCTCACAAGACCGATTTAACGGAAACCAGGCTTTATGAAATCGCCTACAATCAGGGAATCAAATCGCTGTTCACCTGCTCCTTGAGTTCAAGGTATAGACATCGTCTGCATGCAGCTGATCTTTTTAGAGGGTAGAAACTTGAATATTTAAATGTTTCCAACGTGGGCTTTCTAGAGTCCACGTTTCGGAGTTTGCCTGTAATAATATTTGGGGTGATAAACATGACTGCCACATCGCCACTGCATATTGGCCATTGAAGCGGCAGAAGGCAGGACTACCGAGACAACACACTTGCGCTAATAGTTGCGCCATGCTGGAATATTCGCCAAATGTGGTCACTGACAGTCTCCAGCACATCTCCACAGTGTACCTGTGATCCGTGAGTCCGCCCTTCCACAATGCCACGTCATATAGACAAATGTTTGACCAATCGTGGTGGCATGAGCAGTTGTTGATCAAGTCATTTCGAACGTGTATTCTTCACTGCTTACCCCTGTAGTTCATTTTAGTTGTTTGCACCCTTCAATCATACACCGTCAACACGTTCTGTTTGTCAGGCTGCACCTCGTGTTGATTTCTTTTCCATTCAATATCATCTCACGATATATCTTTGTATTACTGTTAGTGTTTAATATCTCCTTCGTGTTTCGGGGATATATTTTTAATGCTCATTTTGTATAAATGCCAGTATTATGTTGTGCAAATACAAAAGTCACTGACAAATATTACAATAAGTTCCCAACACACATACACACGAGTAGTTAAAACCTGACCTGTGTTGCTTGAGGTTACTGAACAAACAACCGTCTTGTCCTCTGTCTTCACAGAGTGAAAGTCCTCTGGCCACCAACACTCCGCTCTCAACACCCTTTTGTGTGAAGTGGAAAGTAAACACTTCTGACATATACAACGAATAATTTAGAAATACGAAAATGTTTTACGAAGTCCGTTATTTCACATTTTATGCATCTCTATCTACAACATGTGTTGCCCACCACAAATAACACACTCAGCCGCAACGTACATTTTCAGTGGACTCTCTAGTGCAACTGACAGACGTGTCATTACTTAACACCTAATGCCGCCACATTAGCAGTATAAATATTTCTGTTCAGATAAATAATTCTCGCTATGTCATGTATTTGCTAACAGTTTTCGAAATTTCTCGAAATTTCGAGTTCTCGTATCGTTAGTTCTTACATATATTTGGACTTTTAACTATTTTATCGCTATTTCAATTTTCTTTTCAAAATTTCGAGTTTTGTACCGTTACTTCAATTATTCTCCCGCAATTAATATGTTCAGGTTTATATAGAGGATACTTCATGGGTCTAGTGAAATATGAGATGACAAATATATCAAATTCTACTGACAAACATATTACATCTATATTATTCTTCCGATTTGGTTTGATTGAATTTAAACATTGTTAATCCGAGAAAATTCTACCAACCATAAACTAAAGACTGTTCTGTTCTTTGTTGAGGCACACGGATAAGGCCCAGATAGTCGATAAATAAGATAAGTGTCTAGACAAAACAGATATGTATTAATTGCTATGTTTTTGTTGTTGTTTTGATTTATTGTTATTGTTTGAATGAGAGCACTTATAATAAGAGCATTAACCAATCCTCTTGGTCTTATCGTGAATGTCAAAACTCGGTGCTAGTGCACGAATACATTATAACCACATACAATCAAGGCGCGCGGGGAGAAAAGAAGATAGCGATTGAGAAAGCAAATCAACTATTACCGTGTCAATAAGCATTAATACAGGTGATGACCTCTGCCGATCGAGTGAAATAACGTCACTTGCACAAATGTGTCAAGTGTTTTTAACAGAGGTTTACAACCTTTCACTACAGTGAACATACCAAATTTCTGTCACTGCAGTGAAAATATCATTTTTTCTCAAATTCAGAAATCTGAGTCTTTCATAATTATGTATATGATAAAATAACGAGGAAAATAATCGAAAATAAGACAACTTTATCAAAGTAACGAACAAAAATCTAAATCTTGTAAAAAAATTTGAGATACGAGAAAATCATCGAAGTCCTTCAACGAACAAAATGTTCCTCGAAATATCGATTTTTAAATGGAACTTGAAATAACGAGAAAATACTCGAATAAACCATAAGTAAGCTCAAATTTCAAATTCGTATATGTACCTAACACAACGAGGAAATAATTGAAATTGCATGAAGTAACAACGGCATCTCGAGTTTTGGAAATATCATTATAGTCATAATAAAAATAGCCGGAATTACGAAAATGTGATGGAATAACGAGACAAAAGTCGAAATAGCAAAGATTTTACAGATTACTGAAATAACGAGAAATTTCGATTTAGAAAATATATGTATGATAGCCATTTTGTAAGTTACCGGGAACATTTAAATAATGCATTAAAATAAAACTCTACCATGACATCAGTAAATACTGGATTGTGATTGGTTGCTTGAAGTCAGTCAGAGGTATATAATAGCTCTAACTATATGAACGTATGCGTTCGGTTTTAAATCAAATTTAGAGCTATTATTATTTCGCTATATACCTCTGATTTTCCAACACACAGTATGCTTATCTCCTATGCATCGCCAACAAGTGACAGTCATTGCTTGACAAACCAGTCAGCCACTGAGGATGTCCCCCCACTGACGTTGTGTATGTGTTGTGTAACTGATAATGTAATCATGTGTATACATAAGGCGATGACTGAACCAAACATGTAAACCCAGCGATGACATTCGCACATAAGACTTAAAGACTTTCTGTGACACAGGTGAAGCAATTCGCCTCGCGCAGCTGTTCAGTTTCAGGTGTCACTCGGTAGGATTGTGCAGCTAAACCAAACAACGGACCAAAACTTCCCTTAAATTATACACAAATGTTCTTATTACATGTTCACAAACAATCTTGTTTTTCTAACAGACACCTTATTTCTTTTACAAACAAATTATACAATTAAAAGATAAGTCACTTATAGTAAGTGAACCCCTTGAACTGATGGAATAACTATTAGCGGCCATTTAGCATTTATACCGATGTAGGGGCGGTGGGGTAGCCTAGTGGTTAAGGCGTTGGCTCGTCACGCCGAAAACCCGGGTTCGATTCCCCACATGGGCACAATGTGTTAAATCCATTTCTGGTGTCCCCCGCCGTGATATTGCTGGAATATTGTTAAAAGCGGCGTAAAAATAAACTCACTCACTCACTCACTATACCGATGTAGGGAATGGAATTCTCGTGGCAGTATGAAATGAGGATTGTGGCGATCGACCACCCACTTCTGTCCTGCCGCCCCCACAAACACATTTGTCTGAATATTGTGGATCACCTGCCATCCCGTGGGCCCTGTTTATCCAGTCAGTGTAAGGAACAGGCTTTTCACTCACTTACACACCCACACTTATTTCCATCCTCGATTATCCAGTGTGTTATTCCCTGGACATTTTTTCTGCCATAGTTTCATTTATGACGTCACGCCTCTATCTTAATGATCTCATCACACACAAAGCTATGTGGATTGATTGGCTGAGTCGGCGCGATGTCTACGTCTGATAACAACACTGGACACTTTATACACTAAATAACCGAGGGCAGAATGTAAATTGGCTGGTCACGTGACACGTTTCGTCAATTAAGCCAATAAATTTGTTTCTATAGTCTATAATCCGCCTATCTGAGGGGAGACGTCTCCCACTATACCAGACGGCGTCAGACCAGGCGACTGTGGGCAGCGGTTATTAGCCTATGGGTGAGAACATAAACAACCGAACACAATAGCTGACCAACCCAACGCCCGCCCTGGAGACTAGTTGCGTTTTATCACACATGAGGATAGCTGTGTGAAATGACGGCGGTTATCGGGAACATTGACACTGATGATTGGTAGGTCAAGTGTATTATCACTGCTAATCTATGTGTGAAGGGGATTATCACGGATAGTGTCATTCAGAGTCTCTATGCGAGGATCCGGGACTGAGTCTGTTAGGATTAAGGAAAACCCTGCACACAAGTGGAAATAAAGAATGATGAAATACACACGCATGTTTATGTCATATATCTGTTGTATAACTCGCTAACTCCTTTATTCGTTATTTGGATTTACTATCAATAACTGTCCTCGCCGGGCTCTATAAACTCAGACCGCCTCCGTGGTGTAGTGGTTAGAGCGTCCGCCCGGAGAGCGGAAGGTCGCGGGTTCGATCCCCGACCGCGTCATACCAAAAGACGTTAAAATATGATACTTGTTGGTCCCTGTCTGGCACTCGGCATTAATGGGTACAACAAGGACTGGTCGGCTCGGAGTCAGTATAATGTGTCTGAGTGGGGTATTTATGCTTCACTGCGGCATGGTATCTCAGTGGGCTAGCACTATAAAACCAGCTTCAATCTGGGCTAGTACAAGCAGCCGCACGTACACACATACACACGCATGCACGTCGTCATATGAGCGAAATATTCTCAAGCACGACGTTAAACCCAATTTCACCTCACCTCACCTCTGTAAACTCAAGAATTGTCCTTTTCCCAATTCACACGCAAGAAATCGCTGACGGTTTTCCTTTTTTCGATATTGAATCCTGGATCAAAGTGTACGTATCATGAGATTAGTAAGGGCGGAGGACTGCGAAATGTGCAGTTTTTGTGTATGAACATTTTGTGATTGTTAAACCCGACGTGTATAAAGGGTTTATTCTCTTGCAGTTCCATGATTCCTTGACAACAGAAGATCTCAAACACTACTTCGGAACAGACGCCAGGAACAATGGTAGGTATTCATAAAGTCTAAGCACAATGGTACATACTAGTGTATTTCAGACACAGTGGTAGGTATTCATAAAGTCTAAGCACAATGGTACATACTAGTGTATTTCAGACACAGTGTTAGGTATTCATAAAGTCTAAGCGCAATGGTAGGTACTAGTGTATTTCAGACACAGTGGTAGGTACTAGTGTAGTTCAGACAGTGGTAGGTACTAGTGTAGTTCAGACACAGTGGTAGGTACTTGTGTAGTTCAGACACAGTGGTAGGTACTAGTGTAGTTCAGACACAGTGGTAGGTACTAGTGTAGTTCAGACACAGTGATAGGTACTAGTGTAGTTCAGACACAGTGGGAGGTAGTACTGTAGTTCAACACAGTGGTAGGTACTAGTGTAGTTCAGACACAGTGGTAGGTACTAGTGTAGTTCAGACACAGTGGTAGATACTAGTGTAGTTCAGACACAGTGGTAGGTACTAATGTAGTTCAGACACAGTGGCAGGTACTAGTGTAGTTCAGACACAGTGATAGGCACTAGTGTATTTCAGACACAGTGGTAGATACTAGTGTAGTTCAGACACAGTGGTAGGTACTAGTGTAGTTCAGACACAGAGGTAGGGTATAGTGTAGTTCAGACAGTGGTAGGTACTAGTGTAGTTCAGACACAGTGGTAGATACTAGTGTAGTTCAGACACAGAGGTAGGTACTAGTGTAGTTCAGACAGTGGTAGGTACTTTTGTAGTTCAGACAGTGGTAGGTACTTGTGTAGTTCAGACACAGTGGTAGGTACTAGTGTAGTTCAGACACAGTGGTAGGTACTAGTGTAGTTCAGACACAGTGGTAGGTACTAGTGTAGTTCAGACACAGTGGTAGGTACTTTTGTAGTTCAGACACAGTGGTAGATACTAGTGTAGTTCAGACATAGTCGTAGGTACTAGTGTAGTTCAGACACAGTGGTAGGTACTAGTGTATTTCAAACACAGTGGTAGGTACTAGTGTAGTTCAGACACAGTGGTAGATACTAGTGTAGTTCAGACACAGTGGCAGGTACTAGTGTAGTTCAGACACAGTGGTAGGTACTAGTGTAGTTCAGACAGTGGTAGGTACTAGTGTAGTTCAGACAGAGTGGTAGGTACTAGTGTAGTTCAGACACAGTGGTAGGTATTAGTGTAGTTCAGACACAGTGGTAGGTACTAGTGTAGTTCAGACACAGTGATAGGTACTAGTGTAGTTCAGACACAGTGTTAGATACTAGTGTAGTTCAGACATAGTCGTAGGTACTAGTGTAGTTCAGACACAGTGGTAGGTACTAGTGTAGTTCAGACAGTGGTAGGTACTAGTGTAGTTCAGACACAGTGGTAGGTACTAGTGTAGTTCTGACACAGTGGTAGATACTAGTGTAGTTCAGACATAGTGGTAGGTATTAGTGTAGTTCAGACAGTGGTAGGTACTAGTGTAGTTCAGACACAGTGGTAGGTACTAGTGTAGTTCAGACAGTGGTAGGTACTAGTGTAGTTCAGACACAGTGGTAGGTACTAGTGTAGTTCTGACACAGTGGTGTATACTAGTGTAGTTCAGACATAGTGGTAGGTATTAGTGTAGTTCAGACACAGTGGTAGGTACTAGTGTAGTTCAGACACAGTGGTAGGTACTTTTGTAGTTCAGACACAGTGGCAGGTACTAGTGTAGTTCAGACACAGTGGTAGATACTAGTGTAATTCAGACATAGTCGTAGGTAATAGTGTAGTTCAGACAGTGGTAGGTACTAGTGTAGTTCAGACACAAAGGTAGGGTATAGTGTAGTTCAGACAGTGGTAGGTTCTAGTGTAGTTCAGACACAGTGGTAGGTACTTGTGTAGTTCAGACAGAGTGGTAGATACTAGTGTAGTTCAGACATAGTCGTAGGTACTAGTGTAGTTCAGACACATAGGTAGGTACTAGTGTAGTTCAGACATAGTGGTAGGTACTAGTGTGGTTCAGACACAGTGGTAGATACTAGTGTAGTTCAGACAGAGTGGTAGGTACTAGTGTAGTTCAGACACAGTGGTAGGTACTAGTGTAGATCAGACACAGTGGTAGGTACTAGTGTAGATCAGACACCCTGGTAGGTACTAGTGTAGATCAGACAGTGGTAGGTACTAGTGTAGATCAGACACAGTGGTAGGTACTAGTGTAGTTCAGACACCCTGGTAGGTACTAGTGCACTAACTGTGCTATCCACACATACAGCACATGTCATGTCGTTTTTGCAGTACCGGAGTACGAGGTCGTCCACCCCGCCCCTGTGGCAGGAAGTCGTCACGCACGCACAAGCCACATCCCCCCACCCCTACTGAAGCACCGACAGAAGGGTCAAGTCCCCCCACCTCCCCTCAAGTACCGACTGAAGGCTTTAGGAGAGGAGTATGACCTTCACCTTCAACACAATCCACATCTGGTGGCGCCAGGTAAGGCCAGTTCCCACGTGACCAGGTGGTAAATTCCTTTCCATTGGTCCACATACATACATTCATATATGTGGCATTCTCAAATCTATAAGGCTTCAGTTTCCACAAAGATCCTAGTGTTGTATAAACTATATATACTCATGCCAATAATAGTTGTCACCCCCTTCAATTTTATTAATAGGCTGGGAGGTGACAACCATTATTGGCATGAGTATAGTTCCCTGTATTCATGACTTGTGGAAGCTGACCATTGGTTCTATGTAACCATGGTGATGATGTTACAGGGTGCCTGGTGACGACTGACGGAGGGGACATGGAAACAGTGCCGTGCCCGATGAAGGACTGTTTCTACCACGGCTTCTCGGCATCCCACAACGACTCAACTGCTGCACTCAGCACGTGCAACGGTCTGGTACGTCAACCAAGTGATCTCGCGCAGCAGACCTGTACTGAAATGTCTGTTATGTGAGAATCCGTCTGTATTTTGGTTTGACTATTGTTAGGTCGAGAAATGGGTCATCGCAATAATGAAAACATGACACCCTGGATGGTCAGCTGCGCATATTCCACAGTGTACCAACTGTTACAATGACCCCTGAAGGGGAGGTAACCGCACATGGCCAGAACAGTCTACGACGCTCATATTCTGTTGAGATTCCGTGGTTCTGAAACCAAGTTTGTCACGTGTATAATTGCATAGTAGTAAAAGAGTGAGTGAGTTTAGTTTTGCGCCGCACTCAGCAATATTCCAGGTATATGGCTCGGTCTGTAAATAATCGAGTCTGGACCAGACAATTCAGTGATCAACAGCATGAGCATCGATCTTCGCAATTGGGAACCGATGACATGTGTTAACCAAGTCAGCGAGCCTGACCACCCGATCCCGTTAGTCGCCTCTTACGACAAGCATGGGTTACTGAAGTTTAATTCTAACCCCGATTAGTAGTAAAAGACAGGACGTACGTGTAAAACAAGGAGTGAACATAAACCATTATTGAGTTTGCTGTTTTAATATACATTAATATATTTGGGCTGTTGTGATTGCTGATGATACTGTGCTGCCGCCGTGTTGGGGCGTCCAGGTGTTCTTGTAGGATCAGCATCAATCAGTTATACGTCAACAAGGGATTTTCCCTCTCGAATGAATAAATCCAGTAAATTCTTTCTCTAAAACATAAAGCAATTGATTGAGTCACCTACTCTCACTGGAAGACATTAACTGATATGACGTCACTAGGTGAGGACTTGCCAGTCAGCGTGAATGAAATGTTAAAGAATCCCTTTCAAAATTTGACAAAAAAGTGTTTCCAAACATACATGCTCCTGTTGATATTTATCAAGTATATCGCCTTAGATCTAGATATTGTGTAACCCACTATGTTAACGTGGACATATAACAGGAGATTTCGTCATCACCATTGTGACGTGGTTGCTATTATGCCCCATTAATGAGGTCTTATACAGCACAAAGGCTTGTATGTAGGTATAGCACATCAGCTTCAGGATGCATGAGCGCTACACAGGTGTTTTTGTTGATTTCAGTTACTCAGAGCTTTAATAAGGTATTGCCAATCAAACAATTGCTTCATTCTGCAAACTGATACATGTTAGAACACAACCCAGTCACCGTCATCCACTCGTTTCTGCTACAACAGCATGGCATCATCAGCACACCGTCTCATCAGCTGATGATTCATCCAGTCAGAGAGCAGCATCTGCCGCTAACCACGCCCCCTGGGTACCCCGTCCCATCCCGCGCCCACATCGCCTACAGAGTACCCAAGAGGAACAAGAGAAGCTGTGGCTTGCAGGGTAATAAATCCGACTTCATACAATCTACGAAAGTTGTATATCCGATTCCGTGACATGTGTATATCTGACTGATACAACTACAAGTGTATATCTGACTTTTTCTGTGACACGTGTATACGTGACTATTTCTGTGACACGTGCATATCCGAGTACTCCTGTAGCACGTGTATATCTGACTATCTCTGAGACCTATATATACTGCAACTATGTTCGGTACAAGATGATTTGTGACTATGTTCTGACCCTTGTATATCTGACTATGTTCTGACACTTGTATATCTGACTATGTTCTGACACTTGTGTAGCTGACTATGTTCCGACACGTGTATATCTATGTTCTGACACTTGTATATCTGACTATGTTCTGACACTTGTATATCTGACTATGTTCTGACACCTGTATATCTGACTATGTTCTGACACGTGTATATCTGACTGTGTTCTGACACTTGTATATCTGACTATGTTCTGACACTTGTATATCTGACGGTGTTCTGACACTTGTATATCTGACTATGTTCTGACACTTGTATATCTGACTATATTCTGACACTTGTATATCTGACTGTGTTCTGACACCTGTATATCTGACTGTGTTCTGACACTTGTATATCTGACTGTGTTCTGACACTTGTATATCTGACTATATTCTGACACTTGTATATCTGACTGTGTTCTGACACGTGTATATCTGACTGTGTTCTGACACTTGTATATCTGACTATGTTCTGACACTTGTATATCTGACTGTGTTCTGACACCTGTATATCTGACTATGTATATCTGACTGTTCTGACACTTGTATATCCAACTTATCCAGCTGCTGCCGACTCTCTGGTTCGAGCAGCCCCACGACGCATGCGCAGAGAGGCAGGCAAGCGTTATATCGAGATGTTGATCGTGGCTGACAGGACGATGTACGACTACCACAAAGATGATCTCACTCACTACGTCCTCACTGCTGCCAATGTCGTGAGTCATTCTATGCAGCCTTATATATTACAATAAAATATTTTCCCATGCTGTCAGTATGTTAGGCCCAGCCGTCATACATGTATGTGATAATGGCGGACCTATATATGGTTTGACGTATCTGATATTCCTGTTTAAACGTTAACGCTGAGAAGGGTGCAGTGAGCGCGAGTAACAACGTCACCGTGTATACACTCCTGTGGGCGTTTCAGGCTGCAACCCGTTACCTGGACCCTAGCCTCAGGATCAAGCTGTACCTGACTATCCTCAAGGTGAAGATCCTCACTGCCGACCAGGTAAAGTCACACCCTCTCCAAATACACACGTACAATCGCAACGTCTCCGTCTCAGGGGCAAAATGTTTGACGGAACTGTTTTGAACTGTTTGTATAATAATCATTCTACAATCAAACTAACATACATTGGGCATTGTTTCTCCCTAGTGTCTGCCATGGGGCGACCTCTAGCGGCGATTTGGCCAAACCATGTTATCACGTATTAACAAGGGGCACTAACTCTTCATATGCATCACGTACTACTGTCTTGGCGGTATGGGTACACACACTGCCATGCCATATGCATTTCTCCAAAGTTTATTTTATGAGTTCTGTGTTGATAATAAAAGCATAGATCCAATATACTGACCTTGACCTAGACGCCTTCAGCATTGATCAGATAAGTTCTACTTTGACCGTTGCAGCCGGGCCTAAGTATAGTTCCTGACGCTGAGAAGACTCTCCAGAGCTTCTGTGCTTGGCAGGAGCCCCTCAACCCACGAGGAGACGACAACCCGGAGCACTGGGACACAGCCAGTCTGATGACCAGGTACGTCCTCGACCTTCACCAGGCGTTATGTAATGTTATATATTGTGGAAACAGTAGAAGAACATGAGGGCACGATATTAGGTATATTGAAATAAAACATCGAAATAATGTGTATAGAACTAAATATTTATTCCATTTATCTTAACGCAACGCACTTGTCGCCATAGTGTTGCCATTATCAACCATTACCTCCGCATTAGCAGTACACATAGGTGGATCGTGTGGGGGGAAGGGGGTTGCGCCCCCCCCCTTTTTTCTGAAATTTTGTTACATGACAATTGGAACTCGGGTGAAAATGAAGTGTGCACCCCTGCGTTTCTCAATAGTGCGCGCGCGCACACACACACATACACCCTTCTCAAAAAGCTGTATACGCCCCTGGTACTGCTGAGGTTGATCTCTGTGACGTTTGCTACAGGGTGGACCTAATCTACCTGGGGTCACAGTCTGACACCGGGTTGGCGACCTTGGAGGGCATGTGTGGGGACAACAAGCGCTGCTCCGTGGTGGAGGATGATGGCCTTGACCTAGGTTTGACTCTGGCCCATGAAACGGGACACACGTAAGGATCTTTATTTCCCCCATTCTGTATTTTCACGTATTGTATATATCGTATCGCGGATATTCACGATGTACTCTGTTTAGTCGCCTTCTTCATAGACAATGATGTACACTGTATATTGTAGCCTGGGCATGCACCATGACGGCGAGGGTAATGCCTGCGCTGACAAGAAGAACATCATGTCATCTGGCGGGGGTGGAGGGGCGACGGCCTTCAAGTGGTCGTCTTGTAGCGCTGATTACGTCAACAAGTTTCTCAGGTAACACTTCCGTCCCTGTAGTTGGGAGCCTGTTTGAAGAGTGTTTTATGTGAATCTAAAATGCTTGATTTATATAATTGTTTATGTGGTCAGGGAAACATGATGGGTTAAAATCTATCTCATAACAGTAGTTGTCAGGAACACAGGCTCACATCTTCGCAGATTTATCATAAAACATCTGTGGTCAAGTAAACAGTATGGGTATATATCTATATCACAACAGCAGTCGCAGGCTAAATGGTTTGTATTTTCGTTTCACAACAGCAGTGGGCAGAGAAACAGGGTAAATGGTATCAATTTCGTTTCGCAACGGCACTGAGTAGAGAAACATGCTAAATGGTATATGTTTTCGTTTCAAAACGGCAGTGATCAGACACAAGCTGAATAGTATATATTGGGCAGAGAAACAGGATAAATTTACGTATATTCTTACTACAACAGCAGTGGGCAGGGGAACAGGCTAAATGGTATATATTTTCTTATTACAACAGCAATGGTCAGGGCAACTGCTTGAATGACTCCCCACAAGGTGCAACCCTAGCCCTTCCCCAACAACTTCCGGGAGTTCTCTACCCAGCAAATGCGCAGTGCGAGTTCTTTGTTGGGGAAGGTTCCACTATCTGCACCGGTACCAGTCTAGTCGGGGTAAGCTGGCTTCTCTGTATCACTACAATATATGTGCTCCGGTACCAGTCTAGTCGGGATAAACCGGCTTCTCCGTATCACTACAATATATGTGCTCCGGCACCAGTCTAGTCGGGATAAACCGGCTTCTCCGTATCACTACAATATATGTGCTCCGGCACCAGTCTAGTTGGGATAAACCGGCTTCTCCGTATCACTACAATATATGTGCTCCGGCACCAGTCTAGTCGGGATAAACCAGCTTCTCCGTATCACTACAATATATGTGCTCCGGTACCAGTCTAGTCGGGATAAACCGGCTTCTCTGTATCACTACAATATATGTGCTCCGGTACCAGTCTAGTCGGGATAAGTCGGCTTCTCCGTATCACTACAATATATGTGCTCCGGTACCAGTCTAGTCGGGATAAGCCAGCTTCTCCGTATCAACCGGCTTCGGGATAAGTCGTTCTCCGTATCACTACAATATATGTGCTCCGGTACCAGTCTAGTCGGGATAAACCGGCTTCTCCGTATCACTACAATATATGTGCTCCGGTACCAGTCTAGTCGGGATAAACCGGCTTCTCCGTATCACTACAATATATGTGCTCCGGTACCAGTCTAGTCGGGGATAAACCGGCTTCCTCCGTATCACTACAATATATGTGCTCCGGTACCAGTCTAGTCGGGATAAACCGGCTTCTCCGTATCACTACAATATATGTGCTCCGGTACCAGTCTAGTCGGGATAAACCGGCTTCTCCGTATCACTACAATATATGTGCTCCGGTACCAGTCTAGTCGGGATAAACCGGCTTCTCCGTATCACTACAATATATGTGCTCCGTTACCAGTCTACCCGGCTTCTCCATATCGTAAGTCAGCTATCAATATATGTGCTCCGTTACCAGTCTAGTCGGGATAAACCGGCTTCTCCGTATCAATATATGTGCTCCGTTACCAGTCTAGTCGGGGTAAACCGGCTTCTCCGTATCACTACAATATATGTGCTCCGGTACCAGTCTAGTCGGGATAAGTCGGCTTCTCCGTATCACTACAATATATGTGCTCCGGTACCAGTCTAGTCGGGATAAACCGGCTTCTCCGTATCACTACAATATATGTGCTCCGGTACCAGTCTAGTCGGGGTAAGCTGGCTTCTCTGTATCACTACAATATATGTGCTCCGGTACCAGTCTAGTCGGGATAAGTCAGCTTCTCTGTATCACTACAATATATGTGCACGTTGTTTGAGAGAATGAAAAGCGGATGTTCTTAGAATGAACAGGGGTATTAAGTCTGCGCGACTGACTATGTCTGAGAGATGTTAGCGTGGACATTCTGGTAATTGTACTGTTCCGGTCTTTCCATGTTATACCATAGTAACCTACGGTTACAAAGAAGTCACAGGGGCAACAAATATTGGTCATTATAACTTTAGGGCCTTATACGCATTCGACTGAACAATACAGCAAAGTGGGTGGCGCCAGATAACAAGTTCGTTAAATCCATCAGATCGTTATACACGTGTTCGTTATAAACCTACTTACCGTATATGTATTTCTCTTTGTGTTGGCCAGGGTGACGAGTGCACCAAACTGGTCTGCTTCGACCCCGCTCAGCCTGGAGAATGCCGAGGAAGTCAGACACCTCGCATGGACGGCACAGAATGCGGCGACAGAAAGGTCAGAGGTGTTCATCGTGGCATCTTGGGAGGGGTATGAGGGGTAGAGGAGGATGCCTTTGTTAGTCCTTGGGCTAGGTGTGCATCTGGGCGTCTTGGGAGGGGTATTAGGGTAGAGGATGATGCCTTTGTCAGTCCTAGGGCTAGGTGTGCATCTTGGCATCTTGGGAGGGGTATTAGGGTAGAGGAGGATGCCTTTGTTAGTCCTAGGGCTAGGTGTTCATCGTGGCATCTTGGGAGGGGTATTAGGGTAGAGGAGGATGCCTTTGTCAGTCCTAGGGCTAGGTGTTCATCTTGGCATCTTGGGAGGGGTATGAGGGGTAGAGGAGGATGCCTTTGTTAGTCCTAGGGCTAGGTGTTCATCTTGGCATCTTGGGAGGGATATTAGGGGTAGAGAAGGATACGTTTTTGATTACACTTTCTCAATTAAGTACATATTCTTGTACATCTGGGATTCGAACCCACTCTCAGAGTGAGGCAGCAAGTCGACAACTCACAAAGTCAGCATACTCACCCACTCAGCCAAGCCCATCCATATAGTACTAGAATCTGTACTACCGAGAAAGCGTTATCCCAAATATAACCTATGTTGCATTTGACCACTTTCTAAGAGGCATTGTGTATTGATTGAATATTCATTGATTCAGTCGATGTTAACGGGTTACTGAGATGCCGTGAAATAGTCGATCACCGTGATTTGGTGACCTAACGCTGTTCATGCTGATGACGTCACTTTGAGCATCCAGTTTCGTAGTTGGAGAATGCGCAGCAGGTGGCCATCTTGCGGGTTGGTCACTCTCCACTTCTGGGGCCGCCAGGCCAGTCTGGTTGACACGTCGCATTAGTCTGAAGATGATCTGCTTTGTACAGCCGAACGTTCTGGCAATACGGCTGTTCAAAGTCTCCATTTAATGATAAACGTCAGTTCATAACGGTCTCGTGTTACAGTGGTGCCAGGGTGGGCAGTGTGTGGACATTGGGCCAGACGGTCCGGCTCGCCAGGACGGGGGATGGTCCGCCTACAGCCAGGACTGGACGCCGTGCTCCAGGTCATGTGGAGGAGGAGTCCGGTACAAGGCCAGGAAGTGCAACAACCCAAGGTACGACATCACTCTCACTGAATCTAACACCCCGTTATATAACGCAACATCATTCCACTTCAGTGTCTCTAACAACCCGTTATATGACACCGCGTCATTCCATCCTCACTGAATCTAACACCCCGTTATATGACACCACGCCATTCCATCCTCACTGAATCTAACACCCCGCTATACGACACCACGTCATATCACCCTCTCTGAATCTAACACCCCGTTATATGACACCACGCCATTCCAACCTCACTTAATCTAACACCCCGTTATATGACACCACGTCATTCCAACCTCTCTGAATCTAACACCCCGTTATATGACACCACGTCATTCCAACCTCTCTGAATCTAACACCCCGTTATATGACACCACGTCATTCCAACCTCTCTGAATCTAACACCCCGTTATATGACACCACGTCATTCCACCCTCTCTGAATCTGTTCCCTCTCCCATCCTTCTCCTCACACTCTTTTCCTCACTCCTGATGGTAATGTTTCAGACCGCTGTTCGGTGGCAAGGAATGTGTGGGTCAGGACACCATGGCCGAGATGTGCAATACCCACGTGAGTTAATACAACCACCCTCTAACACATCCTCTAACAAGGCGGCATCAAACTCACACACGAAGTATTTCTCCAGTTTCATATCTTTATCTACATACATTAGTCGTCTAAAGCAAATAACAAAACAGCTGAATGTAGTTCCTTACACACGCTGCCACAGCTAGAAGTGACTACAGTCCTGTAAAGGTACGGCTGGCCACAGCCCCCACTAGTTACAAGTACCTACCATGCCGTATTATATAGTAACTGAGCCACTGTCTATGTGTTCTGACACCATGACGTCATGCTGTGCAGGCATGTTCGACATCTCAGCTGACTTACAAGAAGGAGCAGTGTGCAGCCACAGACGCTACTCTATATAATGGCCAGCGTCATCACTGGATACCCATGGGAGACACAAGTACGTACTGGTACAGACATGGCTAGACACAGGTACGTACTGGTACAGACACGGCTAGACACAGGTACGTACTGGTACAGACATGGATAGACACAGGTACGTACTGGTACAGACACACAGGTACGTACTGGTACAGACACGGCTAGACACAGGTACGTACTGGTACAGACACGGATAGACACAGGTACGTGCTGGTACAGACACGAAATACACAATGGTACAGACACGGCTAGACACAGGTACGTGCTGGTACAGACAGGTACGTGCTGATGCGGACTAGACACAGGTACGTGCTGGTAGACAGACACAGACAATACACAATGGTACAGACACGGCTAGACACAGGTACGGTGCTGGCTACAGACACGGCTAGACACAGGTACGTGCTGGTACAGACTACACACTGGTACAGACACGAAATACACAATGGTACAGACACGGCTAGACACAGGTACGTACAGGTACAGACACGGATAGACACAGGTACGTGCTGGTACAGACACGAAATACACAATGGTACAGACACGGCTAGACACAGGTACGTACTGGTACAGACACGGCTAGACACAGGTACGTACTGGTACAGACACGGCTAGACACAGGTACGTGCTGGTACAGACACGAAATACGGAAATAGACACAGGTACACAGGTACTGATACAGACACGGCTAGACACAGGTACGTACTGGTACAGACATGGCTAGACACAGGTACGTACTGGTACAGACACGGCTAGACACAGGTACGTGCTGGTACAGGTACACAGGTACGTGCTGGTACAGACACGAAATACACAATGGTACAGACACGGCTAGACACAGGTACGTACAGGTACAGACACGGACAGACACAGGTACGTACAGGTACATACTCGGATAGACACAGGTACGTCACACAGGTACGTCATAGACACAGGAAGTTAGGCACGTCCCGCAGGTACGCCACCCGTGTAGACACATCCCACAGACGAACAAAGGTAGTCATATACCACAGGTGAACACAGGTAGACACAGGTAGACCTATCACATACAAGACAAATGTACGTCACACATGGACTGGACACATGAAGACATATTACACAGACACAGGTGGACACATGAGTACAGGTACGTCACACAGGCAGACACACGTATGTAGGAGCAGATGACTCATGTGCCCTATATTTGGTCAGGTGCGACACAATGCCAGCTGCTGTGTGAGAGTGAATCTGCTCACTTCGGGGTGACCAGGACTTTGGACGGAAGCAGTGACTTCAAGGACGGAACCGAATGTCAACCCAAGGAAGGAACCTACGGCCGGTGTGTCCGTGGCGCCTGCATGGTAGGTCCCCTCACTGTCCCCTTTCCTTGCTGTGTCCGTGGCGCCCGCCGGATAGGTCCCCTCACTGTACCCTTTCCTTGCTGTGTCCGTGGCGCCCGCCGGGTAGGTCCCCTCACTGTACCCTTTCCTTGCTGTGTCCGTGGCGCCCGCCGGATAGGTCCCCTCACTGTACCCTTTCCTTGCTGTGTCCGTGGCGTCCGCCGGGTAGGTCCCCTCACCGTAGCCTTTCCTTGCTGTGTCCGTGGCGCCAGCCGGGTAGGTCCCTTCACCGAAGCCTTTCCTTGCTGTGAAAACATGTGTATTCACATCAGGGACTATCAGGTCGTACAGTAACATTTATCTAACTTGGCTGATCCTATCAGTGAACAATTGATCTGACTGCTTCACACAACACTGGTTTAAATATCTGTTATCGCTAGCACCCTTTTACCCAAAACCAACAAGTCACTGACTCACCCATCAAACCCACATGTTCACCCACTCTCTCACTCACCCACTCACTCACCCTCTGTTTCCAGGCGTTTGGGTGTGACGGGGTGTCTGACTCAGGCCGGGAGAATGACATGTGCGGCGTGTGTAACGGTCTCGGGGACACGTGCACTAAGAAGTCCGGCCAGTTCACTAAGGGCGAGGAGCACAGTCAGTGTATTTCTTTATGTTTACAAGATATACTACACAAATAATACAGCTGAAGTTGGTATTATGTCTTTATATTAGTGATAACGACGACCGAATATAAAATTATAACATCTACATGACCGAATGTACAAATGTCTTGACTCTTTGATCTGCCTTCTTCAGCTCACTGACACTAACTTACTAACTCTTTTACATTCCTAAGTTTACAACATTCCTAAGTTTTTCACATTCCTAAGTCTATCAACCCGTGAAGATCCGGGTTTGAATATTGATCTTCAGTTACCCATGCTTGTCGTAAGAGGCGACTAACGGGATCAGGTTGTCAGGCTCGCTGACTTGGTTGACTCAATGTCATCGTATCCCAATTGCGCAGATCGATGCTCATGCTGTTGATCACTAGATTGCCTGGTCCAGACTCGATTATTTACAGACCACCGCCATATAGCTGGAATAGTGCTGAGTGCGGCGTAAAACTAAACTCGCTCAGTCACTCCTATGTCCATCGCATTCCTAAGCCTTTCAACACTATCATGTTTTTAACACAATTACCTACTTATTCAGCTCAATTTTGTCTCCCCACAGAATATGTGACCTTCGTCACCATCCCTAAGAGCGCCACTGGAGTCACCATCACCAACACCAACATTTACAGCATCCTCAGTAGGTGATCCTCTGTCGCTACCAAGCAACCACTAAGAATGTTAAAACATTGATTACACAATTCCGTCTTGTTTCCTGCTGACTGGGTTCCGTCCTATTGCGCAACTTAGTACAATAACCAGTAACCAGTCCAGAATTTTGAGACAAACCCATTCAACTGGATATATATTAAATATTACTCAGCATTATCTGATACATCTAATCAATTGTATAATGCAACACTACGCTCCTTCTAATCCTTGCAAACGATGATAAACGGAAATCTGGAAATCGCAAACGAGTCCCGGCAGTTAGAAAGGTTTGGCGGTCTGGTACGGACTTGATATTATATCAGTCAAATTGTACGTTACGTAAATACACTTAATAAGCGCAAAGAACACATAACAGATGTAACCAGTGAGCCAGATGAATTGTGAATCAATGTACGACCTCTTCAAACAGGGGCAGTCTGTGACGTCTTAGTTAACGATATGCTTTAAACCTCGACATAAAATACTGACGGGCAAAAGAAGCTTTCTCCTCGTTCAATTTGACCTCACTTAAAAACAACAACAAGAAACCGAAGTTTGCAATTTATAATTTGTGAAGCAATGACACAGGCACGTGCTAAGTACAAACGTTTGATTTTTAACAAGGCTGATAACTTATTGAACAGGTTATGGTCGACATGGGGTCAAACTAGAGAATTCACGATCAGTGGGTCCATTCGGGAAACACAGCAGAGCGTTAACAGAAGTCTCTAATAGCGAGTTTGTCCACCTCTGGATAGAATACATACAAACACACTTCTTCTGACTGAAGTTGTGAGGCGTCTGATGACGTCAGCTGGGATTCGTCTCCATTCTTCGACAATGACGTGAGTCATTTGCTGTACTGTAACTGGTGGATTCTGTCTCCGTTGAATAACTCTATCAATGTGGTCCCATACGTGCTCGATTGGCGACATGTCAGGAGAGAGTGCAGGCCATGGCAGGACGTTGACGTTGTTGGCGTGAAAGAAGTTCTGGACAACTCGAGCGACCATGTCTGTCTGTCAGCAGCGTTCCTCGATACGGTCGGTGGGTCCTGACACCATAGGCTCGTAGTCTCCTTGACACTATCCTTCGACTCACTGGGTGACCGAGTGCTGTTAACGCTGATGACGTTACCGTCAGGAAGCGGTTTCTAAGGTGTAACGTCCTCAGGTGGCGATCTTCCTGCGCAGTTGTCACCCGGGGTCTGCCTGTCTGGGGCCTGTCTGAGGTATGACCAGTCTGTTGGTAACGCCGACGAAGGTTCCTGGCGGTCACGACGGAGCAATTGAAGGTTCTTGCAACGTGACCCATTTGCGCCCATTTGCAGCATTCCGATGGCCCTCTCTCGCTCTGCTGAAGTTAACCTCGGCATTGTAAAGTGGTTTTCTGCTGAAAAACGATCTGCTCTGTGCTGTGAGGTGGCTTTATACCATGCATGCACGTGCATTTTACCCTTACTTGCAAAACACGTGCATTTTGCTGTTTTCGATGCAAAGTTGTCAAGAGGTGCGTTTGAGAGCTGATGTTGGTCAGAATCGAACCCTTTTTGTTGGCAATAACTATGGGGCAATTTGCATTTGATTATATTTTCTTATGTTAATATTATGAAAAAATTTGCAAGAGAAAGTTTCTTTTGCCCATCAGTATACTAGTATATTTTATACCTTGACATAAAAATTAATCAGTAAATATCATTATTTTATGAAACAAGGAACTGGAATTTAGTGTAACCATCGTTATTTGTAGTGTTTCTTTTCACTTTCACACGAGAAAATTCGGATCGGCTGAAAAGCAGTTCATTGTCTGAATTGGTTAATGAGACTCTGCATAGTGTTCCACCACCAGTATCTAAGGTATCTAGCTACATCAGCACGGCACCTGTCGACATCACTAAGTCATACTAGAGATGGCACATATTATATTGCACAAACACGTACTTATCATCGTGAGACCGCCTCCGTGGTGTAGTGGTTAGAGCGTCCGCCCGGAGAGCGGAAGGTCGTGGGTTCGATCCCCGGCCGCGTCCTACCAAAAGACGTTAAAATATGGTACTTGTTGGTCCCTGCCTGGCACTCGGCATTAATGGGTACAACAAGGACTGCTCGGCTCGGAGTCAGTATAATGTGTCTGAGTGGGGTATTCATGCTTCACTGCGGCATGGTACCACAGTGGGCTAGCACTATAAAACCAGCTTAAGTCTGGGCTAGTACAAGCAGCCGCACATACACATACACATGCATGCACGTCGTCAAATGAGCGAAATATTCTCCAGCGCGACGTTAAACCCAATTTCACCTCACCTTACCTCATCATCGTCACGTACATACACCTCGGAAAGTTTAACTGTACACCGTTTGCGAAACACGTAATACATCGGTAAGCGCACGTAAAATCTCCAAATCATCATTATCATGATTATGGCAGTACATCAGCTGACTGAAGTGACATCCACGCCTATTTGGCTTCGTCCATGCGGTCATAAAGACACGTGTTGATCGTGTGTTGCCAGGTCTGAGTGTGGGTGGAGTCCAGGTGTTGAACAAGGGGGGACAGAAGGAAATGTCAGGCACGTACACCGCCGCGGGGGTGACAGTCAAGTACAGACGGAACCCAGAGAAGCTGGAGGTGTTAGGAACAGTGCCTGAGGACGCCGAGGGCCAGGTGTACCGCATCTACGGCGACATGTACGCTGGGTCAAACCCCAACATCAGCTTCGAATACTATGTTCCTAACAGTCAGAGCGGCCCTCAACGGTTTGTGTGGAAAACAAGGGAAGGACAATGCAGCGTTACCTGTGGAGAGGGTAAGCTCAAAGTGTTCATAAAAAGACTACAATAAACATCTGTCTTACCTGTATCAGGCAGCGTGAACCTGTGATGTGTGTAGTGCGACATGTGTGTATCCTGTGATGTGTCTGTATATTCCGATATGTGTGTAACCTGTGATGTGTATACCCTGTTTTGTGTGTGAGCTGTGGTGTGTGTAGTCCGAGATGTGTGTATCCTGGTGTGTGCTATTCCGTGATGTGTGTTTCAGGAAGCGTGAAATCCGAGGCCACGTGTGTGAAGGCGGACACAGGGGCAACAGTTGACAACTACAGGTGCCCCCCTGGAGGACAAGCCTCCGTCAGAAGGGAAGTCCTGCTCCAAGCCTGCCTGCCCTGCATCGTGAGTGTCATTGTTGGCAATATACCAATTCTCCACATGACGTTGTTAGTGCCACAGTTTATGATATGTTAATTCTCTACATGACATCGTAAGTGTCACAGTTGGCAATATACCTATCCTTTACATGACGTCGTGAGTGCCACAATTTATAATATGCCAATTATCCACATGACATCATGTGTGCCACAGTTTTCAGTATACCAATCATCTACATGACGTCAAGGGTGCCAAGGTTTGCAGTGTGCCAATCCTTTACATGCCATCCCGAGTGCCAGACTTTCAGTATACCATTGCTGCAGGTGTTATCATTACATGTCACTCAACAAATGACATACACACTGCAACACAGCACACTGGACCGATTCTACATACACAACACAAATATTATACCACATACACACATACTCACGCGACACACACACAACAAACACGACACATACTTCACACATTACACACACAACACACATTGCACACAGGCGACGTCGTAATACACAAACACTATAGTCCGTTTGGCTCAAAAGCGGATCGATGAATTGCAATCTAACTCGAAAACTAATAAACATATAACACTCAATGAAACACTGATCATAATCAAAACATCAGACCAACTCTGTGTTTACAGAATTAATGTCCTAAAATTATAAAAGTTGTTTAACAAACTATCATTAAAATTTGACACAGTTCACTATTTGTTACGAGGGAGGAGTGCAGAGAAAGGGACAGCCAGGTGTTCGAGAAGCACGTGCACAAGTGCCCACAAAGTTATTGATTCATTAACCTGTGCTGTGCCGTCTCCATCCTTTCCCGCACACCTGGCTGTCCCTGTCTCTCCACTCCTCCCTCGTAACAAATGGTGAACTGTGTCAATATTTTAATGATAGTTTGTTCAACAACTTTTTTGGTGGAGTCCGGAAAATTTTCAAATATAAGAAAGCTGTTGGGTATTAGTAAATGATAAACATGTGTGCTATTTATATTTATGTGGCAATTTTGTACAATGATAAAAATTGCAATTCAATTGAAGCACCACATTCAGGTAACACAGACTAAACATGAACTAAACAGACTAAACTGGACATACTCCCGAAGCAACCTTATCATACAAACGACACCCCTCCCCAACCCCTGCCCACACATGACACCACAAACACACACGCACGCACACATACGCACACACACGCACACACACATACACTGAACGCAATGCACTTGACAATCTTGGCTAAGTTGTACAGTTCCACTGTTATTATAGATACATCCTTTCACAGGTGGAGGGCGGGATCATTCAGCGCTTGCAGCCAGACGTGTGGCGGGGGTACGCAGAGCCGGCAGGTGCGCTGCATGAGGGACACCAGCCCGGTGCCAGACTCGGCATGCACGGGCCCAAAACCCGCTGACCATCAGGCGTGTCGGAAGCTCTCTTGTCCCGGGGAGTGGAGGCCTCAGCCGTGGTCTGCTGTAAGTGTCTACAAGGCGTCCACTTTACGGCCCTCTACCAAAAAAATGTACATGCATGTCCCACCCTACGTTTCTCTGGGGGTAGGGACCGAGGCGACTTAATGGATCAGGTGGCTGAGTTCGGGGCTAAGTTGGACGTGCCCCCGAGGTGTGTTTTGCCTGGTTCACTGTCTACTGTTTTACACATGGTTGAAACATTGCTGAGTACATCATTAAACCCACATATACACAGGTACACACACTCGCACACACACGCGCACATATACACATCCATGCTCAAACACACTCACATACACACATTTACACTAGAACGCTGTCTCTACTATACACCCACGCGCACATTCTCACTCACCCACATTTACATACATATACAATCACACACACACTAACGCAAACACACATGCATTCTCTTCTCTTTTATCTGCAGTGTTCCCAAACATGTTCAGTGGGACTGAAGACGCGGACCAGCAAGTGTTTCCTTGGCAACGAGGAGGTTCCTGATGCGAAGTGCTTACCATCAGAAAAACCAGCGTCCACCCAAACCTGTCTTACCGCCGTCTGTTTCCCTGAAATGAGTGAGACCTTTTTATATTGTCCTTCTTGTCGAGTCAGCCTAGTGTGTCTTTACCCTGGGTGACCGGTTACAGAGTGGCCTGGTGTGTACCAGGGTGACCGGTGACAGAGTGGTCTGGTGTCTTTACCCTGGGTGACCATGTGACTGGTGTGTCAGACCTGGTGTGTCTTTACCCTTGCGTGACAGAGTGGTCTGTCTGGTGCCCGTGTCTTTACCCTGGGTGACCGGTGACCGGTGGCAGAGTGATCTGGTGTGTCTTTACCCTGGGTGACCGTGGCAGAGTGATCTGGTGTGTCTTTACCCTGGGTGACCGGTGGCAGAGTGATCTGGTGTGTCTTTACCCTGGGTGACCCGTGGCAGAGTGATCTGGTGTGTCTTTACCCTTGGTGCCCGTGGCAGAGTGATCTGGTGTGTCTTTACCCTGGGTGGCCCGTGGCAGACCCTTGTGCCCGTGGCAGAGTCTGGTGTGTCTTTACCCTGGGTGACCGGTGGCAGAGTGATCTGGTGTGTCTTTACCCTGGGTGACCGGTGGCAGAGTGGATCTACCCTAGGTGACCGTGACAGAGTGTTCTGGTGTGTCTTTACCCTGGGTGACCGGTGACAGAGTGGTCTGATGTGTCTTTACCCTGGGTGACTGGTGACAGAGTGTTATTGTGTGTCTTTACCCTAGTGTGTCTTTACCCTGGGTGACCGGTGACAGAGTGGTCTGATGTGTCTTTACCCTGGGTGACTGGTGGCAGAGTGGTCTGATGTGTCTCTACCCTGGCGTGTCTTTACCCTGGGTGACCGGTGGCAGAGTGGTCTGGTGGGGCGAATGGTGAGTAAACCACTTCCCTGTGTGTTCCAGCTGGAATCAAGTGCGCCGATACCAAGGACTGCGAAGGGCGTGACACCTCCGTCTGTAAGGCTGATTACGCCGACTGGTCCAAGAAGAACTGCATGCAAACCTGCGGCTACTGCAAGGTGGACGGAAACAGTGAGTCTCCTTCCTGTGTCTACATTGCTGAACTATACTCGCTGGTTGACACGTGTTGCTGGTGGTGTATCCATGGTGGTGTTGCCATGTTACTGACGACAGCTACACGTGTGTGTGTTTGTTGGCAGGTGCTTGCAAGGATGTCGACACGGAAGAATGCAAGGGCCACGGTCCCAGCGTCTGCACCGAGTACCCTGACTGGTCGAAGGAGAATTGTGCCAACTACTGCGGCTGTGACAGCTCGGTAGGGACGGGCTCCACTGGGGAGACAGACTCTACAGACAGCTGCCAGGACAAGGACACCGAGACGTGCAAGGGACAGGGAGCCAGCGCCTGTACTGAATATCCTGATTGGGCTAAAGAGAACTGCGCTAAATTTTGTAACATCGGTTGTAAATCGTCAGGTACAGGTACCGAGTCTGGACAGCAGAGTGGCGGGTGCAAGGATAAGCTTGACACGTGTGACCAGTACGATGACCAGACCTGCACGCAGTACCAGGATTGGGCGCTGGAGAACTGCAAGAAACGATGCAACCTTTGTACAGGTGAGAGTCACGTGACTAGCGCGCAGTCTGTAGTCAGTAGTAGCACGGCGGCATCTACAGCTGCATCAACAACGGCATCTACAACGGCATCTACAAGCATTAGCACGGCAGCAACTGCGGCGTCTGTTGACAGCAACTGCAAGGACGAGCTGACAAACTGCGCAGCGTACGGGATGAGCACATGCAGCCAGTACCTCGACTGGGCGCGACAGAAATGCCAGAAGTACTGTAACATGTGTGGCCAGGCTTCAAAAGCGGCAGCGACGACACCTTCGACCACCACGACGGCACAGATGACGAGCACGGCTGTCAGCGGTGATTGCGTTGACAAAGTGAACTGCCCCGGCTACGGGACGAGCATCTGCTCACAATATCCAGACTGGGCCACCGAAAACTGTAAAAAGTACTGCGGCAAATGTGAATCAAAGAAAACTCAATCTACTGCGCAGCCGGTAACGGTGACAACACCAGCGTCCGACTCCAGCTGTACAGATGTACGAGGGGACTGCGAAGGCTACGGTAAAGGCGCGTGCACACAGTATGGTGACTGGGCCAAACAAAACTGCCAGAAATTCTGCAACCTGTGCGGGGTGACAACAGCTGCGGGAGACCCAGACTGCAAGGACAGCAAGGCGGACTGTGCTGGTTACGGGGCAGATGCGTGCGCACAGTACCCAGACTGGGCCGCTTCAAACTGCAAACGTTTCTGCAACTTGTGTGGCGCTGGCGCTGGCGTTGTTGGCGACGCTGCGACGCAGGCTGTGACAGGTAAGACATGACAGTACCAGGCGAGGCGCACTCCATAGGGTCTCATATCCCATAGGGGCACTGCACGGGGTTAGTAGCAGAGGATATCCCATAGGGGCACTGCATGTGCTAGTAGCAGAGGATATCCCATAGGGGCACTGCATGGGTTAGTAGCAGAGAGCGCTTCTCAGGCAGCGGCGTATGGATATTCCATGGACACCTGGCAAACAGTGGAGAGCTTATTGTGGATTAATGTAACGCCCATTTTTTTATTTGGTTTCACAGGCAGCCCCGGGAGGTACCTGCTACAGCCTGTTAGAAGCACACAGTAAAGCAGAGACCTGTACACCCAGTGTCCGTGTAGCTCCAGATCACGACCCATGTTGTCCAGGCCTGCTCAGCTGGGATCAGTTTAATTTGTTTCAGGAATACTGACTGTGTTTGTTTCATTTGCAGATACTTGCTACCCAGGAGCAACCTCCTCCTTCCGTGTGCCGTAGTACTGACCCTGGGGGTCCATATATGTTAGTACCGACCCTAGATCTTCACCCTGCTGTTAGTTTCAGAACTAACTCGATTATTTCAAGTCAGCTGACATTGTCCTACACACAACCGTTACTGAGTACTGTACATAATCTGTTCTGACCTGGACGTATTGTCTGCTGATTATCTATTTGATAAATGATCTTTAGAGCCAGATTGTGATCTATACACGATCTCTACTGACATTCAGTGATCAATACATGACCTCTTCTGTGTTCTATGAAAGTCGGGGCGGTGGGGTAGTCTAGTGGTCAAAGCGTTGGCTCGTCACGCCGAAGACCCGGGTTCGAATCCCCACATGGGTACAATGAATGAAGCCCATTTCTGGTGTCCCCCGCCGTGATATTGCTGGAATATTGCTAAAAGAGGCGTAAAACCAAACTCAGTCAGTCAGTCTATGAAAGTATCTGCTGAATGTGTTTGTTCTACGGGTGATCTCAACTGTCTGTGTTTTACACGTGATACCTACTGACTGCTCGGTGCTCTAAGCGTATCTGTGGTTTGCAACTAATTTGTTTTATATTTTTGCCAGACACAAATACAGATACTAAGACTGAAACAGACACAGCAGTCTGCGAGGACAAAACTGACTGCCCTGGCTACGGACGGTCAATCTGTTCAGATGATCAGTACAAGGACTGGGCTAACGTGAAATGTCCCAAATATTGTGGATTCTGTGGTGGTAAGACAGTGACTGATTGGCAGCACTGAGTGTCCCCCCTCTAGATTGCAGCACTAGTTACCTCTTCACCAGGCGGCAGCACTAGTACCCACCAGCACGCAGTTTCATTTCTTTGCACCGAATTTTCTCACCACTTTTTCTTTCCGTTACAGCATTTTATTTTCTTGCCTTTTGTTTTAGATTCCTGCACGACTAGTTTGTATTGCACACTAATTGTATTACTATCACTATGCATGCCCTCGGCCACGGGGGTGTCTCTGCTGGCAAGGTCTACTCCCTCCTTTACTTGCACGTTGATTTCCACCTCCATCACACCAGAGACGTTTCCAAGAGACGTCAATTAACAAGTACATACGTTCGGCTGTCAAAGAAACCCTTCTTATCATGTACACGTGTCTGTATCTAACAGAGCAACAAGAGACCCTTCCTACAATGTATACGTGTCCTAGATACCCTTCCTATAATGTATTCGTGTCTGTACCTCACAGAGAAACAAGAGACGTGCCCTAGAGACCCTTTCTAGAGACCCTTCTTATCATGTACACGTGTCTGTATCTAACAGAGCAACAAGAGACCCTTCCTACAATGTATACGTGTCCTAGAGACCCTTCCTATAATGTATACGTGTCTGTATCTCACAGAGCAACAAGAGACGTGCCCTAGAGACCCTTCCTATAATGTATTCGTGTCTGTATCTCACAGAACAACAAGAGACATGCCCTAGAGACCCTTCCTATAATGTATACGTGTCTGTATGTAACAGAGCAACAAGAGATGTACCCTAGAGACCCTATCTATACTGTATACGTGTCTGTATGTAACAGAGCAACAAGAGATGTGCCCTAGAGAACCTTCCTATAATGTATACGTGTCTGTATGTAACAGAGCAACGTGCCCTAGAGACCTTCCTATAATGTATACGTGTCTATGTTCCTATACATCTAACAGAGCAACAAGAGACGTGCCCTAGAGACCCTTCCTATAATGTATACGTGTCTGTATCTAACAGAGCAACAAGAGACGTGCCCTAGAGACCCTTCCTATAATGTATACGTGTCTGTATCTAACAGAGCAACAAGAGACGTGCCCTAGAGACCCTTCCTATAATGTATACGTGTCTGTATCTAACAGAGCAACAGAGACCCTTCCTATAATGTATACGTGTCTGCCCTAACAGAGCACAAGAGACGTGCCCTTCCTTCCTATAATGTATACGTGAGACCCTTCCTATAATATACGTGTCTGTATCTAACAGAGCAGCAAGAGACGTGCCCTAGAGACCCTTCCTATAATGTATACGTGTCCCTAGAGCAACAAGAGACGTGCCCTAGAGACCCTTCCTATAATGTATACGTGTCTGTATCTAACAGAGCAACAAGAGACGTGCCCTAGAGACCCTTCCTATAATGTATACGTGTCTGTATCTAACAGAGCAACAAGAGACGTGCCCTAGAGACCCTTCCTATAATGTATACGTGTCTGTATCTAACAGAGCAACAAGAGACGTGCCCTAGAGACCCCTTCCTATAATGTACACGTGTCTGTATCTAACAGAGCAACAAGAGACGTGCGAGCCCCTAGAGACCCTTCCTATAATGTATACGTGTCTGTATCTAACAGAGCAACAAGAGACGTGCCCTAGAGACCCTTCCTATAATGTATACGTGTCTGTATCTATAATGTACACGTGTCTGTATCAACAGAGCAACAAGAGACGTGCCCTAGAGACCCTTCCTATAATGTACACGTGTCTGTATCTAACAGAGCAACAAGAGACGTACCCTAGAGACCCTTCCTATAATGTATACGTGTCTGTATCTAACAGAGCAACAAGAGACGTGCCCTAGAGACCCTTCCTATAATGTATACGTGTCTGTATCTAACAGAGCAACAAGACACGTGCCTTAGAGACCCTTCCTATAATGTATACGTGTCTGTATCTAACAGAGCAACAAGACACGTGCCCTAGAGACCCTTCCTATAATGTACACGTGTCTGTATCTAACAGAGCACCCTTCCCTTCCTATAATGTATACGTGTCTGTATCTAACAGAGCAACAGAGACGTGCAACATAATGATACGTGCCCTAGAGACCCGCCAGTGATGTATGCATGTGTATGACTACTTTGTCAGCTGTATGCACGTCTATGGTAACAGTTACACAATATTCGTCAGTAAGGCTAGTTTGGGTAACATACGGAGGAGTGTATCATGTCAGGACTAACTGACCTGGGGGATTGAAATATGGCCATTTGCTTGTAAACTGTATCCAGTTTCCTCCCCGACAGTAGTGCTGATAAATCATCAATAGCATCATACGATCATCCTTCAGAAGGGACCCAGATATCTAAGAATTGTAAAGGGGTGGGATTGGTTTTCAGGGCATTTAGGACTAGGGCTTCTGAAGTAACCAACATGGTAGAAGTAATTGAGTGTGGATTAATTCATCCGACCATTCGTCTAACGCTGTTCTCCTCTTCCCCTTCCCCTCCTAGCGGCCAAGACTAGCAACAGCGACACTGCCTCCTGTGTCGACCTGGCCGACTGTGCGGGATACGGTGCCGACGTCTGCACTAAATACGGCGACTGGGCCAAGACCAACTGTAAGAAGTTCTGCAGCATCTGTGGTGAGTCATTGTATCCCGTGTTTGTACTGAGTCCCTATGTCTCGTGTCTGTATTGAGTCACTATGTTAATGGCGAGTTCTTGTGACCCGTGTCCGTGGTGAGTCGCTGTGTCCTGTGTTAATGGCGAGTTCTTGTGTCCCGTGTCCGTGGGGATGGGATTCAATGCTGTACGTATATTGATGACGCGTACACTCGTGAACGTTCCAGTAGATTTGGTTGAAACCGTCAGACAACGTTCACATCCACTGATTTCTCATATGCTGTTTCTCAGGAGCGGGAAACAACAACAACAACAACAGTGGCTGCAAGGACACATCCAGCGACTGCTCGGGCTACGGCAAATCAGCTTGTACACAGTATGCTGACTGGGCGAAAACCAACTGCCAGAAATATTGCAACCTTTGCTAGACAAGGTAACACTACTGCGACCACTCCATGCTGTATTTGGACAGATAGAAGTACTGTAACGCGTGTTTCACCGGGTTGAAAAGCTCAAAGATCAAAGACCAGAACTAATTTCTAACTTTGGTCGTAGTCAATGTGTTAAGAATGGGCTTAAGAAGTTCGTAGGGCTACGAACATTTCGAGAATAGCTAGCTAGGTACAGCTACAGTAACAACTGTAACATCAAGCAGAAATACTGCAACATGTTTCAAACCAAGTAGAAAACTCCAACCTGAATTTGATCAGAAACTGATCCCAGAAATATCTAGGAAAATTATTTCAATGTTAAAAGTACAAAGTCAGTGGCAGTCAAATTACAATGGCCGCATAAAATATAATAGCTCTGGTACCAGCAACAAGGTGATAACAGTATTCACCCTCAGCAAGGGTGGTCAAGCTTCTCAACCAGGTGTAGGCTGCATATAGCGAGTGACATGTGATCCGGACACAACGGCTGGTGTCAATATAACATGGAAGTCGAGCGCCTGCCTCGCCTGTAGGCCAAATACCAGAACAACATGTCTTATATATACAGGAACAGCGGATGATGTGTTGGAAGCTGCTCAATTACACTGATTCCAAAAGTATCTAAATAGAGTAGTTTCAACACCACTGCTTACGTCAGAAAGTAAAATTTATGTAACAACTAACTATTGTTGAAACAGAATATGATTAACTTCCACTCACATTTAACATACATATTGTAAGAAAACATATCAATGACACTACAACAGCTGTTAGATCAGGTAGAAATATTGCAGCATCTTTTGGATTTGTAGAAAGGCTACTACATAATTGTGTCCAGATTTGGCTGCAGCGTATGTTAGACGTGGTAGAATTAGGTAAACAAAGTAATATATCTTGTTCTCGGTTGTATTGTTATCTGAAACCCAATTTAAATATAATCCTTCACTTTGTAATAGTATTAAGAAAGGGACGCTCGTATTTTTCGTCACTTCTAATGGTCTGTATTGTCGTTATAATTTCGCAGTGTATTGTATCACAAGCTGGTGCTGCTATTGTCACGCAGACCGTCTATATTCAGTCACCTACAGTCTTCCCTTTTTGTTTCAGATTTCTGCAATGGATGTTGATGTTTGAACCCAGACTTCCGGTCAGTGACTTCCGGTCTAACCTGAGCCTGGCTGTTTTCTCCAAACACCCAACTGGACAATGTTTTTGTTTTACGTCAGTACTGTTTGTGTATCACGTGGCATAGTTTGTGTTCATCACGTGACGGAGTGTGTTTTGTGTGACATGTAAATAGTTGTTATTTTGCTGCAGAGAAAGACCCCATGACAATAGTGTGATACCAATATGATACCAATGTTATATGGATAACGGCATACTGCGATGATAGTACAAGCAACAATTCACTGGCATAAACATTTTACTTCAACTATTGAAAGCATGAAACACGAAATACAATCACTTCAAGGGGAGGCAACTCTCCTGACTGGGAACGCCGAATGCTGTAGATAAATCCTCTATTGATTCCCATGACAAAGGACCCCCTGCTCTTATGAGCAAGACGAGTGTATTTATTTTGCAATATTAAACTGATAGTATCAGTGCTACGTGTTCTTTTGTATTTTGAGTACACGATATCCTATGATACATTCATCTGGGGAAAAGGCAGGATTGATGCTTTGACGGGTAATCCAAACACGTACCCCAGGAGTCCATACACAATTCACAAAAAAATCAGTTTGTCACGAGCGCATCTGATGTGAGCCCTGCGGGAGACATCGATCAACCCATGGATGATCCATTGTACTGTGATGACTTCAAATACCTTAGAAATACCTTAGAATACCATAGTTTCGAATGGCAAACTTTAAAACTAGCTGACCATTCATAGAGCTTTGATAATGGTACTGATGAGTCAGGTGTGACGCGACGTGCCAAATATGTCTCTGAATGGGTCACCTTGATACCGGCAACATGGACGACACAGCAGGTTCCTGAGATAGCTGGAGATAATCATACTGCTTCTTGGGCATCCTATATTCTGCATCAGCAACCAAGCAGGTTATATAACTCAATGCAGCTTTCATATTTGTACCATGGCATGGAATGAGATTCTACAGTAGCTTGTATTCACGCTACACGTAGAACGGGAATCTGAGAGAAATATACATTCAGGGCCATGGGATATCCAGTCCGGATTGTCCCGCGGAACAGATTTTATTGGGCGTTAATAGAAGTACTGTTTAGAATACAGTAAAATCAGAATTAACTGAATAATACCGAAACTTTCTGAAGCGCAGAAAGTTTATTTGGACATTAGGTGAAACAAGACCTACTTAGGTATATCATTACATTAGATAGAGTCAAACAAGACCTACTTATACATGACACTGTATTAGGGAGAGTCAAACAAGACCTAATTCAGCATGACACTGTATTAGTCAAACACTGTCACCATTGACATGTGACATTATTCTACGGAGTCAAACATACGTGGACATCATTGCGTGGAGTCAAACACTACCTACACAAGCATGACATCTTATTCGTGTATGAATTTTGTAACAAAATGAGTTCATACTTCATAAGCGATTTTTATTCTTTAATATAAACATAACTTTAAGCAGTGTTCTATGGAACAGCTCATTAAAACCTCCCGCTGTTTCACCTACACTTGATAGGGATAAGAGCCATTAAATCACGTTCAAGGAGTGTTTGCCCCTCCTCACCCATGTCTGACCGGGGTTTCATAGCCCGATACAACACAGGACAAGTTGTATAAGTACAATATCAAGCGACATGAATGTGATACTGACCTGCCGCCTCAAGTCACCATGCCCTCGCCTGCGGTATCCAACACTCGTTAATTAGCATGGAGACACTGGTATCTCAAACACTGCAGCTAGAAAACTTCGATTTCCACCCGTTTAAACACATTCGGAAGATTTATATCGCAATCAGCTCCACCACCTAACATTAAAGTCTTGGTTCTTGCTGTACCTACTGGCTACTGAGGGCGACATTATCCGCCTGCATTGTGGGATAATTAGTATTTACCACGGCGAACCAAGTTTATCACCCTTCATCCCGGGGACAACGTGATGGGTGGGCGGCTGCAGGTATATAGACCCTGACCAGCCTCATCCCTTGAAGACAAGCAGGCCACGGTAACTCGGGCAGCTTACCTGTAGGTGTGTGCATCTCGGGGTACACCTTGTGGCACCAGCAGCAGCAGGACACACCCACGTATTCTACAGGTAGGATTAGTGTTTGGGTACTAAACATTTCCCTGAAGGAATTGATATGTCCCTGGTTACATGTTTGACGTTAGTGTTTACGCGGGTTTAAAATTGTTACAACACACATTTAAGACGCATGCTGGTTTGCGCGGTTCTAAAAGTCCATATTTGTAAGACGACTGATGTTAAGGTCTGTGTTGACCTTCATGGAAGGGGATCCACACACCTGACAACACACAGATTGGCGGCACACTGACAGGGTTAGTGTAGGCGATCCACCCAGATGACATCAACCTCCAGTATATTCATAGCAATTCTATCGACAGATTTCATCCTCCCATTGTTGACGCAGTGTAGTGAGACGTCATATTAAATGATGACGTATCATCTTTTCCCATTGTAGACGGATATCGACATGTAAGTGAATATTGCTTTACGCAACATCGGCAATTTCGCAACTCTTTCACTACCACGAATGTCGGTATTGTTACGTCCTGGTAATAAGGGGCGGTGGGGTAGCCTAGTGGATAAAGCGTTGGCTCGTCACGGCGAAGACCCGGGTTCGAATCCCCACATGGGTACAATGTGAAAGCCCATTTCTGGTGTCCCCCGCCGTGATGTTGCTTGAATATTGCTAAAAGCGGCATAAAACCCAACTCAGTCAGTCAGTCAGTCCTGGTAATAACACCTTTCGGTGTTGTATATGTACAACGTGTATATAAGACTTCAGCAGCGTCGTCTCGGCATGGATTCCAGAGTCGGAACAGATAATGAGCATGGCACAGTCTGTATCTGGTGGTGCATCATTGACAGCTAGCATACATGGTCATGAAGAGTTGGTTAACTACAGGGGGAGAACTGCCTATGAGATAGCCAATGTGGCAAGCCAGGAACCCAAATGAACTGGCTGAAATATGTATGAATAAGATCGGTAGAACAATTGCTTGAATAGTTCGCAGGAAGAGGAAAGAATCAAATAGTTTTTATCACTGTTTATTTCAGAGACACTTGGTTCTTTACCAAGACGATATCACATTTGTTATATTTGACGTCCTTGTATTCGACTGTACTAGGGGCGGTGGGGTAGCCTAGTGGTTAAAGCCACGCCGAAGACCCGGGTTCGAATCCCCACATGGGTACAATGTGAAAGCCCATTTCTGGTGTCCCCCGCCGTGATATTTCTGGAATATTGCTAAAGAGCGGCGTAAAACATACTCACTCACTCACTCGACTGTACTAAGCACCAAACATTACTAGAATCAGTTGTACTTTACAAAAAATCTCAAATATAACGTTTGTTACTAAAGTTACTAAAACATCTATATTTTTCTTTTGTTTTGGTTTAAATTTATTTATTTTATACATTATTTCAACAAGCCACAGGCTTCTGTTAATGCCTCTCCAGTATAAAGACATGTCAGCGTATCACATGACATACCAAACAGACGACAAGAGATTACAATATTTACTTACATGAGATACAGATTCATTACTACCGGTGAAGCAAGAATATAATCAGTAGATAAGCAAAGTACAAGACAAAGTTAGTTAATTGCATCCTCCAGATTCTAAGATGATTTATGTACAGATTGAATTATTCTGTTTTCTTGAACAGGTGTTTTAATATCATCACATAAAGCTGATTTTCAAATCATATCCATTTGTAAATTATACATTCTTTCTAATAATGGTGAAATTTGACACAAAGATAAAGAAAAGAAGAATATTTTTACAAGTGAGTGAGTGAGTTTGGTTTTACGCCGCTTTTAGCAATATTCCAGGAACATCACGGCGGGGAACACCAGAAATAGGCTTCACACATTGTACCCATGTGGGGATTTGAACCCGGGTCTTCAGCGTGACGAACCAACGCTTTAACCACTAGGCTACCCCACCGCCCATTTTCACAAGTAGCGTACAAGAGCACGATAGTTCATTGGATATAAATATGTCGTCTTTATGTAAAATTATGTTTCTACCAGCTAATCTGAGGTGGGAATATATGATATCTGCCTCCGAACGAAATTAATATTTATATTTATTTAAGTTCGGGGGTGATTTTCTCTGTAATGGTTCTTCAAGATTGTCTTCTTTTAGTATCTTTTGGTAAAAACCTCCAACAACATAATGCCTTTGTTTTAATAGGTTTCAGTTCCAAAGAATATCTTGATTTATACCTGTTACCCACCGGTACATAATCAATGAAAATATTGCACAAATATTTTAGAGCATGACTGTAGACCAATCTAGGATCAGTTCAGGATCTGTACACGTCTCCTTTCACCTAAGGTACAAAATAAGTTTCAGCGTACAATGTATTGATTTGTACTCACTACTGTCCCATATATTGTTCAACAACCATCGAGTAGCAATTTTTCAGGACCTGTCCCCTTTTCACAAAGCTCTCGTAAGCCTAAGATCTCGTTATTTTTCTCAGCATTCGTACCTCCTATGTTACAGTAATGGAGGTACGAATCCTACGAGAAAAGTTACGAGATCTTAGGCTTACGAGAGCTTTGTGAAACGGGGCCCTGTTTTCTGGGCAATGGCACAATTTTCCCATATAACTACAATATATACTATACAGTTCGTCTATTTTGTCAACACAAGGAATAGTACATTCGTCTGTTTATAACTGATGATACTAACACTTGTTATAAGCGCACGCCACTCAACGAAGTGTCAGGCTCTGGGAAACCCAGACAGTTCATGTCCCTGGCACGCAGCCTATCGATGTACTATTTTCCTATGTAATTACACAACAAACATTTATTCCTTCCACGCTTTGTAATTGATTAATTGATTTGAAAACCAACATTTAATCATACATTAATAATAGAGCTACATAGATGTAATTGTAGATACAGACCACAGATGAAGACAAAGTTCCTGCATTTGATAATCGAACACTCATCATGGTGCCCCGATATAGCGACTGATCGCTTGCTACTGTGCCCCGATATAGCGACTGACTGTTTGCCACTGTGCCCCGATATAGTGATCGATTGCTTGTCACAGTTCCCCGATAAAGTTCTGTTTTTTTTAATGGGTTCAATGTGTGAAATCCATGATAGCTCGTGCCACTACACATATTTTGCTGAAACATACTTAATACGGCGTAAAAGCAGCTCACTAAATGAAATGGCTAGTTTCCTGTGTCGTCAAGCAGTTTCCTGGTCAGACAGCAGACCGCCTCGATATTTTCAGCTGAGGTAAGAGTACGGTAAGACAAGTTTCTTCACGTAATTAGATCATTTCAGATCATGATGTTCCGTACTGACAAGCGATATCATAACAAGGAATGGTGTGGAATAACAGCTACATAGAAGGGAAATTTTTATATAGGCAATATATCCTCATAACACACAGGTTGATGTGACCCCTCTCTTGGCCCGTCAAGGCGTCCATTCAGGTTCGTAGGCCACCCCGAAGTTCTGACAAATTAATCAGTTGGACCTCATGTGTGACATCTCCGTTAATCTTGCAACATGTTATTTCGTACATGAGTGATAGAAAATGACAATTTTCAGTTCCTCGGGTATTGTTGTTGTTGTTGCTGCAGCTGCCGTTGCTGTTTCCGTTGTTCTGTGGATCAACCGATAGGACATCACTGTACACTGTTGTAGTCGTTGTGAAGTACTTACAAGACGTCCACGCCGGTGTGATGGTTGGGGCCAACGTCATGGTGGCGGCAACAGCTATGTGGCTTATACTCTCTGCGACGATGACAACGACTGTATCAGTGAAAGCGAAGGTGAGACATGTGCTGATAGAGTGAGTGAGTATGTTCCTGGGGGTGTCTGAATAAGGCCAAAACTATGTCCCTCTTTCATGAACAACTGGTGTTGTAACTCTTCTCATGTTCTTTCCCACAATTTGCGTTAGGATCGTCTGAACTCAAGGTGTCTCAAGAATCTTGTCTTTAGGTATCGGACATATATCTTGTACTTTTACAGTAGACATATATTACGGACATATATCTTGGTGTAGTACCTCGTCTCCGAAAGAGAGGTGTCGAAACATGTTCCTTGGTATCGGACCGTGTCTCTAGTCGAACATTGTCTCTGAGAATTCGAACATTGTCTCTACAAAATCATACATTGTCTATATAACATCATACATTGTCTCTACAACATCATACATTGTCCATACAACACCATACATTGTCTCTAAAACAGCATACATTGTCTCTACGAAATCATACATTGTCTCTACAACATCATACATTGTCTCTACAACATCATACATTGTCTCTAAACATCATACATTGTCTCTAAAACATCAAACATTGTCTCTACAACATCATACATTGTCTCTACAACATCATACATTGTCTCGGGGTTTCTGTTCCACGTTTCAGTTTCACCACCTGTTGTCCGAAAATGATCTTGATTTTTACTTTGGAACACGCAAAAGTCGGGAAGGTAAGACAGTCTTTGACTTCATGAATACTATTTGGATTCAGTACTAATAAATCCGATTTGACGAAGCTTATTTAGATTTTAAGAGAATAATTATTTGTTATGTTCAACAAACATATGGAAATCTCGAGAATGCCCTTCTCCCCTTTAGTGAGTTATACCAATGTCTCCGTGTTGACAGTGCCGGAGTATGAGATCGTGCATATTGTAGGAAGTCGTCAGACAAGCACTGCCGGGATCCCCCCGCTCCAACTCCAGTACCGTCTGAAGGCCTTAGGGGAGGAATATCACCTTCACCTTGAACGCAATCAACACCTGGTGGCGCCAGGTAAAACTGGAGACATTACTCTTCTCATCTGAGTCGTCCTCAGAAACATCTTTATTTTATCATTATATTTTATACTTGACACCCCTGTGTGTGAAAGGTAGGGTTTTCAGACATTAGCACATAGGAAGCGTTCATATGTTTGCTTTACGTTGGTCACCTATTCTCACGAAATGTGCACTAACTGATAACTGGAAATGATAAAAAATTTAATGATAAGTCATTTTATTGTTAGAACATTATTTATTGTTCACAAATTTCAAACTATCAAAAGTCGGGTGTCAAGGAGAACACGAAGATCGCCAGTCATGACTGGGTACCCATGATTGGGGAAACTAATTTGCATAAATTCATCATCAAACATATTTCACATAAGTTTTATCTGTATTATATTGTGATAAACAGCAGTCTAAGTAAACTTAGTCTCAGTACTATTCGTTACACTCAGTATTTTAGGGTAACGAATAATACTGAGGCTAAGTTAACTTAGACTGTGATAAACAGCAAACCCTGGCCATTATACAACTTGAATACAAATCTTTTAATCTACGTTAGCATAACTCTAACATATCTGTATAGAAATTTAGAAAATACTGGTGAAATATTGCCATTCTATTACACAGAGTTACATTAAAAGATACAAAAGAGATTAACTGTTTCTTCGTTTCATTCATTATTTAAAGTACAGACAGTACATAAGCACAGTGGAAATTCATCCAAACTTTAATCACGTTACCTGTTTAGTTTGATGTAGAATGTCAACAATGATAGCTAATTAAAAGTAAATAATCATTTAATGTTTAGAAGAGTTCATGCCATAACTTTAGATCCATAAAACTGTCTTGCCCGAGTAGCGCTGATAGTGTGTGATCAGTTGTACTCAGGTAAGACAGTCACTGGACAATCGTGCACATTTCAATCACGCTACTGAACAACATGTCCGTCATGCCATGTGCTTTTGGCGCTTGGATGACTGCGCCAATATTACTTCTGGAACCAGTGGATGGTCAGTGCCAACGGTACGTAACTATTGTGTGCAATCCGACAAAAAGATGATGCTCCTTTGGAAATGAGGTCACGTAGATTACACAGACGTCCTTCAGCACCCACCAAACGTTTAAAGTGTAAAGGAAGAGCATCTCCTTCACTTAGTTATTACTACTGAATAGGTCCGTTCATTTTAAAACCCTTTTGGTGACACTGGATGTACAGTTTTTATCTTATGGTGGTCACGTAGATTACATCCTTAAAAATCTCTACAACTTTAAACCTGTGAAGCATCATGGTGAGAAATCGGCTGAAATTTAGTGGCTATGAGATTGATATTGTATTATCCCAAAATAAAACTGAAAAAAAGGAATACTATCTAATGAATACATATAATATTTAAAATAATCATATGTTCATTTTCAATTACACTTTTTGGGAGACATCACATTAAACATAAATTCTAAAAATAGTTAACCAGATGAAGACATGTTCTGGGTACGGACAAATGGGACAATACATTATGTCGAAAATGTAATCGGTTTTGTTCGCACGAGAAGAATTTATATTTTGAAATATTAATTCAAAATGTTATACCATCTTTGGAGACATGTACATTTTGGTGATTTTGACTAACTGTGTACCCTGAGTCACATACATGAATAACAGATCATTAACAATTTCTATGCCTCGGATACCTCCCAAGCCTGTCGCCAAATATAAACACGAAATGAACAAGTGACATCAGTAAAAAAAAGGTTTTTTTTAATGCGGAGACACGTAAAATTACAAATGGTGCACATATCGTGAGAACAGGTGTGGTACATCCTCGCTTATCCAGTTTGTAATATCTCCATATCGATATGATTCGCTGTGTAACCGAGGTAGTGTAGAGAGTGAGCCCCGTGTTTCAATGTCTGCATATTTCGACATCCTCACTTCCAGGCTGCCTCATGACCTTCACAGACGGGAAGGGTGGAGCGGTGGAGTCCCCGTGCCCCGGGGCAGGCGACGACTGTTACTACACGGGGACGTCAACCCTGCACAACGGTTCCACCGTTGCTCTCAGCACATGTGTCGGCTTGGTGAGTTGTGGTGAAACCTCACTGAATATATTGATCATGTGTTCACTAGCGGGGCGGTGGGGTAGCCTAGTGGTTATAGCGTTGGCTCGTCACGCCGAAGACCCGGGTTCGAATCCCCACATGGGTACAATGAGTGAAGCCCATTTCTGGTGTCCCCCGCCGTGATATTTGCTGGAATATTGCTAAAAAGCGGCGTAAAACCAAAATTCAGTCAGTCAGTCAGTCAGTTCACTAGCACAAGTGTTCATGTCAAGATATACCTCCCTTGTAGAGACATCAAATCTTATATTAGTTTCAGTTTGCACATATCAGTTCGAACTATATCGGATACCAGCACTCGCTAACTCGACAGTTGACCTATATCTTGACAAAAACACTCGGTGACTTAACATGTCAACGGCAAGTAGTAATTCACATGTAGGGGCATCTGGCTTTTGCATTAGGCTCACCATACTACGCCCTTAGAGACAGGAATATTTTATGAAAATGTATACATCACCTACAAAGTGTTCACTTCAAGATATACCTCGCCTGTAGAGGCACCACGTGTTAAAGTCATGATGTACTTCACCCGTAGAGACACCACACGTTAATGTCAAGATGCATTTTCTATGCAGAGGCACCACGTGTTAATGTCAAGATGCATTTCATCTGCAGAGACACCACGTGCTAATGTCAAGATTTACATCACCTATAGAGACAAAACGTGTTAAACTCAAGATGTACCCCACCTGTAAAGATAAAACGAGATATACCCCAGAGGTAATATCATCAAGTGTCCCAACGCAGATGTAGCAGTTCAGACGAATATGTATAAATACTGAGAAGACGTTCTAACGTCTGCATACAATATTGTGTATTTACTATTTACTTTCAGCACGGTGTCATTACAACGCCTACCCATCAGGTACTTATCCAGCCAATCAGAGGACAACACCTTGCCGATGTCAACACTGGCGTGGTGTAGCTGGCCCACATCTAGTGTACCATCAGACAAGGAAGGGCGTGTGTGGTGTCCAGGGTAGGTTACTCAATTCCTGCCATCTCTTCCATTTTGATTGAGTTCCATCTCAGAAGTCTGACATCTGGTATTTCAAAAGCCAACTGGCGCATGTACACGTGGTAACCAGCACTGCCGTTCCTGCTTCTGTAAAGGGAAGTAACTCTGCCATCACAGACCCATTCATGTTGTTCATGCTTCAGGTACGGCGGAGCAGATGACGCCCCGTCGTGTGCGGCGTCAGGCAGGGGGGCTGTTTCTGGAGATGCTGTTGGTAGCAGATAAGACCATGCACGGTTACCATGGCGATGACCTGGTGAACTACATGCTGACAGCGGCTAATGTGGTGAATTTCAACTAAAACAATGTAGTAGCACATTACATGTACACAATACAAATATTGTCATTAGGCGTGAACACCAATATACCGCATGGATCAACCCCTTCAATAACCCTTTTCAATATTCCCTATGATGCTTATGAACCATACCCTTCAACCATCCCATGCAATATATCTTCAATATACCCTATGAATCGACCCCTTCAAAACGCTTATCAACCATCTCTTGCAATAAGCTATATACATGACCCGTACACGCCATATTGTTTTCAACCCTGACCTCCACTGTGTACACAATATCCATCCCTACAGTTTCACCGTCTTTCATGTATGTTCCGTGTTCAGGCGGCGGGGCGGTACCTGGACAGCAGCCTCGGTGTCCCCATCCACGTCACCATCATCAGACTGAAGGTCCTGCAAGACGACGCAGTAAGTCCCCGTATATTCCTGTGTGGCGAGACTCGCACATTCCCTGCATGTACACGTCAGGTGCCCAATAAGTGGGTCTTGACCTATGGGTAATGGTACATGTGATTCGCAGATTGAAACGTGACTGTTTACCCAGAAATCCGCAGTTTAATAAAAATGCAAGAGCTTCAAAACTGTAATGCAATACAATGGTTTGAATTTGTGGCATCAGCAATCTCTGACCGTATTACAAGCCGGAGCACTCCCGAATGTCCAGTGTCACGGGTGAATGTTTTAGGGACAGTTAGGGAGTTAGGGACAAGGTGAAGGTCACTGCCAACAATGATTATTGTCACAATCAGATTGCTTCCACCTACAATATCCAGAAAAACGACCAGGATACATTCTGATGCATAAAACATTGCGATAAACACCCTTGTCTACGAGCCTAAGATGTACACGACGTTGTTTTCCCAGGATGGCCTAAACATCACCTCTGATGCTGATCACACCCTCAACAGCTTCTGTCAGTGGCAGGAAAAGTTTAACCCTCCTGATGACACAGACCCCCGTCACGTGGACGCGGCCAGCCTTATGACCAGGTGAGCTAAATCCCTCAGTCATGACAATCTTTCCTTGTACATTCAATGACATCATGGGACATGATACACCATATAGTCTAACTGGAGAATGTCCATGTATAAATACAAATAAAGTTACCATAATTATGCATAATAATAGTAATAATCATGGTGAGTGTCACTTTGTAAGCAGTTAGTCTACTTAGTGAGTGAGTGAGTTTAGTTTTACGCCGCACGCAGCAATATTCCAGCTATATGGCGGCGGTCTGTAAATAATCGAGCCTGGACCAGGCAATCCAGTGATCAACAGCATGAGCATCGATCTGCGCAATTGGGAACCGATGACATGTGTCAACCAAGTCAGCGAGCCTGACTCCCCGATCCTGTTAGTCGCCTCTTACGACAAGCATGGGTTACTGAAAATCAATTCTAACCCGGAGTTAGGCTACTTAATCCCAGGAAAGTGGAGTTGTTTTCTTGTACAACGGCTATGTTTATTCTCTAGATAAGTCTCTGATGGGGGCATTATATACACTGACTGTTTCAGGGAGAACCTGGTCCACAAAGGGGTGACGGAAACAACAGGCCTGGCGTCCTTGGGAGGAATATGTGTCAAGGACATGAGGTGCTCAATACTCGAGGACAACGGCCTTGACATTGGCCTCACCTTAGCCCATGAGACAGGTCACAGGTACGACAAGTGTTTTACAGCTAAATGTTCGACCTTTCAATGCATCATACTAACCAATTAAGGGGATGTTAATCAGTGGGGAAAGTGAGTGAATATTATTTTACGCCGCATTTAGCAACAGCGAACGCTTTAACCACCTGTCTACCCCACCGCCCCTCTTCAGCGAGATAGTAGTATAACATTATACTTTAACGATATCTTCAGTTTGCTAATGTTATTGTTGTTATAGATGTGGGTTATATCCGGGATAGTCTACCTCATTCTCTTCCCACAGAGGTTACTTGTCATATCTGCCTACGAACCTCTGTTCGGCCTTTTCATGGTGCTAGTGTTCAGGATTCGTGATTGGTTGCAATCAGATTTAGTTGTGCAATCAGCGACGGTGTTTCAAAAGTGATCATTCGCAAGGCCTCGGTTATTTCCGTATGCTTCGGGAAAACTAGAACCTCTTTCCCTGCGCGATGCGCAAACGTTTCTTATAGACAAAACTCAGTCATGTAAATGGCGGATCAATGGCGTCTCGACGGACAAGCTAGCCATTAAATGTCTTGTGTGTCACATCAACACACGTTCCTGGCAGAGGAGGGATATTTGTGACCCAACATTTGCTTGTATTAGTCAAGTTGATGTAACACGTGTTCTGATTGGACAGAAAGAAGGGAGATAATTCGTGTTGCGATTTTTTTTTGCCGCTAGGGGATTTTACGAGAACCGGGAAATATGACCGTATTAGAACAGAGGTTCGTAGCAAGAAATGACAAGTAACCTCTGTGGGAAGAGAATGAGTGTACCTGTACAACTGTTGGAATGTCCCCAGGTGGACACAAGTCTGAATATAACATACAAAATGAGGAGTAAGGGTGGACAGAGTACCCGTATAGTCTCCCCTGTCTTACAGTCTGAACATGCAGCATGACAGTGAGGGCAACATCTGCGACGACAAAACCAACATCATGTCGACAGGTGGAGGAGGGGGGACTGCTGCGTTCAAGTGGTCGTCTTGTAGTAAAGATGCCCTCTTCAACTTTCTGTAGTGAGTCTATACAGCTGTCACATGATGACGTGTTTCAATGTTTCATCTATTTTAACTGATTCTCTACATTTTCTATTTTCTAACCGACAGAAAGTAATCATGTTATCAAAGTGTACTCTCGGTATATATGTTACGAATGTACACAAAAAGAAAGTATTTCATTCATTGTCTGTAGTTAGAAGTTACCATAACATCAGATGGAACACTGAAAAATGTCTGCCTGAAAATTAGGGCTGGGTATTGCAGAGAATTTTCATATTGCAATATATTGCGATGCGAAAGCGTATATTGCGATATGTATTGCAATATATTGCAAGAAGTTCTTTTTTAACAAAAAACTACTTATAATCGAGTTAATGCTTGATTTATAAAGCAAAAACACAACATGTCACCATTCTTGATTAAGCTTTAATAAAAAAAATTAATCATGACAAAATACAAATGTAAATAATATTTGGCACAAATAAAAAAAGGAAAGGAACAATTTATAAAACGGAAATATCCGAAGATTTCCGAGTGTTACGAAGTCTTTTCAAATGCATGTCAAAATACCGGTTTTCAATCAGCGTAACGCAATACGTATCGTTTTCATGTCTGAACCGGTATATACCGGTAAACCGGTTATATTGCGAAGCCCTACCAAAAACGTTTCTAAATATGCTTATCCACAGAATGTACGTAGGCACAGTCAGTCATTGGAAAGGTGGGTGATACAGGCTGTGATGCTATTGCAAGCAGATCATAATACCAAGTCTGTCTTTATAGCGAGGGTAACGGAGCCTGTCTACTGGACTCGCCTTCAGCAGCCGAAATTCACCTTCCCAAAGACCTCCCAGGAGTTATCTACCCTGGTGACAAACAGTGCGAGTTGTTCCTGGGTCAAGGGTCAAAGATCTGTGAGGGAACGTCATTGGTAGATGACTATGGTGGGGTAAGGGGCAGCGTGTTGTATAAGCTGCATCACTGGTCGGTCGAAGCTATGTAAACGTGACGCTTTAGTCTGGAAAGCACTGGTAAATCTGACCGTTCCTTTATGAGCAAGAAAAGCTGTGGCAATCATATGTCATTAAGCAAAATTATACAGAAAGTAAGTATCGATAATCCAAAGGGTGGAAAACCAAACTAGAGACTGACATGATGAGGATTAATCACTGAACATCCGTGATGACATCTGCTGTTGGGTTAGTGTACAGAAGGTATTGTATAGTTGTAAGGTATGGTATATATACTATCCCAAAAAGAAACGCATAGGCGTTTTGTATTTTTAAAATCTATTAATTACCTATTGTGTTCAAACAATCGTCAAAATATGTGACAAAGTGTTGATAACATGATTTTACACAATTGCACAAGTGAAAAATCGACTTGACCTGAAAATGTTGATTTTGATGATATTCTTACAAGGATTAAAAACGCATCCAGCTTTCGGAAATCGGCATTCGTTTTCAAGGGGTTTCAAAAACTACGCACGTCTTCTCAGACACGGAACATCGCCATTGAAAGAATGCACGCTTGAGACTTCGGAGGATATCCAGTCAAACTGTACGGAACAGGTTGAGAGAGAGAGACTGGACTGAAAGCCAGGAGACCCGACGTCGGGACCGTGCTACGTCGTCACCATGGCGCTCTAGTAATTATCCACTTTGTTGTATAGACATTGACTTCTTCTAAACTGATGTAAAAATTCATGCACTAAAAGTCTATTTGTGGACGAGTGATACATGTTTGAAAATACACCATTTTCGCAACAGATTTCTGGCCTATGCGTTTCTTTTTTGGGATAGTATATATAGAACGTCATACTAGTGCATTTGGATGTTTAATATTGAACGAGAAGATAAGCATTACATTACATCTTCGAGTCGTAAGGTATAGTATAATCGTTATAGTATAGTTATGGTATAGTCGTAAGTTATGGTATAGTCGTAAGTTATGGTATAGTCGCAAGTTATGAAATAGTCGTATCTTTATGGTATAGTCGTAAGTTATGGCATAGTCGTAGGTATGGTATAGTCGTAAGTTATGGTATAGTCGTAAGTTATGATATAGTCGTTAGTTCTCGTATAGTCGTAAGTTATGGTATAGTCGTAAGGTATGGTATGGTCGTAAGGTCTGGGTATAGTCGTAAGTTATGGTATAGTCGTAAATTATGATATAGCCGTAAGGTATGGTATAGTCGTAAAGGTATGGTATAGTCGTAAGATATGATATAGTCGTAAGGTATGATATAGTCGTAAGTTATGATATAGTCGTTAGTTATGGTATAGTCGTAAGTTATGGTATAGTCGTAAGGTAATGGTATGGTCGTAAGGTATGGTATAGTCGTAAGTTATGGTATAGTCATAAAGTTATGATATAGTCGTAAGGTATGGTATAGTCGTAAGGTATGGTATAGTCGTAAGTTATGATATAGTCGTTAGTTATGGTATAGTCGTAAGTTATGGCATAGTCGTAAAAGGTATGGTATAGTCGTAAGTTATGGTATAGTCGTAAGTTATGATATAGTCGTTAGTTCTCGTATAGTCGTAAGTTATGGTATAGTCATGTAAGGTATGGTATGGTCGTAAGGTATGGTATAGTCGTAAGTTATGGTATAGTCGTAAATTCATGATATAGCCGTAAGTTATGGTATAGTCGTGGGGTATGGTATAGTCGTAAGATATGATATAGTCGTAAGGTATGATATAGTCGTTAGTTATGGTATAGTCGTAAGTTATGGTATAGTCGTAAGGTATGGTATGGTCGTAAGGTATGGTATAGTCGTAAGTTATGGTATAGTCATAAGTAATGATATAGTCGTAAGGTATGGTATAGTCGTAAGGTATGGTATAGTCGTAAGTTATGATATAGTCGTTAGTTATGGTATAGTCGTTAGTTATGGTATAGTCGTAAAGTTATGGTATAGTCGTAAGGTATGGTATAGTCGTAAGATATTATATAGTCGTAAGGTATGGGTATAGTCGTAAGGTATGGTATAGTCGTAAGGTATGATATGATATGGTCGTAAGTTATGGTATAGTCGTAAGGATTATGGTATAGTCGTAAGGTATGTTATGGTCGTAAGGTATGATATAGTCGTAAGGTATGGTATAGTCGTAAGTTATAGTCGTAAGGTATGATATAGTCGTAGGTTATGGTATAGTCGTAAGTTATGGTATAGTATAGTCGTAAGGTATGATATAGTCGTAAGGTATGGTATGGTCGCAAGTTATGAAATAGTCGTAAGTTATGGTATAGTCGTAAGGTTGGAATGGTCGCAGCACTACAACTGGGTCAAGGTATGACTGTCTATTGCAGGACGAGTGCAGCAAGCTCGTCTGTTTTGACCCCAATCTACCCGGACAATGTACCGGCAGCCAGGCACCAAGGATGGACGGCACGGAGTGTGGACACAGGAGGGTAGGCATCCGTAATAGACGGGATAGTATGGGCAGCTATTTGATTTGGACGCCTTCAACGTCACACCCTGTAAGCTGAGGGTTGTTCTCTTCACTGTACCATCGTATAATTTCAGTGGTGCATCAGCGGCCGATGCATGGACATAGGGCCTCATGGACCGCCACCCCGAGACGGGGGATGGTCAGAGTGGGATGCTGAATGGTCGCTATGTTCCCGCACGTGCGGGGCGGAGTCAGGATGAAGACGAGGAAATGTGACACACCAAGGTCGGTATAGGAGCGGGGTCAGGATGATCTTTGGGCGAGGTTTGGGTTAACTCAAGTGGATATGACAGTTGTTGGGAGGGGGTGAATACAGAGAGAAGATAGAATCAGACCGAGGTAAGGAATGGGCGGAGACATCACTGACGATTGTTGAACAGTAACATAAAATGCCTTAATTTTAACAAATATATTTCTTTCATGAATTCATTTTGTCCAGACCGCTGTTTGGGGGAAAGAAGTGCGAGGGGATTGATTCTAAAGCAGAGCTGTGCAACGTTGAGGTGAGAACACAATGAGCGTCCTTCACCAGTCCTGCCAGTGTGTAATGTATTTTATTACCTACGTGGTCAACGTATGAAGATTGAGTGTCGAGTGTCGTATCGCGTTGACCTGTGTCGTAACGACTTGACCTGAAATTCTAACGATTTGATTGGATAACCGATGACCTCTCAATTAGGTCACATTCTGGCCGTAACTATTTTTCATTCATAACATATAAGTGAATTCATTCATTCTACAACTTAAATGCATTGTGGGAATGTAAACATTGCGAACGTTGCCGTGTCGCTGTTTAATTGTGAGTCGAACTGAGACATTATATCTGTCGAAAAACGTAAACGCAATGTTTCCACCAGTGATGTTAGCCGAATGAAGCAACTGGAAACCAAGAACGAGGTGCAACGGGTAGTTTACTGTAGGAGGCTGTACGAGGCGATGACAACTGACATGCATCGTGACGTCGGTTACCATGGCAGTGACGTCATTAGTGTGGCGTCATGCAAATATTGTACTACAGTACAAAACTCTTCCGCAACCTCTTTATGAAACCGGTTTCGGTTTGAAACCAAAAACATAACAAAAATACGCTATTTTGTCAATTTAAATGCATGTAAGACGTGGGTAATAAATAAAATACCACACTCGGTCTCATTACATACGAATTATACGAAACTCGTGACCTTCCTATGGTATCTGACCTCGCTTTCGCTCGGTCAGATACCATAGGAAGGACACTCATTCGTATAATTCGTATGTAATGAACCTCGTGTATAGTATTCTCTATGTACACACTGTGGTGTACATATAGTGATTCAATGTTCAGAAATAAACAAACGTTTTAGGACAGGAAGAACGCATTTCCCAGAAAATATGTTGCTATGTCAGGATGTAAAACCAAGTAACGTGGTCAGTGTGTTCACCCGCCTTTCCTCCAGCCCTGCAGCACCAGCCAATACCGCTACAAGGAGGAGCAGTGTGCCGCCACTGACATCTACCCCGTGGACGGGCGTCGCCTACACTGGTTGCCAGGGGATACTGTAGGTAAGGTAACTGGTGTCGACGGGCGTCGCCTCCACTGGTTGCCAGGGATACTGTAGGTAAGGTTACTGTTGTCGACGGGCGTCGCCTCCATTAGTTGCCAGGGTTACTGAACATAATACCACAGTACTGATGATTTTTCGAGATAGCTTTAAAAACCAATTTCAAAGCCAATTCGACGCAACGGGGTATTTTGCGGTATTTGAATAACTTCCCGTTGTCAGCTTTGCCCAGAATATCCACCATGTATGAAAACATTCGCTGTAAAACACCGACAATACCTCCCTTAAACCCACCCATCGTATATATTGTTCTCTGACGTGAGCGCTCTTGTGTGTGGTAGGTGACAGTGTGTGCATGCTGCACTGTATGGCGCTCTTGTGTGTGGCAGGTGACAGTGTGTGTATGCTGTACTGTAAGGCGCTCTTGTGTGTGGCAGGTGACAGTGTGTGTGTATGCTGTACTGTAAGGCGCTCTTATGTGTGACAGGTGACAGTGTGTGTATGCTGTACTGTAAGGCGCTCTTATGTGTGGCAGGTGACAGTGTGTGTATGCTGTACTGTAAGGCGCTCTTATGTGTGACAGGTGACAGTGTGTGTATGCTGTACTGTAAGGCGCTCTTATGTGTGGCGGGTGACAGTGTGTGTATGCTGTACTGTAAGGCGCTCTTGTGTGTGACAGGTGACAGTGTGTGTATGCTGTACTGTAAGGCGCTCTTGTGTGTGACAGGTGACAGTGTGTGTATGCTGTACTGTAAGGCGCTCTTGTGTGTGACAGGTGACAGTGTGTGTATGCTGTACTGTAAGGTGCTGTGTGTTATGTGTTACCAGCGGGTGACAGTGTGTGTATGCTGCACAGTGACAGTGTGTATGCTGCACTGTAAGGCGCGCTCTTGTGTGTGGCAGGTGACAGTGTGTGTATGCTGTACTGTAAGGCGCTCTTATGTGTGGCAGGTGACAGTGTGTGTATGCTGTACTGTAAGGCGCTCTTATGTGTGTGGCAGGTGACAGTGTGTGTATGCTGTACTGTAAGGCGCTCTTATGTGTGGCAGGTGACAGTGTGTGTATGCTGTACTGTAAGGCGCTCTTATGTGTGGCAGGTGACAGTGTGTGTATGCTGTACTGTAAGGCGCTCTTATGTGTGGCAGGTGACAGTGTGTGCATGTGCTACTGTAAGGCGCTCTTATGTGTGGCAGGTGACAGTGTGTGTATGCTGTACTGTAAGGCTCTCTTGTGTGTGGCAGGTGACAGTGTGTGTATGCTGTACTGTAAGGCGCTCTTATGTGTGACAGGTGACAGTGTGTGTATGCTGTACTGTAAGGCGCTCTTATGTGTGGAAGGTGACAGTGTGCAGGTGACAGTGTGTGTATGACTGTACTGTACTGTAAGGCGCTCTTATGTGTGGCAGGTGACAGTGTGTGTATGCTGTACTGTAAGGCGCTCTTATGTGTGGCAGGTGACAGTGTGTGTATGCTGTACTGTAAGGCGCTCTTATGTGTGACAGGTGACAGTGTGTGTATGCTGTACTGTAAGGCTCTCTTGTGTGGCAGGTGACAGTGTGTGTATGCTGTACTGCAGTCCGGTTGGGGATGAAACCATCCACTTGAGGGGGTCGGGACGAGCACCGACTACTCGGACGGTACTGAGTGTGACTCCGACGCCGGTGGCACCTACAACCGCTGTGTGTTGGGGAAGTGCAGGGTAAGTGTGTGTATTTGCGCTTAGAGGGCTTGTCGAGCTGGAACCCAGTTTGGCTTCTTGACAGGGGCCACAAAGACCTGAAGAAACACGTGTGCATACACCCCCGTGATCCCTATATCTGTCTGTATTGTACAATGTCTGTATGATATTTTGCATATATGTATAATGTTCCACCCTGGCTCCGCTGTCACACGCACACACACAGCCTGAACGTCCTCCATGAAGCTCAACATCAGATTGTGCCTGCTGATATGTCGTCTTAGAGTCGTCTGAAACTATGTAGCGTGTTTAAATAGCTTGAGTATACACGATTTGTTTTGAAGAAGTGCTATTTTCGTGAGGGGGGCTTCTTTTTTTGTGGCCAACGTTTCGTAATTTAATTGTATAAACAGTTGTTTTTATGTTAATTTGTGTCTGGTTCAATAAGGTCACGTCCAAACTGCAACCTCAGACACCATGTCAGTGTTGTAACCCAGTGTGGTATTTCTTGCATTTCGACGTTATACCTAGTTTAACGCATACATGGCTGATCTCTGTACACTCTGCCGATTTCCACTCTGTTCACAAGGCGTTTGGCTGTGATGGGGTCAGCGACTCCACCGCCCGTCTCGACATCTGTGGCGTCTGCAACGGTAGCAACAACACCTGCGAGAAGAAGACGGGGAGTTTCTTCCGAGGGGAGGAGAAAAGTGAGTTGGGCGATCACGCTACCTTGACCTTTTGTAATAGAAACGTCACGCAAACATCACAACAATTCATTACAGGTCATTTAGATTTCAAGAAATGGAATAAAAGTTGTATAGTCCTTGAATACTACTTAAAGCACGCTTAACGGTCTGTTTTAGGCTACGTGACGTTCCTGACGATTCCTAGGGGGTCAACAGGAATCAAGATGACCAACGACAACCGTTACACCTGGATGAGTGAGTGATACTTGTGACATCAAATGCCTCATTATGTATCGGTCGAAGAGACTGAAAAGGCGAATATCGGGCGGTGACCATCTTGATTACCGATTTCTGTAGGTTTCCGTCTATTTTTTTCCGCAGGTGTACGTGTCACTGATTTCTGTAGGGTTCTTTCCTGCTTATTCCTACAGGTATACGTCTGAATGGCCGGCGTCTGTTCAACACAAACGGACGTCAGAAGGACAAGAAAGACGCCTACAGAAGGGATGGTGTTAAAGTGCTGTATGCCCCGTACGGCCCCGAGAGTATCCAGATCCAAGGACCAGTCCCGGTGGAGCTGGAGGCTCAGGTACCAGAATAGCGTGTGTCACTCGAGAACAGCTGTAGGACCGGGCACAGCATTGTTTATCTTGCCTCACACATAAATGTCGTTTTCTGATTGGCTGAGCGCTCTTCTATTAATTTCAATGTACCCCGCTTACAAGCGAGTAACATTTTCTATGTACCCCGCTGGGAATGCCGAACTCATTTGGTACTTCGTAGTAGTAATTCTTTATCTCGAATAACATTGAATCACGTATGATATACGGGAAATTACCGATGTTTTGCGAATGCAAATCGATGGAAGGGAGATAACTATAAATTTGTTTTTCTTGTCGTCTTGTCGTCTGGTACTCCATACTATGATCCGATACCCAGTTAAAAATTACCATCGAGGTGTTCAGTAAGATAAATACGTTGTTCACTGGTCCCTCGGGACCCATGGGTTGATGTACCCATGAAGTTTGTTTATGTTCCCCCGCCCTTCAGGCTCAGGCTGTTACAGTATCGTGCAGTGATTACTCCCAAATGACAATGGGCAATAAGCGCTCCCTGAGACGCGCATGCGCAGTGCATAATCATGTGCGTTCGAGCAGACGCCATCGTTGGAATGTAACTTGTTTGTTTACATTAAACCTATGAAACTTGACGCCTTGTCATTTCATAACACAGGGAACATAAACAAACATCGAGGGTACATCAGCCCATGCCCCCTCGTGACCAGTGAACAACGTATATTGTCACACTCCAGTACAGCTGTAGGTCTGTTGAGTTATAGCAGCCTCATGTACCTGCAGTATCATCACCCGAGTAATGTCTACGTCAAATGTGGCACCTTTTCCATCACAGCACCAGGCACACCCCACACAACACCACTCACCACAAAACCACTCCACAGCCCACCCAATACACTGTCAAACAACATTACATATCCACCAAATATCCCATAACACCACCCACCTACTACACCAACAACCATAAACTATACCATCCAACACAACACCCTTCCTCCACACTACCTCCACGACAGTACCGGGGCGGTGGGGTAGCCTAGTGGTTAAAGCGTTGGCTCGTCACGCCGAAGACCCGGGTTCGAATCCCCACATGGGCACAATGTGTGAAGCCCATTTCTGGTGTCCCCCGCCGTGATGTTGCTGGAATATTGCTAAAAGCGGCGTAAAACCAAACTCAGTCAGTCAGTCTGTCCACGACTGTACCACCCATCATCTACCCAGCCCATCACAAACCCACTACATCATCCACAGGTGTACCGGCTATTCGGCTACACCTACTCCGACGTCAACCCGGAGATCTACTACGAGTTCTACCAGCCCCTGTCTACGCCCCCTCACTACACGTGGACGACCGAGGAGGGACCTTGTAGCACCACGTGTGGACACGGTATGTGACAGGAGAGGACGGTCTAACAGACAGACAAACAGGCAGTTGATGAAAAGACGTGTCTTGACGGCTGAGACCGTCGCATAACTTCGTGTTCTGACTGCAACAGATGATGATAGAAAGTCCTAGGTGATGAAGTCTAATGCTGACCCCCGATCTCCCCACGTGCCTGTTTCTCTGTCCCTGTATAACATTATAAGACTGTGTCTCACTGTATGTGACAAACTGTGACAATATATGACTACATTGCCAGTGTATCTGACTCTTTCGGTCAACATGTGTCCGTTCATGTATTCTACTGTATGTTTCTCTGTGTATGCTCTGTATATGACTGCATATGACTGTATATCTGACGGTGTATATGACTGTATATCTGACGGTGTATATGACTATATCTGACGGTGTATGTGACTGTATATCTGACGGTGTATGTAACTGTATATCTGACGGTGTATATGACTATATCTGACGGTGTATATGACTGTATATCTGACGATGTATGTGACTGTATATCTGACGGTGTATGTGACTGTATATCTGACGGTGTATGTGACTGTGTCCAGGCTCCAGATCGGTTCAGGCTGTGTGTGTGCGGGCAGACAGCGGGACCAGGGTAGTAACAAGCAGCTGTGACGAGGGAACGAGGCCGGACACCCAACCGATAGTCTGTCAGCAACAGTCGTGCCCACCCAGGTCAGTGAACACGTCAGCAGGTAGCGTGAAGGCATGAGTAGAACACGTGAAACAAATAAACGCGTAATGTGTAGAACACTTAAATACTTATACCTAGAGAACATTGTAGAATACGTGAGAGGCATGAGTAGAATACGTGAAGACACATGCAGAACACGTAAAGAACATGTGTAGAACACTTAAAGACATGTGGGGAATGAAAAGGAATTTGTAGAACACGTAAATACTTATACCTAGAGAACATTGTAGAATACGTGAGAGGCATGAATAGAATACGTGAAGATACATGCAGAACACGTAAAGAACATGTGTAGAACACTTAAAGACGTGGGGAATGAAAAGGCATTTGTAGAACACTTAAATACTTATACCTAGAGAACATTGTAGAATACGTGAGAGGCATGAGTAGAATACGTGAAGACACATGCAGAACACGTAAAGAACATGTGTAGAACACTTAAAGACATGTGGGGAATGAAAAGGCATTTGTAGAACACGTGAAGACGTGTTGAATACGTCTTGGACATTGTAGATCACATGAATACGTATGAAATCTATGAAATGTGTAGATGACGTACAGGACAGTTATAGAACACGTGTAGGACAGTTTTATAACACGTGTGGCACAGTTTTATAACACGTGTGGAACAATTTTATAACACCTGTAGGACAGTTTTATAACCCGTGTGGAACAGTTTTATAACACGTGTAGGACAGTTTTATAACACGTGTGGCACAATTTTATAACACGTGTGGAACAATTTTATAACACGTGTAGGACAGTTTTATAACACGTGTGGCACAGTTTTATAACACGTGTAGGACAGTTTTATAACACGTGTGGCACAGTTTTATAACACGCGTAGGACAGTTTTATAACACGTGTAGGACAGTTTTATAACACGTGTGGAACAGTTTTAGAACACGCGTAGGACAGATGGAGATGGATTGTCCACTCAGTAGTCAAGATCATTAGTGGATGTAAAGATTGTCCAAGAGACAAGGGAGGGTGGAAATGCCCTTTTATGTCAGTGTGTGGTCTATGTCGTCTTGTAACTCCTGGGTCTGTTGCTGCAGGTGGCACACAGGGGTATACGGCCCCTGTTCCAGGTCGTGTGGAGGGGGACTGGCCACCCGGACTGTCCAGTGTCTACAGCACAAGGCTGGTCAGTCACAGGTGCTTGAAGATGACCAGTGTAATCCGGACAGCAGACCCGTGGCCACCAAGCTGTGTGGATCCCAGCCGTGCCCTGCCACGTGGAGAACTGACCCCTGGACAGATGTTAGTAGGGAGGGACCGATAAATGTATATGTCACAAGTGTAGATACCCACTACTTGCTTGGCAGGCCATCAACCAAGTGAAACTAACTTACAGAAGAACATACATAACTGGTCTTTAGGATCTTTTTACGGGACCGCCTCCGTGGTGTAGTGGTTAGAGCGTCCGCCCGGAGAGCGGAAGGTCGTGGGTTCGATCCCCGACCGCGTCCTACCAAAAGACGTTAAAATATGGTACTTGTTGGTCCCTGCCTGGCGCTCGGCATTAATGGGTACAACAAGGACTGGTTGGCTCGGAGTCAGTATAATGTGTCTGATCTCAGTGGGCTAGCACTATAAAACCAGCTTAAGTCTGGGCTAGTACAAGCAGCCGCACATACACATACACACGCATGCACGTCGTCATATGAGCGAAATATTCTCAAGCACGACGTTAAACCCAATTTCACCTCACCTCACCTAGGATCTTTTTACATTTTACAACAAAGGCCGTAAATGTGTTGAAAAGTGTATTAATTGTGACGTAAAGATCTCAGTTACTATGTACATGTTGTCGAAACACCACAGAGATCGTACCAACTTGAGACGTTGCCATCGCAAAGTGTTTACTTTGCTCTTTTAGGGGGTAGATAATCCCCAAGCACCGGAGGTTTACTTTCCTCTGTACGTACATACGTAGGCTGCACACCAGTTTGTGTAAAACAACTTATCAAAACCCATGCTAAAGTGGATGTAGTAAGGTTGGTGGGCCTCTCTATAATTCCTAATGGAGTGAAAAGGTAATAATTTGAACTAACTATATTAATAATAGGTAATAATGATTAACATATTTTTATGACTGAAGTATACCAATATTTCCAGTGTTCACAGACCTGTGGGATAGGGGTGAGGAAGAGAGTGGTGCGATGTGTCCTGGACACGTCCCCACCCACCCAGGTACCCGACAGCGACTGTCAACCGTTAGACAAACCGGGTATCAGTGTTTCCTGCCAGAGGGCCGCATGTTCCACACCCCAGGTACACAATCTGTACATCAGGATTTAACAGGCTTAACAGCATCCAAGTCAAAACATTGATTACACAACAGTCTCGTTTCCTGTTGACTGGGTTCCGTCCTATTGCGCAACTTAGTACAATACCAGTCAAGGATTTTAAGACCAATCCATTTAACTGGATACATAATTATTAATCAGAATCATTTGATACATCTAAGCACTTGTATATTGCAACACTACGCTCCTTATAATCCTTGCAAACATGTGCGGCGTGCTCTGTCGTACAGCGAGCACTGACACACAAAAACCTGGAAATCATGGAAATCTCAAAACGAGGCTCTGTCGCTAGAAAAGTTTGGCGGTCTGGTACGGACTGGATATTATATCAATCACATTGTGCGTTGCAGAACTGCACTGAATAAGCGCAAAAAAACATAACGGGTGTAACCAGTGAGCCAGATGCATTGTGAATCATTTTACAACCTCATCAAACTGGGGCAGTCTGTGACGTCTTAGTTAAGGTCATGCTGCCCACACCTCGCCATAAAATATAGAAATACGATGTTATTAAAGTTTAAAATCAAAATTCATTTGTAAATACCATTTTCTTATGAAACATGGAATTGGAATTCAGTGTAACCATAGATGTTTGTAATGTCTATTTTCACTTTCACACGAGAAAATTCGGATCGGCTGAAAAGTAGGTCATTGTCTGAATAGGTTAATGAGACTCGTGTTTCGGTTGGATTCGGTGCCATAGCCATTACACCGCTTAACCAGCACCGAGTTGGATCTTCAATGAAATGAAATTCATCTATGTGTCTTTATGCATAACTGTTGCGTGGTTTGTAGGTTCAACAATTGTTGAAACATTATTGCGATACCACTCCTCCCTCTAAAATATATTTCTTCACATCCCTGTACGCAATTGCCCTTCATTCCGAGGTTCAGTGGAAACTTAAAAGTGTAAAAGTGTTTTTCCACACTTGCACCCGATTTATACCTCGGATAAACCCGAACGTTGTAGTAATTACGACGTGCGTTGATTGTTAGGTAATATAACATTCATTTATCGTTAACACATAGCCATTAGACACCCAGTCTAAGTAAACTTAGGCTCAGTATTATTCGTTACACTGCTATACTGAGTCTAACAAACCCTAGTGGAAGGTCGCGTCAGCTAACCTTTTGGACTGACCAGTCAACACAGCTTACCAAATAGCAAAAGTTAACATTCGCACTTACCGTTTGAACCTTTACCTCAAAAACTCGAACGATTCCGGATGCTATTTTCCGCACGATCGCTTCCGAGTGATACACATGGAGGGCGCAATGAGTAAACAGTCACTGAACATAGCGTTTTTGTCAATATTCAAGGATGTCATCTTGCGGAAATATGAGCTAAGAGTAACCATGTCATTAGAAATCCCTAAGCGTATATACTACAGGTCAAATATCTGAGTTTTATGCGGATTTTCGTTTGTTGATAGATCAGTGTCAACGACCAGGGAAGAGAAAATCCAAAAACCGTTTTGTAAGTCCCGCCGAAACCTAACAAGTAGTCGTTGTCTGATTGGCTCGGCCGTCTCGCGTTTGATTGGACGGTCATAGGTCGCTCAAGGTTAGCTGACCGGACCTTCTACTAGGGTTGTTAGACTCAGTGTGGCAGTGTAACGAATAATACTGAACCTAAGTTTACTTAGACTGCCATTACACCGCTGACCAATAGTTTGATGGATCCAGCTCTATGTGACGTATTGCGTGTCTACAGAAGCTGAGGAGGGGAGACAATCACAGGAAGACGAGATGTCACGTACTGGTGGAGGTCGGCCAGATCTACAAGAAGATGCAGCAGGTGTAGGGGTGGGCACACAGCAGGGGGGAGATCAAAGTGTCACAGACCAGTCGGGATTCAAAGATGTGGGCTATCCGCGAGGTGGGGAGGGCACACCAGAAGAGGTAGGGGAGGGACAGAAAGTCACAGAAGGTGACGTCGCAACAGGTGCTGAGGGTTACTACAATTCTCACCCAGTCCCACGTGAGTATGTCACCACCGATCGTGTCAGTGACGACATCACAATAGCAGAGAGTGACGTCACACAAAGAGAAAATGACATTTCACAAGGTGAGGAGGACGTCACACAACGGGATGAGGACCTCACACGAGGGGGAGTAAATGACTTCCCACAAATAGGAGAAGATGACGTCACACAAGGGGAAGAGGTTATTGGCGATGAATCTGATGATGCAGGGCAACCATCAGAAGAAGATGGTGAAGACCGGATATTGCTGGACCAAGGCTGTATGGATGTGTTAAGTAACTGCCGACAGTACAGTCAGAGCGACTGCAGACAGTTCCCAGACTGGGGCAGACAGAACTGCCAGAGGCGATGTAACTACTGCGGAGACAACGACGTTCAAGCAACGACATCCTCTACCAGTGAGGATTCGGACTGTAGCGACGTCAACAAGCAGTGTGTTGAGTATCCAGACAGCGTGTGTGAGGAGTACGAAGCATGGGCAGGAATCAACTGTAGACGTCGGTGTCACTACTGTGAGCAGGACATGGGGGCGGTGACAGGTGAGGGGGACAGGGTCAGCTGGAAGTATGGGTGAGGGGGAATGTACATGTGGGTGACGGGTGGATGTGGATGTGTTTGGGTTCTTTATTTAGTTGTTTAACGCTGCACACAGCAATATTTAAGCTAGATGACGACAGTCTGCACATAATCGAGTCTGGTCCAGTATTTTACATCATGAACATCCATATAGTCAGTTGGGATACGATGGTAGGATACATTAAGTAAGTCAACGAGACTGACCAACCGATCCTGTTAGTCGCCTCTTACGACAAGCATGAAGATGTTGGTAGTGGTAGATTTAGATGTTGGTGAGGGTAGATGTAGATGCTGGTATGGGTGGATGTAGATGTTGGTAGAGGTGGATATTGTAGTTGTGGATGTAGATGTTGGTAGGGGTGGATGTAGATGTTGGTAGGTGTTGATGTAGACGTTGGTAGGGGTGGATGTAGATGGTAGTCGTGGATGTAGATGTTGGTAGGAGTTGATGTAGATGTTGGTAGGGGTGGATATAGATGGTAGTCGTGGATGTAGATGTTGGTAGGGTGGATGGTATGTAGATGTGGTGTTGGTAGTCGGTGGATGTGGATGTTGGATGTGGATGTAGATGGAGGGGTGTGTAGATGTGGATGTAGATGTTGGTAGGAGTGGATGTAGATGTTGGTAGGGGTGGATGTAGATGGTAGGGTCGATGTAGATGTTGGTAGATGTAGATGGTAGGATGGATGGATGTAGATGTTGGTAGGAGTTGATGGATGTTGGTAGGGGGATGTAGATGTTGGTAGGGATGTATGATGTTGGTAGGGTGGATATGGTAGTTGTGGATGTAGATGTTGGTAGGGGTGTGGATGTAGATGGTAGTCGTGGATGTAGATGTTGGTAGGGGTGGATGTAGATGTAATCGTGGATGTAGAGATTGTGGATGTAGATGTTGGTAGGGGTGGATGTAGATGTTGGTAGGAGTGGATGTAGACGTTGGTAGGGGTGGATGTAGATGGTAGTCGTGGATGTAGATGTTGGTAGATGTTGGTAGGGTAGTGGATGTTGGTAGGGATAGTGATGTAGACGTTGGTAGGGTGGATGGATGTAGATGTTAGAGGTAGGATGTAGTGTTGGTAGGTGTGGATGTTGGTAGGGGTGGATGTAGATGGTAGTCGTGGATGTAGATGTAGTCGTGGATGTTGGTAGTTGTGGATGTAGATGTTGGTAGGGGTGGATGTAGATGTGGATGATGTTGGTAAAATGGATATAGATGTTGGTAGGAGTGTAGATGTAGATGTTGGTATGGGGTGTAGATGTTGGTAGTGGATGTAGATGTTGGTATAGATGTAGATGTTGGTAGGGGTGGATGTAGATATTGGTAGTGTGGATGTAGATGTTGGTATGGGTGGATGTAGATGTTGGTGGATGTAGATGTGGATGTAGATGTTGGTAGTTGTGGATGTAGATGTTGGTAGGGGTGGATGTAGATGTTGGTAGATGTGGATGATGGTAGGGGTAGTTGGTAGATGTTGGTAGTCGTGGATGTAGATGTTGGTAGGAGTGGATGTAGACGGTGGTATGTGGATGTAGATAGGATGTTGGTAGGGGTGGATGTAGATGTTGGTAGATGTTGGTAGGGTGGATGTAGATGTTGGTAGGTGGATGATGGTAGGAGATGTTGGTAGGGGTGGATGTTGATGTTGTAGGGTGGATGTAGATGTATGTAGATGTTGGTGGATATGTAGTTGTGTTGGTAGATGGATGGAGCTGATGGAAGTTGGTGGGGTGGATGTTGGTAGGTGTGGATGTAGATGTTGGTAGGTGGATGTAGATGGTAGTCGTGGTAGTTGTGGATGTAGATGTTGGTAGGAGTTGATGTAGACGTTGGTAGGGGGTGGATGTAGATGTTGGTAGGGTGATGTAGACGTTGGTAGGGGTGGATGTAGATGGTAGTCGTGGATGTAGATGTTGGTAGATGTTGGTAGGTGTGGATGTAGATGTTGGTAGGGGTGGATGTAGACGTTGGTAGGGGTGGATGTAGATGTTGGTAGGAGTTGATGTAGACGTTGGTAGGGGTGGATGTAGATGGTAGTCGTGGATGTAGATGTTGGTAGGGTGGATGTAGATGTTGGTCAGGATTACAATGGACAGGTGATGAGAAATACTGATGTGTGGGAGTGGATGATTCTTGTTTGTAAAGGTGAGCGTTGTTCTCCTCGACGTAGGTTAGGGTACTTGTATGTAAGTTAAGGTTGACGTTTGCTGCAGCAAGATGCTGGGTTTGTTTTCATGGGCGTGTTGTGAGCTGGGTCCTTTTCCGGAATTATCATGAAAAATATTCCCTGTTTTGTTCCCTTTCAGCTACTGTGACTGCGACCTGCATGGACGTATCCAGTGACTGCCACGACTACGATCACTCCGTGTGTGTCCAGTACAGAGACTGGGCAGAGGTCAACTGCCGGAAGTTCTGTCACATCTGTACTTAGTGCGTCCTGTATGTGGAAGTATTATAAGTCTTTTATGTTGATTCTCTTGGGTTTTGTATGCTTCGTTGCTTCATGATGACCTGTCAGTGTCCTGTGTTGACAGTGTGCTTCATGATGACCTGTCAGTGTCCTGTGTTGACAGTGTGTGCTTCGTTGCTTCATGATGACCTGTCAGTGTCCTGTGTTGACAGTGTGCTTCATGATGACCTGTCAGTGTCCTGTGTTGACAGTGTGCTTCATGATGACCTGTCAGTGTCCTGTGTTGACAGTGTGCTTCATGATGACCTGTCAGTGTCCTGTGTTGACAGTGTGCTTCATGATGACCTGTCAGTGTCCTGTGTTGACAATGTGCTTCATGATGACCTGTCAGTGTCCTGCGTTGACAGTGTAACCTGTCAGTGCCTCTTGATGACCTGTCAGTGTCCTGTGTTGACAATGTGCTTCATGATGACCTGTCAGTGTCCTGTGTTGACACCTGTGTTGACAGTGTGCTTCATGATGACCTGTCAGTGTCCTGTGTTGACAGTGTGCTTCATGATGACCTGTCAGTGTCCTGTGTTGACAGTGTGCTTCATGATGACCTGTCAGTGTCCTGTGTTGACAGTGTGCTTCATGATGACCTGTCAGTGTCCTGTGTTGACAGTGTGGCTCGTTCACCCCAGATTGTTAATTGGCTTATAAGGAACAAGTGTTGTTTCTGTCAAATCCCTTTCAATGATCTATGGACATACACATAAAATGACTTATACGCCCTTCACACGACACATGTTCCGTCATTTGTGTCACATATCGAGTTGCCAAAGTTTCACCAGGACACAATACGCACTGTTACGCGTAGATCTGGGTTAGAACCGTCCAGATGCAATTCACCGGATCAAGAGGTTCGACTTTCTTTATACATGTCATCGTACCACAATTCTGTTGATCGATGATCATGATGTCGATCCCTGTCTGATCCAATCTCGATTACATTTAGACCGCCTTCGTGTAGCTGGAATATTGCTGAATGAGGTAAAACAAGAAACGAGCAAAATAAACTGTCTGACTGGGAATTGTTGGCACAATGCTATTTGTTTGTAAATTTCATGTTCCTTTGCTTCAGATCCAGTGACTGGCAACTGTGTTCCAGAGGCACTCTAATCACCGGACAGTTGTTCCCTTATGTGGACAATTCTTGACCAATCCCACTGAAATCAGATCTTGTACTCAGATGTAATACCTGTCTGCCTGACAACCAGATCTACGTATAATGACCTCCACAGCATCGGACTTCTAACGTGTCATGCACGAACGAAAAGGGACAGTTTCGAATGGAAAGTAATAAAAACCACACGATATATTTTGCTGTGATTACGTTGTATATCCAGTGGATGGTGAGCGCCAGGCTATCCCCACTCAAACAGAATGTACTCGTGATGGAATGGTGGGTTTTCACTGGGTTTTCCTCAGTTAAAGTTACAATTTGCCGACTCCAGATGGTAAAGATATGAAGGTGAACGGTTTTAGAATACTTGCAATGTGGGCGTCTCAAAACATCCCTCATCCATTAGCAACACTTGGAGGTCAAAGGTGACCCAGGGTTCATCTTATTGAATATGTTTAATAAGGCATCGGTCACACTGTATTCAACGCACATGCGCAGTGGGCAGTAAGGACATTATTCATATGAGATACCTGTTTATTTAAGAATACATCATGATCTGATAAACTGGTTTTATCTGTACCAAATGGCCAGCTGTACAAGCATTAAACATCGTAAGACATGCAGACGGCACCTGCTAACACTCTACACACTCTCAGAAATCCTGAACCAGCACTGGTTGGACTTTCTACTGCTGCTCTAGTCTCATCCAGCCATTATTGCAAAGAGTATGAACAACATTCCTGTCACCAAACTGGGATGAACAACTTAGCCTTTGGAATCGTAGGAAGATCACATCTTGTCTGTGATTGTGTACAGGGCTCTGTAGCCGCGACCGGCGCCCGAGTCGTCGGAGTGGAACACCAGTTTAACGTGGGGACTGGAGGACTCCCATATGAACCGATCGGTCATACCACAGTACGTCTCGTGTCCTCCCCCACCCAGGTCGTACACCTGCAGACAAACAACAAATGTCATACACCTGCAGACAAACACAGGTCGTAAACCTGCAGACAAACACAGGTCGTATACCTGCAGACAAACACAGGTCGTATAGCTGCAGACAAACACAGGTCGTATACCTGCAGACAAACACAGGTCGTATACCTGCAGACAAACACAGGTCGTATAGCTGCAGACAAACACAGGTCGTATACCTGCAGACAAACACAGGTCGTATACCTGCAGACAAACAACAAATGTCATACACCTGCAGACAAACACAGGTCGTATACCTGCAAACAAACAACAAATGTCAACCTGCAGACAAACAACACAACTCTCACACCTACAATCAACACATCTTGCACCCTGCAAACAACAACACAACTCGCACACCTGCAAACAAACAACACAACTCGCACACCTGCAAACAAACAACACAACTCGCACACCTGCAGAAAACCACAACGGGTCATACATCTGCAGACAAACACAGCTCGCACACCTGCAAAAAAACAACATATGTCCCTAGTATTTACTATCGGTGCATCACAGTGTCGCAGAGTGATAGCTAATGTTTGTTTGTTTAACGTCGCAATCAGCAATATTCCACCTATATGGATGGGGTCTGTAAATAATCGAGTCTGGACCAGACAATGTTTTAACCAGCTGGTATACTCACTAACACTGTGGTGTAGTGACACAAGGTTTTAACCAGCTGGTATACCCACCGTCAGTGAGTCATGTTGACACAAGGTTTTAACCAGCTGGTATACCCACCGTCAGTGAGTCATGTTGACACAAGGTTTAACCAGCTGATATACCCACCGTCAGTGAGTCATGTTGACACAAGGTTTAACCAGCTGATATACCCACCGTCACTGAGTCATGTTGACACAAGGTTTTAAACCAGCTGATATACCCACTGTCACTGAGTCATGTTGACACAAGGTTTAACCAGCTGGTATACCCACCGTCACTGAGTCATGTTGACACAAGTCGTCAGCTTCCTGAAGTTCCAGGCGGTCAAAGGCGATCTGGATCTTCTGGTTCGTCTCTCCAGTGATATAGGTGATGCAGTGGGAGTTAGCCGGGTACTCATCAGGGTACCCGGGACTGGTGATGGCACCCGCTGTATCAGTCAGCTGTTGGCTACAACCTGTGGCAGAAATGAACAAGTTTACCTATATCGCCGATACAGATCTACCTACTAAACAGCTTTACTCATTCCTACTGAACAACTTTACCTACGTCAACTGTACAGCTTTATTTACATCACCAGTACAGTTTGACTTACATCACCTGTACAGCTTTACTTACATCACCTGTACAGCTTTACTTACATCACCTGTACAGCTTTACTTACATCACCTGTACAGCTTTACTTATCACCTGTACTTTAACTTTACATCACCTGTACAGCTTTACTTACATCACCTGTACAGCTTTACTTACATCACCTGTACAGCTTTACTTACATCACCTGTACAGCTTTACTTACATCACCTGTACAGCTTTACTTACATCACCTGTACAGCTTTACTTACATCACCTGTACAGCTTTACTTACATCACCTGTACAGCTTTACTTACATCACCTGTACAGCCTTTTACTTTACAGCTTACATCACCTTACAGCCTTACTTACATCACCTGTACAGCTTTACTTACATCACCTGTACAGCTTTACATCACCTGTACAGCCCACTTTACATCACCTGTACAGCTTTACTTACATCACCTGTACAGCTTTACTTACATCACCTGTACAGCTTTACTTACATCACCTGTACAGCTTTACTTACATCACCTGTACAGCTTTACTTACATCACCTGTACAGCTTTACTTACATCACCTGTACAGCTTTACTTACATCACCTGTACAGCTTTACTTACATCACCTGTACAGCTTTACTTACATCACCTGTACAGCTTTACTTACATCACCTGTACAGCTTTATTTCTACATCACCTGCTTTACTTACATCACCTGTACATTTACATCACCCGCAGGCCTTTTACATCACCAGTACAGTTTGACTTACATCACCTGTACAGCTTTACTTTTTACATCACACTGTACAGCTTAAATCACCTGTACTGCTTTACTTACATCACCAGTACAGTTTGACTTACATCACCTGTACAGCTTTACTTTACATCACATGTACTGCTTTACTTAAATCACCTGTACAGCCTTACTTTACATCACCTGTACAGCTTTACTTACATCACCTGTACAGCTTTATTTACATCACCAGTACAGTTTGACTTTACATCACCTGTACAGCTTTACTTAAATCACCTGTACAGCCTTACTTACATCACATGTACTGCTTTACTTAAATCACATATCCAGCCTTACTTACATCACCTGTACAGCTTTTCCACTTAAATCACCTGTACGGCCTTACTTACATCACCTGTACAGCCTTACTTACATCACCTGTACAGCCTTACTTACATCACCTGTACAGCCTTACCTACATCACCTGTACAGCCTTACTTACATCACCTGTACGGCTTTACTTACATCACCTGTACGGCTTTACTTACATCACCTGTACAGCTTTACTTACATCACCTGTACAGCTTTACTTACATCACCTGTACAGCCTTACTTACATCACCTGTACAGCCTTACTTACATCACCTGTACAGCCTTACTTACATCACCTGTACAGCCTTACTTACATCACCTGTACAGCCTTACTTACATCACCTGTACAGCTTTACTTAAATCACATATCCAGCCTTACTTACATCACCTGTACAGCTTTACTTAAATCACATGTACAGCCTTACTTACATCACCTGTACAGCCTTACTTACATCACCTGTACAGCCTTACTTACATCACCTGTACAGCCTTACTTACATCACCTGTACAGCCTTTTTTACATCACCCAGATTATGACTTTATTTACACCCTGAGTATGACTTTATTTATACCCTGATTATGACTTTATTCATACCCAGATTATGACTTTATTCATACCCAGATTATGACTTTATTTATACCCTGATTATGACTTTATTCATAACCTGATTATGACTTGATTCATACCCAGATTATGACTTTATTTATACCCTGATTATGACTTTATTCATACCCTGATTATGACTTTATTCATACCCAGATTATGACTTTATTCATACCCAGATTATGACTTTATTTATACCCTGATTATGACTTTATTCATACCCTGATTATGACTTTATTTATACCCTGATTATGACTTTATTCATACCCTGATTATGACTTTATTCATTCCCAGATTATGACTTTATTTATACCCTGATTATGACTTTATTCATACCCAGATTATGACTTTTATTTATACCCCTGATTATGACTTTTATTCATACCCTGATTATGACTTTATTTATACCCTGATTATGACTTTATTCATACCCAGATTATGACTTTATTTATACCCTGATTATGACTTTTATTCATACCCCTGATTATGACTTGATTCATACCCAGATCATGACTTTATTTATACCCTGATTATGACTTTATTTACACCCTGATTATGACTTTAGGACCCAGATTAGGACTCTTGTTTTGTCGTACTTTAGAGGGTGTAGTCATGGAGAGTATGTGTGACACTCACTGGTGTAGGGCCTGTCTCCGGGGATGCTGTGGTAGCGGATTCGGGCGCCGTGACGTTGTCTGGCGATGGAGAAGTCTAGGACGACGATGCTTCCCACCGACGTCCACCCATTCTCTTTGTTGTTTTCACACAGTCGATGAGTGTTGGTCACGCCCACTTCGCTGAGGGTCAGGCGGTCACCTTCAGTGTACGAGGGAAAACTGGGTGACGTCATGTTGGGCATGTGCCTACATGTACATACATACGTACACGCACACACATAATACCTTCACAGAAATACACACAAATATAATTATAATATCTAAATACATACATGACATGGTCCATCTCCACCCAGCTTGAAGTGGTCCTCATCTCCCCCGCACTATACCCAGCTTGACCTCGTCCCTAACTTTGTCCATTTGCTCTACACCCAGTCCAAGGTGGTCACTACCTTTGTCCATATCCTCGACATCAGGTTTGATGTAGTCCATATTTTTGTTCCCCTCCTCTACACCCAGGTTGATGTGGTCCCTACCTTTGCCCACTTGCTCGACATCCAACTAGACCTGGTCCCTCCCTTTATCCGCCTATATACGTTCCACCCAGATTGATGTTGTCCCTACCTTTGCCCACCTGCTCGACATCCAACTAGACCTGGTCCCTCCCTTTATCCGCCTATATACGTTCCACCGAGATTGATGTCGTCCGTACCATTGCCCACCTGCTCGACATCCAACAAGACCTGGTCCCTCCCTTTATCCGCCTATATACGTTCCACCGAGATTGATGTGGTCCCTACCTTTGCCCACCTGCTCGACATCCAACAAGACCTGGTCCCTCCCTTTATCCGTCTATATACGTTCCACCCAGATTGATGTTGTCCCTACCTTTGCTACACTTCATGTCCATCTCCTCTACATCCAGCTTTACCCTGGTCCCGAGGGGAGTCACTATGGTGAACCTGCACCCTGTGTCGTCAATCAGCCTCCCCATCACGTCTATAACGCCATCGCTCCCCGTCATAACGCGGTTACACAGCTGAGGGATTGGCTCGTCTGCTGACCCTAAAAAAACACACAAAACTGGATCAAACATTTAATCACATTTCGGTCAAAGTTATTGTTGGAAAAATTAACACAATAATAGGAATAATGATGTTGAATAGCTCAATATTTAAGCTCAGTGCATATTTCTCATGCTGTCAGCAATGTGTATTTGTGTCAGCTATTTTCAGTAGTAGTACACAATTTGAAAGGGTTGTGCATTATCAAATTCAGTGATATCTAAGAGGTTTCTCAATGTATTTTGTGCGGCTATAACTAAAATACTAGAAGCATTACGTATGCAGTATCTCATTTTTATGGTTATTTTTTTCGCATTGTCTCAAGTTGGAAAAATGTTCAGTATATTTCTAAAGCAAACAAGATATTTTGTTTGTAGTTTGTACTAAAGATTGACACTGGGTTTGGTTAATGACACACTGCATGAGTAAATACAGTCACTTCGTGTAGCGTGCTGGCTGCAGCTCGTCACAAAGACCATAACAGGAGGATGAGGTGTCTCTCCAAACACTCGTGTCAATTAATACAAGCACCAGTAGCTATGTCAGAATCAGTAGCCACCAACACAAGCATCAGAACACCCATGAAAACATCCTTGTCCACAAACACAAGCACGAGTGTTTACAGATTCAAGCACCAATGTTCACCTATAAAAGTGCCAATGTCAATCAGTAGAAGCACCAACGCGCACTGTCACCAGCACCAATTATATATACAAGCACCAATGTCTACTTATATAAGCACAAATGTTTACCTACATAGCACCAATGTCGACCTATATAAGCACTAATGTATATCTATATAAGCACCAATGTATACCTATATAAGCACCAATGTATACTATATAAGCACAAATGTCTACCTATATAAGCTCCAATGCGCACTGCCACTAGCACCAATCATATATACAAGCAACAATGTCTACCTATATAAGCACCAATGTCTACCTATATAAGCACCAATGTCTACATATATAAGCACCAATGTATACCTATATAAGCACCAATGTCTACCTATACAAGCACCAATATCTACCTATATAAGCACCAATGTCTACCTATGTAAGCACCAATGCGCACTGCCACCAGCACTAATCATATATACAAGCACCAATGTCTACCTTTACAAGCACCAATGTCTACCTATATAAGCACAAATATCTACCTATATAAGCACCAATGTTTACCTATGTAGGCACCAATGCGCACTGTCACCAGCACCAATCATATATACAAGCACCCATGTCTACCTATATAAGCACCAATGTCTACTTATATAACAACCAATGTCTACCTATACAAGCACCAATATCTACCTATATAAGCACCAATGTCTACCTATATAAGCACCAATGCATATTATTGATATTATATGATATTTATATAGCGCACATATCCACGCAACTAGTGCATGCTCAAGGCGCTGGTATTTTTCCCTCGATCATTTGATGTCAATCTCAACGGCACATCGTATTATCAATTTCAACTCCCTGGGCAGTATACAACTCTTGCAGCCACTAGGCGCACCGAGTTATTGTGGCTTTCTCATCCTAACGAGGTACCCATTTACAGCTGGGTGGACTGGGACACATAGTCACAGTACTTTGTTCAAGTTCACTGCACGTTGCTGCAGACGCAACTAGGTGTTTGCACGCATTCATGTGGCCACCATCTGGTCATATACCAACGGATTCGTGGGTTGTTTTAAAGGTCACATAAACCTTAGGGGGTAATAATACATAAATCACTAACTGGCATCGTTATAAATGAAACCCCGTCATTAAAACTACTCATTTCGACCTTTAATTGACTTAAATCGACCTTTTTGACAACAGTGCACAATTCTCACCCGCGAACGAAATTTCAACCAATCAGAGCGGCGCGACTCTGTGACGTCATATGAGGAATAGCTTTGAGGGCCGATGCAGAATTCATCTACATTTTAGGGGGTAAATTATCTTGTTTACAGGCTTGTATACACCTGAAATCGTGACAATTGTTGTGGAAAATGAAAGCTATATGTTCTCACAATCTACTGGCATTTAATTTTGTCTCCTGCTTTGCCTAGTTTCCGAGTTACAACTTGTTTTCATAGACGCTTCTGTCACAATTGACTGGTGTCGTTAGGCCCTATTTGTATAATGACTGATCCAAATTGATCCCATTTCTGTGTTTTTTTACCTCGATATTTAATCATGTCATGTAAAAATCGGTTTGTATTCTCAACACAGTGTCGGCCCATAAGTTTTCACATGCAATACAGCAATTAATACTCCCTTGTTGTAACCCGTGTTAGGTGGTATAAACCTACACATGTTATTTGTCATCATTCACTTGATGGTCAGTTAATGAATTTATAACAGGTATAATTAGTGGTAACACACTTAGATTACCCGACAAAGGTTCCCATTTGGCATTTCTTGTGTCTGGAGTAAATATTCAACATTATGAACATCGATCAAAGGATTAACCGATAACACGCTGATTGATTAATTACTTTTATCTTACACAGCGGAATTGTCAAAAGGTAGTGTTTATGTATGTAGATTTACTAATCTATACTGAATACACTCTGCCGTGCCGGTGTCTGCGTAAAAACAACGTCCTTCTTTCAAAGGATTAACTGGCAATACATTGATTGATTGCCCATTATTGGCTAACTAAATTACTGTTTTTAATGAAAGGCGGACATTATGCAATTAGTTGCCAGGTGTGCTATCTTGGGTGACCAATGAGACTATACACCAATACCTGAAAAGATTTATCACTTTTTCGTATATTAAACTGTTAAAAGACACATCATTTGGAACAGTTTTGTGGATATTGATGGATACATTCCTCGAACAAGGTAATGGCCTGATATTGTTCCTATAACTTTAATCTGTTTTAATTTTAATATTTGCATTTTGTTTTTTAATCATTTGTCGTAGCATTCAACAGAATCATTGTTTTCGCCGTGAAGTGTAATGAGACAGACAACATACACTAGGGTGTGTGTGCGAATTATGATTCACATTGGCAAACTATAAAATGTCTAGATATTACAGTTCTGTTATAAATTCACTATAAGTATCAGCAGATCGTCAGCTTTTATTTAGTTTCAAAATGCATAAAAGTATGATAATAAACTAATTAGGATTATAAGACCAAATATAAAGACGCACATTGACTAGTATCTACATACTGGTGAGTGGACATTAACCATGTGAATGTAGCAAGAAATTTATCGCGCAGTATTGTGACTTCGACCCCCACCTCGCTTCCGTGGAAGAAATCGTTATGTTATAAGTTGTGTCATGCAAAATCCTTTTGGTTATGATTCCAATACATATTTAACTACGAGTAAAAGTAGTTTTGATTTTCTAACTTGATGAAAACAAACTATAATCTCATTAATTCTAACAGACTTTACGATTTTCAAAAATGGCGGCGCCCTGTCGGGAACATCCGCCAGTCTGTGGATAAATGCTATTTAGGTTTGTTTTCACCGAGTTACAAAATCAAAACTACTTTCTACTGGTAGTAAAATATTTATTTTATTGATGGCCAATAGGATTTTGCATGACATAGCGTATAACATAACAATTTCTCTCCTGGCAGCGAGGTGGGTGTCAATATAATACTACTTACGATATTAAGAAATCGTTATGTTACAAGTTGTGTTATGGAAAATCTTTATGGTCATCAATCATATACATATTTTACTATAACTAGTAAGTAGTTTTGATTCTTTAACTTCCGTGAAGCGATCTGAACACAAGTAAGATATCGTTTCAGGCTTCAACAACGCTCGCTTCGCACTCACAAACATAACCCATTTAGCACGAACTGCGGGATCCTGTGGAAATCTGTGCATGGTGACACCATCACCCGACCCCTAGGAGCAATTGACTACAAAGCAACGATTCGGCATGTCGTCGTTCATGTCGAGAAATCATCAAAATGATGAGCGTGCTACACACTTTCTATACAACTAACTGAAAATCGTTCCTCATATGACGTCACTGCAGTGCTCTGGCGACAGAGTTACGTAACCTGTCTGTGGTGTCGTTGGCGGGCGAGAGGGAAGCAGGCAACTTTTTGGCCACTTTTAATCGCTCGGTATTAATTAACCACAAGTTTTTAAAGAATAAATTTGGTGTTCCGCATAAGACTAACCACAAATCTTTCATATGTAATGGTTAAAAGAGTAACAAAAAACAAAGTTTAGTGGTTCTTTAAGTGCACGGGGTTGTGTACTGTACACTAGGGGTTGTGACAACACTGAAAGAGTCTGCACACAAAGATGACTCCAAGGTTTTTACACCCGGTCACAGGTGGGCTCGATCCCGACACCTCAACCCCGCCGGATCACTAGCCTGGCGCCCCAGCGGTATACCTATAGAAGCACCCATGTCTACTTATATAAGCACCAATGTCTACCTATATAAGCACCAATGTCTACCTATACAAGCACCAATGTCTAACTATATAAGCACCAATAAATACTTATATAAGCACCAATAGATACTTATACACGCACCAATGCCAACCTATATAAGCACCAATGTATACCTATATAGCACCAATGTCTACCTATATAAGCACCAGTGTCTATCTATATAAGCACCAATGTCTACCTATATGAGCACCAATGTCTACCTATATAAGAACCAGTGTCTACCGATATAAGCACCAATCTCTACCTATATAAGCACTGTCTACCTGTAAGTATAATGTCTACTTATATAAGCACCAGTGTCTACCTGTATAAGCACCAATGTCTACTTATATAAGTACCAGTGTATATAAGTACCAATGTCGACCTATATAAGCACCAATGTCGACCTATATAAGCACCAATGTCTACCTATACAAGCACCAATGTCTGCCTATACAAGCACCAATGTATGCTTATATAAGCACCAATGTCTACTTATATAAGCACCATGGTCCACCAAATACAGGCTACGTTGTTCATCTATACAAGCACAAGTATCCTTTACTGCAAGCTCTGCTGTCCACTTACATAAACACCAGTGTCTACCAGTATAGGCACCACTGTCCACCTATATAAGCACCAGTGTCCCTCTATATAAGCACCAGTGTCCCTCTATATAAGCACCAGTGTCCCTCTATATAAGCACCGGGGTCTACCTACATAACCACTTTCCAGCTATATAAGCATGAGCGTCTGCATAAACAAGCACATGTGCGCATCTATATAATCACCATTGTTGCCTTATACAAGCACACGTGTGTAAATATACAAGCACAGGTGAACATATATAAGCACCAGTGATCATCCATATAAGCACCAATGTCCAACAATACAAGCATCGTTGTATACCTATTTACGAACCTGTGTCCATTTATACAGACACTAGTGTCAGTCTATATAAAAATTATAAGCACCAATGTCCGTCAGTACAAGCTACTTAAGCACCAGTTTCCATTAATACAATGACCAGTGTCCACCTATACAGACACCAGTGCCAATTAGATTCGTTGGATAAACTGAAAGGAGGTCCTGACTGCACGGCTTAGGATATTTTTGAAGGATCATGTGAAGACACAGACGAGTTGACAGACACTGTAGCTGATGACATCAAGTTCTGCGTGAAAGGTATTGTACCAGAGAAAACAATCAAGATCTACCACAATAACAGGCCGTGCTTAGCTAAAGAGTTAAAGACCTGAACGAAAGAATGGGGATTTTTGCGAAGGTGAAGACTGCTGATAGGGAAATTATGTGCATACCAAACAGTGTAAAGATATGGACAAGTATAAAACAGAGAGACAGTTTGCAAATGGTGATCTTTGCAGGGCTTGGAGTGGAGTTAAGACTATTACAGGGACGAAGTAACGCCGTTGGCAATGAGCGGTCTTTTGCAAATTAACTGAATAACTTTTATTCTCGATTTGGAAAGAATTGTTAAAGAGAGCACGTTGAACATTTAGTAGATTCATTGAAGATTGCGTACAGGCTCAAGAGATCCATCTTAATCTAGCAATGAGGTGATTATGTACGAGTAAATATTTGTATTGAGTTTTCTGCTTTTAATTCTATCCAGCCTCGTTTACTCATGTCAAAGGTCAGTGATATACGTGTAGATTCTACTATCACTAAGTGAATAGAGGCTTTTATGGCAGACAGGTCACAGTTTGTTACTGTAGAAGGCACTCGCTCTTCCCTTGCACCGCTCAGCCACTGGTGCTCCACAGGGGTGCGTTCTGTCCCACAGCTTGTATATTTGCTACACGAAGGGCTGCCAGAGATACACTCGCTGATGATGCATCGGTAGCTAGTTATAATATAGATGCAGAGTTGTTTATAATTTTAAGTCATGGTATAAAAATATGTTTCTAATCGTGACATTTGGAGAAACTGATTATTGATTTCAGACAACTAAATCAATTTTTGTCTTCAGTTCTGTTTGATAACAAGGCAGCTGGAAATGTTGATTAGAACCAGTACCTTGGTGTCTGTAATTTAACGTTGACAGGTCAATCAGGGTCAGATTTACAGCCCAAGTATTTTAACTTATGGCGTTTATACATCGTTTTATAACTTTTACACGTGATATACCCATACCATGTGTAAAACCTATAAGTTAAAATACTTACGTCCCTACTAGTTCAGCATAAAAACAAACTTTCCAAATTGTAACCACAGTATGTAAACTTATTGGAATCCACCACCATATTGCCTTCTTATTCGGGCAGCAAATTTAAAAAAGCACGTAAAATAATGAATAACAGCTGTCCTTTTCTCCGAGTGTACGTTTTACCTTCTGGTTGTCGTCTGCAAACGCCAGTACTGAGAACGATGAGGGCTCTCCAGTCTTTTGTACCAGCCAGCACCAATGTTTTCAATCCAACATTTACGTTTAGCTTGAATAGCACTAAAACTTCATTGAAGTGAATTTCTTGTTGATACTTTGTTACAGCAGGTTTTTGCTTGTAGAATGGTACGTTTTAGTAACTATGCGTATCTGTGATTTGTTCTGTTATGTGTATGTATTTGAGTGGAGTCTCTATATCCATATAACGAGCTCCATGTATGCATCATATTTATGTCTCTTATGATGTAAAACAAATCTTTATCGGGACGGGAAAGTAACATCAGATCAAATCAAATTCAAGCGGCAGTATCTACTTATACAAGCACCAGTGGCCAGGTATACAAGCACCAGTGTCCAGGTATACAAGCACCAGTGTCCAGGTATGTAGGTATCTCGGACTTTATTCCATGAAACAGCATATGGTTGCAGTAACATCGTCCGTGTAGTCACATCTCATCCTGGTAACAGTAACATCGTCCGTGTACTCACATCTCATCCTGGTTGCAGTAACATCGTCCGTGTAGTCACATCTCATCCTGGTAACAGTAACATCGTCCGTGTAGTCACATCTCATCCTGGTAACAGTAACATCGTCCGTGTACTCACATCTCATCCTGGTTGCAGTAACATCGTCCGTGTAGTCACATCTCATCCTGGTTGTAACATCGTCCGTGTATCTCATCCTGGTAACAGTAACATCGTCCGTGTATCTCATCCTGGTTGCAGTAACATCGTCCGTGTAGTCACATCTCATCCTGGTAACAGCAACATCGTCCGTGTAGTCACATCTCAATCCTCACATCTCATCCTGGTAACAGTAACATCGTCCGTGTAGTCACATCTCATCCTGGTAACAGTAACATCGTCCGTGTAGTCACATCTCATCCTGGTAACAGTAACATCGTCCGTGTAGTCACATCTCATCCTGGTAACAATAACATCGTCCGTGTAGACACATCTCATCCTGGTAACAGTAACATCGTCCGTGTACTCACATCTAATCCTGGTTGCAGTAACATCGTCCGTGTAGTCACATCTCATCCTGGTACCAGTAACATCGTCCGTGTAGTCACATCTCATCCTGGTAACAGTAACATCGTCCGTGTAGTCACATCTCATCCTGGTAACAGTAACATCGTCCGTGTAGTCACATCTCATCCTGGTAACAGTAACATCGTCCGTGTACTCACATCTCATCCTGGTAACAGTAACATCGTCCGTGTAGTCACATCTCATCCTGGTAACAGTAACATCGTCCGTGTACTCACATCTCATCCTGGTAACAGCAACATCGTCCGTGTAGTCACATCTCATCCTGGTAACAGTAACATCGTCCGTGTACTCACATCTCATCCTGGTAACAGCAACATAACATCGTCATCCTGTGTACTCACATCTAACTCTGGTAACAGCAATCTAATCCTGGTAAAAGTACCATCGTCCGTGTACTCACATCTAATCCTGGTAACAGCAACATCGTCCGTGTACTCACATCTAATCCTGGTTGCAGTAACATCGTCCGTGTACTCACATCTAATCCTGGTTGCAGTAACATCGTCCGTGTACTCACATCTAATCCTGGTAACAGCAACATCGTCCGTGTACTCACATCTAATCCTGGTTGCAGTAACATCGTCCGTGTACTCACATCTAATCCTGGTTGCAGTAACATCGTCCGTGTACTCACGTCTGGTTCTGTTAGCAGCACAGAAGCCGCAGTACTTCCGGCAGTTGTCCAGGGCCCATGGTCGGTAGTCCGAGCATGCCTGTTGTCCGTACACCGCACAGTTGTCCAGGTGGTCCGTGCACTGGGGGACTACACCACACAGACAACAGACATGACGCAATGAAGAGACACCGGCCAAAACGCCGTGACAAATCCGTGACAGATTTTGGAATGTGACATATCTCCCGTAAACTCATATAGTTACACTAGACAAGAATATTTGATCAAAATCACAAAATGTTTCTACGTTTTAGAAGCTGAACCACCACCAGACGTAATCTAAACAGAACATGGCCGGATGTCATTAAACAAGACACCCTCACCGGTTGTCACAGAAACAGACCCATCACCAGTTGTTACAGAAACAGACCCATCACCGGTTGTCACAGAAACAGACCCATCACCGGTTGTCACAGAAACAGACCCTACACCAGTTGTCACAGAAACAGACCCATCACCGGTCGTCACAGAAACAGACCCATCACCGGTTGTCACAGAAACAGACCCATCACCAGTTGTCACAGAAACAGACCCATCACCAGTTGTCACAGAAACAGACCCATCACCAGTTGTCACAGAAACAGACCCATCACCAGTTGTCACAGAAACAGACCCACTATCAGATGTCCTTGAAGCAGACCCATTAACGAAAGAAATACAAGCAGAACCACCAAGTGGATGTAGCACCAACGGGTGTCAGCCTGACGGAGACAGCCACCACCCTCTCAGGGAATAGTAAGCGCAGACCCACCACTGGATGTCAGGAAAACTTGAACAAGAGACCCACAACCTTCTCTGTGAAGAATGATAAGATCAGACCCACCACCGGGTGTCATGAAAACTTGAGTAAGAGACCCGCAACCTTCTCTGTGAAGAATAAGATCAGACCCACCACCGGGTGTCATGAAAACTTGAGTAAGAGACCCGCAACCTTCTCTGTGAAGAATGATAAGATCAGACCCACCACCGGGTGTCATGAAAACTTGAGTAAGAGACCCGCAACCTTCTCTGTGAAGAATGATAAGATCAGACCATCACCTTGTGTAATGATAGGGAATAATCAAGAAGTCTTTGGAAGCATCTGTCAGTGTCCTACCGTCGGTTGTCATGGTATCCACGCACAGATCACAGAAGTTCGGGCAGTGTTGCCGCGCCCAGTCGGGGTAGTTGATGCACACGTCAGTGCTGTAGCCGGGGCAGTCGGTGTTGTCCCTGCAGGCGGAGGCAGCTTGCGTCGTGCCTAGATGACGAGGAAGGGATATTACATGTTAACCCCTGAGCACAACCAACCTTTTCCCTCATGAAAGGGTTACATGAAACGAAAGTTTGATATAGCTTTGTGTAAAATAGTCAGATGTAGAAGTAAAATAACAGAAATATATATTTGAGGTTTATCACATAAATAGAAAGTAAATGTCACGTTGCTCAGCTGAATAATAGACAATCATGATAACAGTCACTCCAATTCTGTGCACAACTAGCATAGCTGTGATATAACGAAATTCGTATTGTATGTTATTTATCGTTTCATATATATGCTGCATATAAAATGTTACAGTCATACATTAAAAAATTACCGAGAAGTAGGCAAAATTGATATGTTTATGTCCGGTCGGTTTTAAAATATACAGAAATGGTGTAATTCACACAAACTGTTAGGTCTTTTGCCTTTCTTGTTTCTGTGTAAATGACGAAAATGTAAAAGTTAAACAAATATGACGTTCCACCAGGTGAGCTAAAATGAATCGTTTGCACAATGTTATATGAGTGTTGCAAAAAGCACATTGGTTTGTTTGTTATTTTTACATGAGACAACTTCGAGTTTTGGAACTGTGACCAGTTATAATCTTCCAACAATATCCCATCCTTTCCCTTCCCCAGTTTACAGTGTTATTAAATAATGTGTCTCTGGTAGTAAAACCTACCTTCACCTCCGCAGATGCCGCAGTACTTGGGGCAGTTCTTGACTGCCCATGGTCTGTAGTCTGTACACACACTCTCACCATACATAGCGCACGTTAGCGTGTCTGCGCAGACGCCGTCAGTTGACGACCACGTTTCCGGTGTTGTCTTGGTGATGCCTGAACACAGTAGATGATGATGCAAAAGCGGGATGATGTCACGTGGCTTTTCGAAATATAATAATCATATCACGGCGGGGGACGCCGAGACATATTCACATTTTACCCGTATGAGGAATCCCCCTAGGCACTACAGCGCGAGGAACAACAGTTGTTTTTGTTGTGTTACTCACCACCCTGTGACGTACTTGTTCCTGGTGTACTTGAAGCTGGACTAATGGACGCTGACGAGTCTGAAGTACCTGTCTTGGTCGTGGTGGACTCTGAGGTGGTGACGTCTGCCGTGCTGGAGACGTCATCACCACAGTACCGGCAGAATCGCGGACAGTTCGTCTTGGACCAGCTGACCCATCCGGTGCAGACAGTCCGGCCAAACGCCGCACAGTTCTCTGTGTCCCGACACGAGGTGGAGGAGGAGACGGTGGCCGTGGTAGAGGTATGGGAACCTGATAGAGAAATACGACAGTAACAACTAATATAGGCTGCGTGTGGGAGATCTGAGTCACTACACACTTCACACAATGACACGGCGAAGACTGTGACGTCTGCCGACTGTGACGTATACCGGCTGTTTCATCAATACCCTCCGACATATATCATATGAGTTATGACTACATTCAGCCTAGTGATCTTTAAAACTCTGCAATAAGTCTGATATATACCTGTACACAAGTCACAGAAGTGCACGCAGTTGTGCGCTGACCAGTCCTGATACTCCGTGCATATCTCCTTCCCGTAACTGGAGCAGTCTGATGTCTTGTCCACGCACGTAGGGTCAGAGGCCGTAGAGGTAACATGGCTGACACCATCCCCGACTACCGGCGGAGTGCAGAACTTGCAGAACTTCCTGCAGTTGACGCGACTCCAGTCCTCGTACTCGCTGCAGATGTTGCTGGCGTAGATGCTGCAGTCCTTGACATCCTCGCAGACTCCGTTACAGATGCCGCAGAACTTTGGGCAGTTGGTCTGATGACAAACACAGCATGATCAATTCAGAAACTGCAGCATTAACACCGAGCATCAACGGCGATCCTTGAGATGTGAGGCTACTGGAACTCTAGCGTTGTCATCCCTGCTTCATCTGACGTAGGGCGGTGGGGTAGCCTAGTGGTTAAAGCGTTCGCTCGTCACGCCGAAGGCCCGGGTTCGATTCCCCACATGGCTACAATTTGTGAAGCCCATTTCTGGTGTCCCCCGCCGTGATATTGCTTGAATATTGCTTAAAAACGGCGTAAAACCATACTCAGTCAGATACAATACTGATGAGAGAGGGAGAATATTGTAGATACTGAGCTTCATACAGGAGAGAGTTCATGGATGTGATTGCTTTGTCATACGGTACAAAACCTTTCGGAGTATCTGCATAATTCTTCATCTCTCCCCTATGTAGATCACTGCTGATTGCCATTGAAAGACGACCCATGTAATTAGTTTAGATATTGGATCTCACCCCGCTGATTAAGGAAGGGAAGATGTTTTCTCAGTAATATTTCACCTGTACCCAGCAGGAACCTCCAGAAATTTTACTTGATACCCTGCACTGACGCTAAACTGAACCCTGCATCTTTCCCCGCGACCTACCTTACTCCACGCCAGGTAGCTACGGCAGACGCTACTGCCGTACGTCACGCAGTCAACAGCATCGTCGCAGTCGAGGTCGCCGTTCGCGGTGTTGTTCCCTGTCGACAAAATTGCGACATATGGAACTACCGTTTGTCACGCAGTTTCAATCACTGAGAGGGGCTACCCTGGATGCAATCGGTAAAGACTGCGAACTGCATCAGCCAGTATAATGTCTCGATTATATACCGGCCAGTTTAAAGTTCGAATATTATCATGTATAACGTTAAACAATAAACATAACTGCCATTATATATCGACTACAGGTGCTCGTACTTTGTTTAAATGTAACCCTAAATCTAGCACAATTGACCTCACATATATAATCACTTACCACAGCTATAACACTGAAACTTCCCTCCTTTGAGCTCCACAGTTGTTTTGGGTCTGGGTGTAATATTTAGTTAACTTCACGTCGGTTTTAACAACTGTTTTGGAAATGGCGGCTCTTTATTAAAATATACTGAGAGAAACAAATAAAGGATCATAGGAACATTCAAGCGTTCCTTTAATATTTTCCACTTTTTATCAGCAGCTTTGAATAGTGCTGTGGTGTTGAAAACTGGAAAACAATATAGGAACGCTTGCATTTTCCTGTGATCCTTTATTTGTATCTCTCAGTATATTTGTATTACATAGCTTCGAAATTGGTTTTCATTATTTGGTGGATGTTTATTGTTACTCTGATTACCATGGTTACAGGTCTTGGAGCAAAAGCCACAGTAGGCGGGGCACTTAGTTTTGGACCACGCCTCGTACGTGTGGCAGATGTATGTCCCGTAACCTGCGCAGTTGACGGCGTTCTTGCAGGTGGCGCCACAGTCTGTGGAGACGAGAAGACAGGGATGAAGTCAGGTTTTACGTGGCGTCCAGGGTTGGTGCGCGTGTGCGTGCGTGCGTGCGTGCGTGCGTGTGTGTGGTCGTTTGCTGGTTTCCTGGAGCTAGCCCACTGAGATACTGTCTGGAAACCCCACTCAGTATAGTATACTGGCTCCGGGCCAGCAACAACAAGTGTCATCTGTGTATTGGTTTGATGGGGCCGTGAATCAAAAATCCGACCTTTCACTCCCTAGGCAGACCTATGTCTACTGCACCAAGGAGGCGGCAAGGAGAGGACGAGTCATGAGGGCACAGGTTAACAACATTTCAGATGTTCAACTGATTAAAGATTTACGTGTTTACATGCAGAAATAGCAACAAACCTAAGTTTACAGATGAAGGTTTCTTAAACACAAATAGCAGATCTCAGATCATGAACGTGTTCTCGACAACCCCATTACCATTTCATATGGGTTCCCGATGATTCGTTTCACGTCAGGACAACACAGCCCCCTATCAACAACCAACCCACCCATGTTTGTGCAGCTTCGATATAGCTTCAGTTCCGAAACCCATGAAATTCAAGGTAAGGGATGAGAAAGTGGTATATGATGGAAACCTACTGCTTCCTCCCGAGCACGCCGTCTCCATGCAGTCCTGTTGTTGTGTTGGTTTCTGGACGGGGAGACAGTGGCTGGATTCAATCTCTTTCATGGAGTCGGCATCTTTGTAACAAGTGATCTTCCGCGTCTTCAGACCACGGCCACACGTCTGGGAACACTGGTCAGACACACAGCAGTAACAACAGAAGCACAATCACACGGTATAAACTAGACGTCTATAGGTCTCCAGAGAAGAGGACGTTCGTGAAGCGACATGACAACGGGAACAGATAAAACGATGACAACCCGCATGCAGCCAACTTTCAAACTTTCTCCACTTTCACTGCACCGAAATATACCACTATAATTATAGCTTCTGGTGAATGTGATCGTAACGTGCTCGTAAGAATTTGGCGCTTTGGTCATTCCTTACTTTAAGGATAAACTTGGTAAATATTGATATACGTCTCTATTGTGACGCTGCCAAGACCTGAAATGTAAGCTACATCTGTACCCAGACAGATGTAAAATCAAGGTGTACTAAGATGTACTATGTATAGAATGACCATAGTTCCATGACCAAACAGTTTCACCTTTTTTACAGTTAATCTATTAATGATGTAACAGAAACTGTATGGACAGCTGAGAACTGGCTTTCGATAGTCTAGATTCTTTACAAGATGACCGAAATATGACATAGATCTGTCTATAGACTCCCGCATGCTGACATACCCAGACAGGTGTACTGACACTACTGTACCCAGACAGATGTACTGACATACCCAGACAGGTGTACTGACACTACTGTACCCAGACAGATGTACTGACATACCCAGACAGGTGTACTGACACTACTGTATATACAACTGACGTACACTCGACCATGATCCCGGCCTCCACACACCGGGACACGACTCTGGGTTACACTCGCTGGCCTCTGGGGGTTTGACGAGTCTTGCACAGTTGCTGTGGGCCAACACCTCCACCACCCCCGACGTCTCCCTCACACACTGGACAGTCCGCTTCATCAGCCCCCCACCACAGGTGAGGGAACACGCAGAGTAGGCACCAGCCTTCCACCTGGAAACAGCAGCACACCTAACTCAGTGTGGGGGCAGTTGTTCTGGTCAATGGTGGGGCAGTTGTCGTTCTGGTCAATGAGGGAGGGTGGTTGTTGTGGTGGTCAGTGAGGGAGAGTGGTTGTTGTGGTGGTCAGTGAGGGAGGGTGGTTGTTGTGGTGGTCAGTGAGGGAGGGTGGTTGTTGTGGTGGTCAGTGAGGGAGAGAGGTTGTTGTGGTGGTCAGTGAGGGAGGGTGGTTGTTGTGGTGGTCAGTGAGGGAGAGAGGTTGTTGTGCTGGTCAGTGAGGGAGGGTGGTTGTTGTGGTGGTCAGTGAGGGAGGGTGGTTGTTGTGGTGGTCAGTGGGGGAGGGTGGTTGTTGTGGTGGTCAGTGAGGGAGGGTGGTGGTCAGTGGGGGAGGGTGGTTGTGGTGGTCAGTGGGGGAGGGTGGTTGTTGTGGTGGTCAACGTTGTTGTTGCTGATGGCTCACCTGGCTGGGCAGGAGTCCGTGTTACAGGGTTCAGGGATGACGTGTGGGCGATTGTTGACATTGCAGTGATCACCATCCACGACAGAGAAGTCATCGTCTCTAACACATGTTACAACGTCCATCCGGGTTCCTGTCGAAAGTGAGTAAGATTCGTGTTTAAGATAAAGTGTTTAATGATTTCGTATCTATATGACTTTAAACACAAGTGAGTGAGTGAGTATGGATTTACGCTGATTTTAGCAATAGCACGGCAATATTGTTGGCTCGTGTAAAACTTGTCCATCCATGCATCTCATTGTTCCCGCATTGTTGTTAACTGTGCTGACTGCGCGAATCAGGTGATGAAGTACCTGTGCCCCACGTTTGACTACACTAACCACGTGATGAAGTACCTGTGCCCCACGTTTGACTACACTAACCAGGTGATGACGTACTTGTGTCCCATGTCTGACAACGCTTACCAGGTGATGACGTACCTGTGCCCCACGTTTGACTACACTAACCAGGTGCTGACGTACCTGTGTCCCACGTTTGACTACACTAACCAGGTGATGACGTACCTGTCTCACATGTCTGACTACACCAACCAGGTGATGACTTACAGGTTCCCCACATCTGACAACGCTAACAGGGTGATGACGTACCTGTGTCACTTGTATACCAGCCTTGGTCTGACTACACCAACCAGTCACCAGGTGATGACGTACCTGTCTCACGTCTGACTCCACTAACCAGGTAATGACGTGTATGTGTCCCATGTCTGACTACACTAACCAGGAGATGACGTACCTGTCTCACGTCTGACAACGCTAACCATGTTATGACGTACCTGTGTCACATGTCTGACTACACCAACCAGGTGATGACGTACCTGTCTCACGTCTGACTCCACTAACCAGGTAATGACGTGTCTGTGTCACATGTCTGACTCCACTAACCAGGTGATGACGTACCTGTCTCACATGTCTGACTACACCAACCAGGTGATGACGTACCTGTCTAACATGTCTGACTCCACTAACAGGTGATGACGTGTCTGTGTCACATGTCTGACTCCACTAACCAGGTGATGACGTGTCTGTGTCACATGTCTGACTACCACTAACCAGGTGATGACGTACCTGTGTCACATGTCTGACTACACTAACCAGGTGATGACGTACCTGTCTCACATGTCTGACTACACTAACCAGGTAATGACGTGTCTGTGTCACATGTCTGACTACACCAACCAGGTGATGACGTGTCTGTGTCACATGTCTGACTCCACTAACCAGGTGATGACGTACCTGTCTCACATGTCTGACTACACTAACCAGGTGATGACGTACCTGTCTCACATGTCTGACTCCACTAACCAGGTGATGACGTGTCTGTGTCACATGTCTGACTACACTAACCAGGTGATGACGTGTCTGTGTCACATGTCTGACTCCACTAACAAGGTGATGACGTACCTGTTTCACATGTTTGACTACACTAACCAGGTGATGACGTACCTGTCTCACATGTCTGACTACACTAACCAGGTGATGACGTACCTGTTTCACATGTCTGACTCCACTAACCAGGTGATGACGCGTCTGTGTCACATGTCTGACTACACTAACCAGGTGATGACGTGTCAGTGTCACATGTCTGACTACACTAACCAGGTGATGACGTACCTGTCTCACATGTCTGACTCCACTAACCAGGTGATGACGTGTCTGTGTCACATGTCTGACTACACTAACCAGGTGATGACGTACCTGTCTCACTTGTCTGACAACGCTAACCAGGTGATGACGTACCTGTCTCACATGTTTGACAACGCTAACCAGGTGATGACGTACCTGTCTCACATGTCTGACTCCACTAAACAGGTAATGACGTGTCTGTGTCACATGTCTGACTACACTAACCAGGTGATGACGTACCTGTCTCACATGTCTGACTCCACTAACCAGGTAATGACGTGTCTGTGTCACATTTCTGACTACACCAACCAGGTGATGACGTACCTGTCTCACATGTCTGACTACACTAACCAGGTGATGACGTACCTGTCTCACGTCTGACAACGCTAACCATATAATGACGTACCTGTGTCACATGTCTGACTCCACTAACCAGGTGATGACGTACCTGTGCCGCACGTCTGGCTGCATTCACCAGCCTTGGTCTTCCACGTAAAGTTTGCCGGCTGTGGCGACGTCGTAGGAACGTAGTATTCGTACGACACACGGGCCATGACGTCAACGAAGCTGATGGCACTGTCGCCCATGATCCTGTAAACCTAAAATACATATCCAATCTCCATGGTTTGCATGCTACCTTGTGTGTAAATACATTTATAGCTCTATAGGCAACTAACATGCGCAGGGCCAGCATTGAATGTACACTGCAGCACAGCTGCTCGCTACACGTGTACACCACACACTGGACCTAATAAACGTGTGCTTCCACCTGTACACCACACACTGGACCTAATAAACGTGTGCTTCCACCTGTACACCACAGACTGCATCTGACGTACCTGTGCTTCCAACTATACACCACACACTGGATCTGACGTACCCGTGCTTCCACCTGTACACCACACACTGGATCTGACGTACCCGTGCTTCCAACTATACACCACACACTGGATCTGACGTACCTGTGCTTCCACCTGTACACCACACACTGGACCTGACGTACCTGTACTTTCACCTGTGCACTGCGCACTGGATCTGACGTACCTGTGCTTTCACCTGTGCACTGCGCACTGGATCTGACGTACCTGTGCTTCCACCTGTACACCACACACTGGACCTGACGTACCTGTACTTTCACCTGTTCACTGCGCACTGGATCTGACGTACCTGTGCTTCCAGCTGTTCACCACACACTGGATCTGACGTACCTGTGCTTCCACCTGTACACCACACACTGAACCTGACGTACCTGTGCTTCAAACTGTACACCACACACTGGATCTGACGTGCCTGTGCTTCCACCTATACACCACACTCTACACCTGCCACACCTGTGCTTCCACCTGTACACCACACACTGGACCTGACGTACCTGTGGTTCCACTTGTGCACTACACACTAGATCTTACGTACCTGTGCTTCCACCTGTACACTACACACTGGATCTGACGTACCTGTGCTTCCACCTGTACACTACACACTGGATCTGACGTACCTGTACTTTCACCTGTGCATTGCACACTGGATCTGAGGTACCTGTGCTTCCACCTGTGCACTACACACTGGACCTGACCTACCTGTGCTTCCACCTGTGCACTACACACTGGACCTGACGTACCTGTGCTTCCACCTGTACACCACACACTACACCTGACGTACCTGTGCTTCCACCTGTGCACTACACACTGGACCTCACGTAACTGTACTTCCACCTGTACACCACACACTGAATTATTCGTACCTGTGCTTCCACCTGTGCACCACACACTGAATTATTCGTACCTGTGCTTCCACCTGTACAGGCAAGGGGCCAGCGATGGAGATCTTCTCAGGCCGCGACCTGTACGTCACGAAGACACCGTCGCTTCTGTAGATGCCTGACAGGTCGGGCGAATCACCAAACTTGCTGAACATCAACTCTCCGTTCACCAGGATTGCTGTAGGGAGCAGAGCTCAGTCAAAACCTCACACTCTGTGACGTCAGGTGTTGCCACGTGTCAATCACAAACGACTAACACAGACTTCTTGTTCATGTACGGGAAACTATTTTACCTGACAGTTGCAGTTGAGAGCGATCTTTGTCTACTGACAGAAAATGTTTCAGTGAGAGAACGAGTTAGAATGTATAGTACTTGTACTGCCTTTACCAGCATAACATCGGCCAAATCCACCTACCCCCACCACCTACGCTCCCATCCCACCTAATCTCCCACCCACCTACGCTCCCACCCCACCTACGCTTCCTCCCCATCTACGCTCCCACCCACCTACGCTCCCACCCCACCTACGCTCCCACCCCACCTACACTCCCACCCCTACACTCCTACCCCCTACTCTCCCACCCCTACATCCCCCATACACACATACACACATTCTGTGCCCCGTGACTTACACATGTGGGTAAGGTAGTTCTTGTTGATGATGCTGATGGAGGTGGCGCCTTTGGGTAATGTGACGAAGGTGACGTATGCTGGAATAAAAACATATAAATGTATCTTGACTTACTGACATAGCAAAGGAAACATTGATAATATTTATTTTGCATTAAAGGATCGTACAGATACAATTTCATATCAAGTAAACTTCCATTCGGCAGGTGTTACTTACTCCTCATCTTTCCCTGGTTGAACGTCCCTGTCTTCTTCACACACGTGTCGCCCTTCCCGTCACAAACCATACACCTGTCATACTGCCGTCCAGAATCCAGCTGGCCGTCACAGCCAAACTCCTGATAAACACAAACGTGAATATACGTCATACACCATACACCTGTCGTACTGCCGTCCAGACTCTAGCTGGCCGTCACAGCCAAACTCCTGATAAACCCCAATGTGAATATACGTCATACACCATACACCTGTCATACTGCCGTCCACACTCTAGCTGGCCGTCACAGCCAAACTCCTGATAAACACAAATGTGAATATACGTCATACACCATACACCTGTCATACTGCGGTCCAGAATCCAGCTGGCCGTCACAGCCAAACTCCTGATAAACACAAACGTGAATATACGTCATACACCATACACCTGTCGTACTGCCGTCCAGACTCTAGCTGGCCGTCACAGCCAAACTCCTGATAAACCCCAATGTGAATATACGTCATACACCATACACCTGTCATACTGCCGTCCACACTCTAGCTGGCCGTCGCAGCCAAACTCCTGATAAACACAAACGTGAATATACGTCATACACCTGTCGTACTGCCGTCCCGACTCAAGCTAGCCGTCGCAGCCAAACTCTTGATAAATACAAATGTGAATATACGTCATACACCATTCACTTGTCTTACTGCCGTCCAGACTCCAGCTGGCCGTCACAGCCAAACTCCTGATAAACACAAACGTGAATATACGTCATACGTCATACACCTGTCATACAGCCGTCCAGACTCCAGATGTCCGTCACAGCCAAACTCCTGATAAAAACACAAACGTCAATATACGTCATACACCTGTCGTACTGTCGTCCCGACTCTAGCTGGCCGTCACAGCTAACTTCCTGATAAATACAAATGTGAATATACGTCATACACCATACACTTGTCATACTGCCGTCCAGATTCCAGCTGGCCGTCACAGCCAAACTCCTGATAAACACAAACGTGAATATACGTCATACACCATACACCTGTCATACTGCCGTCCAGACTCCAGCTGGCCGTCACAGCCAAACTCCTGATAAACACAAACGTGAATATACGTCATACACCTGTCGTACTGCCGTCCAGACACCAGCTGGCCGTCACAACCAAATTCCTGATAAATACAAATGTGAATATACGTCATACACCATACACCTGTCGTACTGCCGTCCAGACTCCAGCTGGCCGTCACAGCCAAACTCCTGATAAACCCCAATGTGAATATACGTCATACACCATACACCTGTCATACTGCCGTCCAGACTCTAGCTGGCCGTCACAGCCAAACTCCTGATAAACACAAACGTGAATATACGTCATACACCATACACCTGTCATACTGCCGTCCACACTCTAGCTGGCCGTCACAGCCAAACTCCTGATAAACACAAACGTGAATATACGTCATACACCTGTCGTACTGCCGTCCAGACTCCAGCTGGCCGTCACAGCCAAACTCCTGATAAACACAAACGTGAATATACGTCATACACCATACACCTGTCATACTGCCGTCCAGACTCCAGCTGGCCGTCACAGCCAAACTCCTGATAAACCCCAATGTGAATATACGTCATACACCATACACCTGTCATACTGCCGTCCAGACTCTAGCTGGCCGTCACAGCCAAACTCCTGATAAACACAAACGTGAATATACGTCATACGTCATACACCTGTCATACTGCCGTCCAGACTCTGGCTGGCCGTCACAGCCAAACTCCTGATAAACACAAACGTGAATATACGTCATACACCATACACCTGTCGTACTGCCGTCCAGACTCCAGCTGGCCGTCACAGCCAAACTCCTGATAAACACAAACGTGAATATACGTCATACACCATACACCTGTCGTACTGCCGTCCAGACTCCAGCTGGCCGTCACAGCCAAACTCCTGATAAACACAAACGTGAATATACGTCATACACCATACACCTGTCGTACTGCCGTCCAGACTCCAGCTGGCCGTCACAGCCAAACTCCTGATAAACACAAACGAATATATATACGTCATACACCTGTCGTACTGCCGTCCAGACTCCAGCTGGCCGTCACAGCCAAACTCCTGATAAACACAAACGTGATACGTCATACACCATACACCTGTCGTACTGCCGTCCAGACTTCAGCTGGCCGTCACAGCCAAACGTCCTGATAAACACAAACGTGAATATACAAACGTGAATCATACACCATACACCTGTCGTACTGCCGTCCAGACTCCAGCTGGCCGTCACAGCCAAACTCCTGATAAACACAAACGTGAATATACGTCATACACCATACACCTGTCGTACTGCCGTCCCGACTCCAGCTGGCCGTCACAGCCAAACTCCTGATAAACACAAACGTGAATATACATCATACACCATACACCTGTTTTGTACAAGACATGCGGGTATGGAGTCACATACTTTGTACATAAATTTTAGGTGGGGTTCATTCACATTGTACTTGCTCCTCCATAAAAATCACTCACCCGACACTGTCCTTTCAGACATCGGTGGTGGGAAGTGGCCTCCTTGTCCCTCTGGCACAGTGTCCCGTCATGGTACTGAGAACCCCGTCGGGTGAGGATATTGGTGTTGTCACGGAGGCAGTACAGCTCACAAGGGGGCTCTGAGGGAGATCATAGTACATCTCTCATAGGGGTTCTGGGTCACATCATAATACATCTCTCATAGGGTTCTGGGGAGACCATAGTACATCTCATACAGGGATTCTGGAGGAGACCATAGTACATCTCCCATAGAGGTTCTGGGAGATATCATAGTACATCTCTCATAAAGTTCTGGGTCACATCATAGTACATCTCTCATAGGGTTCTGGGGAGACCATAGTACATCTCATACAGGGATTCTGGAGGAGACCATAGTACATCTCTCATAGAGGATCTGCGGGAGATCATGGTACATCTCACACAGGGGCTCTGCGGGAGATCACAGTACATCTCACAGGGGGAATTCTGGGGGAGATCACAGTACATCTCTCATAGGGGATCTGGGGGAGATCATAGTACATCTCACACAGGGATTCTGGAGGAGACCATAGTACATCTCACACAGGGATTCTGGGGAGGATCATAGTACATCTCACAGGGGGAATTCTGGGGGAGATCATAGTACATCTCATACAGGGATTCTGGAGGAAACCATAGTACATCTCACACAGGGATTCTGGGAGAGATCATAGTACATATCTCATAGGGGATCTGGGGGAGATCATCGTACATCTCACACAGGGGCTCTGCGGGAGATCACAGTACATCTGACGGGGAACTCTGGGGGAGATCATAGTACATCTCACACAGGGATTCTGGGGGAGATCATAGTACATCTCACACAGGGATTCTGGGGGAGATCATAGTACATCTCACACAGGGGCTCTGCGGGAGATCACAGTACATCTCACAGGGGGAATTCTGGGGGAGATCATAGTACATCTCATACAGGGATTCTGGAGGAGACCATAGTACATCTCTCATATGGGATCTGGGGGAGATCATCGTACATCTCATACAGGGGCTCTGCGGGAGATCATGGTACATCTCAGACAGGGGCTCTGGAGGAGACCAGAGTACATCTCAAACAGGGATTCTGGGGGAGATCACAGTACATCTCACACAGGGATTCTGGAGGAGACCATAGTACATCTCACACAGGGATTCTCGAGGAGACCATAGTACATCTCACACAGGGATTCTGGGGGAGATCATAGTACATCTCACAGGGGGAATTCTGGGGGAGATCATAGTACATCATTCATAGGGGATCTGGGGGAGATCACAGTACATCTCACAGGGGGAATTCTGGAGGAGACCATAGTACATCTCTCATAGGGGATCTGGGGGAGATCATAGTACATCTCACACAGGGATTCTGGAGGAGACCATAGTACATCTCACACAGGGATTCTGGAGGAGACCATAGTACATCTCACACAGGGATTCTGGGGGAGGTCATAGTACATCTCACAGGGGGAATTCTGGGGGAGATCACAGTACATTTCTCATAGGGGATCTGGGGGAGATCATATTATCTCACACAGGGATTCTGGAGGAGACCATAGTACATCTCACACAGGGATTCTGGGGGAGATCATAGTACATCTCACAGGGGGAATTCTGGGGGAGATCATAGTACATCTTTCATAGGGGATCTGGGGGAGATCACAGTACATCTCACAGGGGGAATTCTGGAGGAGACCATAGTACATCTCTCATAGGGGATCTAGGGGAGATCATAGTACATTTCACACAGGGATTCTGGAGGAGACCATAGTACATCTCTCATAGGGGATCTGGGGGAGATCATAGTACATCTCACACAGGGATTCTGGAGGAGACCATAGTACATCTCTCATAGGGGATCTGGGGGAGATCATCGTACATCTCACACCGGGGCTCTGCGGGAGATCACAGTACATCTCACAGGGGGAATTCTGGGGGAGATCATAGTACATCTCACACATGGGCTCTGCGGGAGATCATAGTACATCTCACACAGGGGCTCTGCGGGAGATCATCGTACATCTCACACAGGGGCTCTGTGGGAGATCATAGTACATCTCACAGGGGGAATTCTGGGGAGATCATTGTACATCTCACACAGGTATTCTCTGGGAGATCATTGGCAGTACTTCTGACAAGAGAGCTCTAGAAGACATTATCCTTGCATTACTCTACCTGAAGATCCCTCGTAGGGCGTCCAGTGGTACTTGACGCCATCCAAAGGGGCGGCATCGGTGGCAGCGCACTGCTCCACGAGGAACTGCGCCTGGCTGGTATTGCATGCCTGCGACAGGGGAGGATAAAACACCAATCAGTTAGACTGTAAACCGCGTCGACACCAACGGCTAAGTGGGCGACTGGCTGTTGAAGTTAACACTCGTATCTCTCGTACTGCGCTGCGTCTTTACTGCAAGTGTATATAGTTAATGGGACATCGTTGCCGCAAAGTAAATATTCACCCCCGATATTACATGTAGACGTGAACACGTGTCCTGTACTTACCTGCAGGTTGCACATCTCGGCCCTGATTCCCACGCCATCACACGGCTTGCCTCCGAACTTGGCGCTGATCACAGACAAGAGACAGCACTGAGTGATTTCTGTATAACACAGCCCCTTCCCACATCACCCTCTGAGCTGTCAATACATGTATGTTAATGAATGTGACTGGGTACACTATGTTACAGCAATATTTCAATATTTCAGCTCCATCATGGCAGCTTCGAGTCTGACAAACCAATGATTGACAGCATGAGCAACCGTCCTCATTAGTCAACCCTGAAGACAAACACAGGGCACCAGATGAACTCTACCACGGAATCCCCAGGGAACCCAGATTCTTATAATGGTAAGAAAACATGTCCACTGGAATGGACCTACACTTGCGTCTAGTGGGGAGGTGATGGAACTCCATTTGTTCCGGCAGGTTGATTTTCCCACGCCGACCACGCCCCGTCCACCGCGTCGGGGCCGTTATCAACCTTCCCGCCCTCTGTCACACAGACAGATGCAGAGTGTTGATATGTGGATGTGTGTGTCAACGACCTGGTCCATTGTGCAGGTTGATTTTTCTGCGTAAACCTTCTGTCCGCACGTGCACGACCTGGGCAAACGCAAGCAACAAGCAATGTACGAGTCCATGCGGCGCCCTCGTGGTATAAGTAGGTTAGCACCCCCCCTCTGCGGGTGATATGGATTCAACGCTCTCGCCTGACGGCTCGAGCGTTGAAATCCATATCACCCTTGAGGAGGGTGCTCACGTATACATAGTGCGTTATGTGCTCATTGTGCCTCATTGTGCGTTAGACCCGTGAAGATCCGGGTTAGAATTGATCTTCAGTGGGGTCGGGTGGTCAGGCTCGCTGACATGGTTGACACATGTCATTGTATCCCAACTGCGTAGATCGATGCTCATGTTTGTCTGGTCCAGACTCGATTATTTACAAACCACCGTCATATAGCTGGAATATTGCTGAGAGCGGCATAAAACTAAACTCACACACTTACTCATTGTCCGTTATGAGCCCATTGTCCGTTAGGTGCCCATTGTGCGTTATGTGCTCATTGTGCGTTATGTGCTCATTGTCCGTTATGTGCCCATTGTGCGTTATGTGCTCATGGTCCGTTATGTGCCCATTGTCCGTTATGTGCCCATTGTCCGTTATGTGCTAATTGTGCGTTATGTGCTCATTGTCCGTTATGTGCTCATTGTCCGTTATGAGCCCATTGTGCGTTATGTGCTCATTGTCCGTTATGTGCTCATGGCCCGGTTATGCTCATAGTCCGTTATGTTGCTCATTGTCCGTTATGTGCTCATTGTCCGTTATGAGCCCATTGTCCGTTATGTGCCCATTGTGCGTTATGTGCTCATTGTCCGTTATGTGCTCATGGCCCGTTATGTGCTCATAGTCCGTTATGTGCTCATTGTCCGTTATGTGCTCATTGTCCGTTGTGTGCTCATTGTCCGTTATGAGCCCATTGTCCGTTATGTGCTCATTGTGCGTTATGTGCTCATTGTGCGTTATGTGCTCATTGTCCGTTGTGAGCCCATTGTCCGTTATGTGGCCATTGTGTGTTATGTGCGTTTTGTGCCCATTGTGCGTTATGTGGCCATTGTGCGTTATGTGTTCATTGTGCGTTATAAGCCCATTTGTACATTATAAGCCCATTGTGCGTTATAAACCCATTGTCCGTTATGTGCCCATTGCCCGTTGTGAGTCCATTGTCCGTTATAAGCCCATCGTGCGTTATGAGCCCATTGTGCGTTATGTACTTATTGTCCGTTATGTGCTCATTATCCGTTATATACACTGAAGCGTCTGCTCTTTTCACTATCATCATTGCATTATAACGGGAGGCTATATAGTGTATATGTCTTCGAAATAGGTTATATATTTATGCATCTACCAGGGGAAGGTATACCGGGAGGCTTTAGCGGTTATGCATCTAAACTGACGGGCAAAAGTTAGTATAACATTTTCAATTTGGTTTGGGGAAATTGAGCATGTCTAAATTCCAATGAAACATCCAAAGCAAACATTGTCAAAGTCACGAGAATATTGCAGAATGGTAGTGATGTCAGTAGATGTAGTCACGTGACCCCTAGCACGAGAAAAAGGTATAACATGTAATCTTTGAAAATCACGAACATGCACGTGCACCAGTCGGGTAGAAATGGGATGGATACACGCTGGCATATCACAGTAACTGAAAGCACATGCAAAAAATGCCGAAGCTGACACAAATTCAGCGAGAGCGAGCCATTGGAATGCGCGATATGGGAGCTACCCAAGCTCATCTTGCCAGAACGTTCGGCTGTACCCCAGCAACAATCTCCAGGCTGTTCACACGTTACCGGAATACTGGTAGCACTCAAGACAGGCCGAGAAGTGGACGGCCACGGGTCACTACACCCATAGAAGACCGCTACATCCGGACTATCCATCTCCGGAACAGGTTCGTGACGGCAACGTCGACGGCGGCTACGGTACTCGGGCATCGTATCAGTCGTCGCACAGTGACCCGAAGATTGAGATTAGCTGGTATAAGGGCTTACCGTCCTTTCCGCGGAATGGTCCTGACCCTCAGACATCGCCAAAACAGACAGCGGTGGGCAAGGCAAGTTTACAGGTGGCAAGTCCGAGATTGGCGACGTGTTCTCTTTTCCGATGAAAGCCGTTTCACCCTTTACAAGTGTGATGGCAAAGAACGGGTATATCGTCGACGAGGGGAACGTTTATCAAGGCCATGCATCAGAGAAATTCATCCATTCGGCGGGGGTGGAGTCATGGTTTCGGGCGGTATCTGTGGAGACCAGAAGACCCGTCTGGTTGTAGTGCAGGGCAATCTCAATGCACGGGGGTACATCGGACAGATCCTACAGCCTGTTGTGGTACCCTTCCTACAGAATCAACCCCGGGGTGTACTCCTACAACATGACAACGCGAGACCTCACACTGCCAGAGAGACTCGCTACTTTCTGCAACAGAACAATGTTGACGTCCTGCCCTGGCCAGCGTGCTCACCGGATATGAACCCGATCGAGCACCTCTGGGATCATCTGGACAGGAAGATCAGAGGTCGGCAACAAGTTCCACAGAACAGGCAACAGCTAGAGCAAGCACTCAGAGAGGAATGGAACCGCATTCCCAATGACGTCATTCGACGTTTGACGACGTCAATGAGGAGACGTGTGAGGGCATGCATTGACGCAGCAGGGGGTCACACACGATACTGATGTGCACAAGATCCTGTATTGAAGGAATGCCCCTGCTACTGACTCATAAACTCAGATTGTGATAATCGATTTATGCAAAATTCCACCCCTTGCGTGTTTACTTGACAGCGGCTCACAAACTCCTTGAATGAAATTGTTAATTTTTTGTGATTTACAGCTCAAGTGTTTTTTTATTATGATGCATTAAATATTTTTGGGAAATTTCGGTGTATGTCTTTGTTACAGGACGTTCAAAACTTTTGCCCGTCAGTTTATCTGGGAGTCTAGGGAGACAATATAGGTTATATATCTAGTAGGGAGACTATATAGGCTATATATTTAGTCGGGGACTTTATAGGCTATATATTTAGTCGGGGGACTATATAGGCTATATATCTAGTAGGGAGATAATAGATGCTATATATGTAGTAGGGAGACTATATAAGCTATATGTCTAGTAGGGAGACTATATAGGCTATATATCTAGTAGGGAGACTATAAAGGCTATATATCTAGTAGGGAGACAATATAGGCTATATATCTAGTAGGGAGACAATATAGGCTATATGTCTAGTAGGGAGACAATATAGGCTATATATCTAGTAGGGAGACAATATAGGCTTTATGTCTAGTAGGGAGACAATATAAGCTATATGTCTAGTAGGGAGACTTTATAGGCTATATATGTAGTAGGGAGACTATATAAGCTATATGTCTAGTAGGGAGACTATATAGGCTATTTATCTAGTAGGGAGACAATATAAGCTATATGTCTAGTAGGGAGACTATATAGGCTATTTATCTAGTAGGGAGACAATATATGCTATATGTCTAGTAGGGAGACTATATAGGCTATATGTCTAGTTGGGAGACTATATAGGCTATATATTTAGTCGGGGGACTATATAGGCTATATATCTAGTAGGGAGATAATAGATGCTATATATGTAGTAGGGAGACTATATAAGCTATATGTCTAGTAGGGAGACTATATAGGCTATATATCTAGTAGGGAGACTATATAGGCTATATATCTAGTAGGGAGACAATATAGGCTATATGTCTAGTAGGGAGACAATATAGGCTATATGTCTAGTAGTGAGACAATATAGGCTATATATCTAGTAGGGAGCCAATATAGGCTATATGTCTAGTAGGGAGACAATATAAGCTATATGTCTAGTAGGGAGACAATATAGGCTATATGTCTAGTAGGGAGACAATATAGGCTATATGTCTAGTAGGGAGACAATATAGCCTATATGTCTAGTAGGGAGACAATATAGGCTATATGTCTAGTAGGGAGACTATATAGGCTATATGTCTAGTAGGGAGACAATATAGGCTATATGTCTAGTAGGGAGACAATATAGGCTATATGTCTAGTAGGGAGACTATATAGGCTATATGGCTAGTAGGGAGAAAATATAGGCTATATGTCTAGTAGGGAGACTATATAGGCTATATGTCTAGTAGGGAGACAATATAAGCTATATGTCTAGTAGGGAAACTATATAAGCTATATGTCTAGTAGGGAGACTATATAGGCTATATATCTAGTTGGGAGACAATATAGGCTATATATGTATTTGGGAGACTATAGAGGCTATATGTCTAGTAGGGAGACTATATAGGCTATATGTCTAGTAGGGAGACAATATAGGCTATATGTCTAGTAGGGAGACTATATAGGCTATATGTCTAGTAGGGAGACAATATAGGCTATATATGTCTAGTAGGGAGACATATAGGCTATATGTCTAGTAGGGAGACTATATATAGGCTATATGTCTAGTAGGGAGACTATATGTCTAGTAGGCTATATAGGCTATATGTCTAGTAGGGAGACTATATAGGCTATATGTCTAGTAGGGAGACTATATAGGCTATATGTCTAGTAGGGAGACAATATAAGCTATATGTCTAGTAGGGAGACAATATAGGCTATATGTCTAGTAGGGAGACAATGTAGGCTATATATGTAGTAGGGAGACAATATAGGCTATATGTAGTAGGGAGACAATATAGGCTATATATCTAGTAGGGAGACTATATAGGCTATATATCTAGTTGGGAGACTATATAGGCTATATATGTAGTAGGGAGACTATAGAGGCTTTATGTCTAGTAGGGAGACAATATAGGCTATATATCTAATAGGGAGACTATATAGGTTATATGTGTAATAGGGAGACTATATAGGTTATATATCTATCTATATTGGTTATATATCAGGGATGTTATATAATATGCTTTACATAACAAACTGTGTTCTACCTAATCCTTTGCTGTACCGACCTTACCGGAGCCACACTCCGTTCCGTCCATCCGGGGCGCCCTCTGTGACGCACATCCCGCCCTTGGGGGCGTAGCACACTAGCACACTGCACTCGTCCTGCGGGGAGAGAGATGTAGCGTGACTCACCCTACCATCGGGTGTCAGTGTACATGATTTTACCACTAGCAGGTACCTTATTGCTGATCCTGAACCAGCATCGTTCAAATGCGAATCTGGGACTAAATCCGGCAGATCGTAACCCTGCCAACAGGGCTATGTTTGTACTTACCCCGTTGTAGCGTTTAGTAAAGTCAGTGTTGGGGCAGTTCTTGGAGGGGTTACCGTACGCCATCTTGCACTGGGCGTCCCCGTCATAGATGATCCCTGGTAGGTCGTTCACGAGTTTTAACGTCGTCCCTGTAGGAAGGTCGTCGAGACAGGAGGACTGGGCTCTCCTACGTGAGGAGAAAGGTCTACTGCCACCAGATTCATATTTGGATCACCGAGAAAATAGTGCTCAGAAGATTGCGAGGATGTTGTGATGTCATATATATGTATTTAATTTCCATAATTTGTCCCATCCCCTGCAGCCTAGACTGCCAGTCAACATGAAGATCGTTCGACCGAAACACTGTCTTCATCTCAGTCATATAGTTTTCGGTATTAAGTTAAGTTACTGACAAGAGGCATGAACATTACCCACATCTGTGCCCCCCGGGTTCACCGTTTGTTGAAACCTTCTGCAGTCAATCATTGCAGTCAACTGACGCTATTTGGAATCTGCGACGAAGCAGCTTTTATGACAAGTTTTCTGGTTTCTTTTCCCGCCATGACAATGTTGTGTGTAGCTGGGGTACTTACTTCAGGAAACGACTGACCGCCTCACCGCTGCAGGATGACCATATGAACGCCGCCGGCCCGCCCCCGCCACCAGGCGCCATGATGTTGCTGCTGGCGTTGCAGCTGTTACCGTCACCGTCGTGGTTAACGCCGAGGCTTCAAACAGATGAAAGTGGCACTGCAGTCCAGATACCAGCCTGACCTTTACGGGAGTCTCGGTATTGGCAGTTCAGTTCAGCCACAACAACATGTGATATGCATTCAACAAAGATCAAGATGACAACATACTCAAGTGACCTTTACCGTAAAAACGTATTTAAACGTGCAATGAATCGGGACAGACGCATGGATATACATGTCTGGATGATAATGTTTCAGTTGTTTGTGTCCCGTCTAGTCTACTCCACTAACACGTGTCCCGTCTATTCTAATCTACCAAAATGTGTTCCGTCTAGTCTACTCCATCAACATGTGTCCCGTCTACTCTACTCTACCAATATGTGTCACGTGCCCCTACGTCACACATGTAACGTCTACTCTACCCACCTGTGTCGTATCTCGAGTGCGTCTACCCACCTGTGTCGTATCTCGTGTGCGTCTACCCCCCTGTGTCCTATATCGTGTGCGTCTATCCATCTGTGTCCTATCTCGTGTGCGTCTATCTATCTGTGTCTTATCTCGAGTGCGTATACCCACCTGTGTCCTATCTCGTGTGCGTCTACCCACCTGTGTCCTATCTCGTGTGCATCTACCCACCTGTGTCCTATCTCGTGCGCGTCTACCCCCCCTGTGTCCTATCTCGAGTGCGTCTACCCCCATGTGTCCTATATCGTGTGCGTCTACCCACCTGTGTCCTATCTCGTGTGCGTCTACCCACCTGTGTCCTATCTCGTGTGCGAGAGTGAGTCCCAGGTCGAGCCCCGTGTCCTGGTTGTAGGAACACCGCTGCATATTGATGCAGGCTCCCCCTATGATGGCCAAACCCTCCGTGCCCTCGGTCCCGTGACTGTGGATGTCCAGGCTGTGGAGAGATTCAGGGGACAGAATATATGAGCTAGACTGACGTAAAAAAAGAAAGTACACACCAGATGCTTTGGGGCTGTTTTCCTAAAAGCAGCATTATTAAAATTGTCCTGATTGTGACTTACTAGACCATTATGTATGTGTTGCCAAAACACAAAAGATATCGCTCCCAATTGCGACGTTGCCAGAGCCTCACGTACCCGGTCGAACGTACACGATACAGACGATGTTGACGGACTAATGAAATACACAGAAATTGTCGATAGACCCGGCTGCCCACATCATGCAGTTGTCTCATCACGCTGTTCCTGCTGATGCGGTGACATAACGCTTTATTGTTGACGTCACTGTGAGCAGTCGGTTGCGCAGTCAGGCAGTGCTCAGGCGTTGTAACACTCACAATATGTCTCAGCTACTCACCATATGTCTCTGCTATTCACCATATGTCTCAGCTACTCACTATGTGCCTCAGCTACTCACTATGGGTCTCAGCTACTCACCATGTCTCAGCTACTGGCAATATGTCTCAGCTACTGACCGCGTGTTTCAGCTACTGACCATATGTTTCAGCTACTGGTCGTGTGTCTCAGCTACTGGCCATATGTCTCAGCTACAGACCATGTGTCTCAGCAACTGACAATATGTCTCAGCTACTGACAGTGTGACTCAGCTACTGACCGTGTTCATATGTCTCAGCTACTGACAGTGTGACTCAGCTACTGACCGTGTGTCTCAGTTACTGACCATATGTCTCAGCTACTGACAGCGTGCCTCAGCAACTTACCATATCTCTCAGCTACTCGCCGTGTGCCTCAGCTACTGACCATATGTTTCAGCTACTGACCGTGTGCCTCAGCTACTGGCCATATGTCTCAGCTACTGGCCATATGTCTCATCTACTGGCCATATGTCTCAGCTACTGACCGTGTGTCTCAGCTACTGACCGTGTAAGAAGAATGGAGACATCTGCATGCTGTGGGTTGCTGTCATCATCAGGGTTGAGGCCCTCCTGCCATTTGCAGAAGGAGTTGAGAGTATACTCGGCGTCCGTTGTAACCTCAAGGTCCGGCTGGGGAGACAACACAGGCACGTTAGATATAGCTCAGAGACGCATTGAAGATGACACACTGACACATGCGATATAACACAGACACATGGGATATAACACAGACATATGGGATATAACACAGACACATGGGAAATCATACAGACACATGAGATATAACACAGACACATGAGATATAACACAGACACATGGGATATAACACAGACACATGGGATATAACACAGACACATGAGATATAACACAGACACATGGGATATAACACAGACACATGGGAAATCATACAGACACATGAGATATAACACAGACACATGGGATATAACACAGACACATGAGATATAACACAGACACATGAGATATAACACAGACACATGAGATATAACACAGACACATGGGATATAACACAGACACATGGGATATAACACAGACACATGAGATATAACACAGACACATGGGATATAACACAGACACATGCGATATAACACAGACACAGACACAGTCATATAACACAGACACATGAGATATAACACAGACACACATGAGATATAACACAGACACATGAAATAACACAGACACATGAGATATAACACAGACACATGGGATATAACACAGACACATGAGATATATGGATATAACACAGACACATGACATAACACAGACACATGGGATATAACACAGACACATGCGATATAACACAGACACATGAGATATAACACAGACACATGGGATATAACACAGATATATACAGACACATGCGATATAACACAGACACATGAGATATAACACAGACATATGGGAAATCATACAGACACATGAGATATAACACAGACACATGAGATATAACACAGACACATGAGATATAACACAGACATATGGGAAATCAAAAAGACATGGGATATAACACAGACACATGCGATATAACACAGACACATGAGATATAACACAGACATATGGGAAATCATACAGACACATGAGATATAACACAGACACATGAGATATAACACAGACACATGCGATATATAACACAGACACATGAGATATAACACAGACACATGGGAGATCATACAGACACATGAGATATAACACAGACATATGGGAAATCATACAGACACATGAGATATAACACAGACACATGCGATATAACACAGACACATGAGATATAACACAGACACATGGGAGATATAACACAGACACATGAGATATAACACAGACACATGAGATATAACACAGACACATGGGATATAACACAGACACATGCGATATAACACAGACACATGAGATATAACACAGACATATGGGAAATCATACAGACACATGATATAACACAGACACATGAGATATAACACAGACATATGAGATCATGAGACACATGAGATATAACACAGACATATGGGATATCACAGACAGACATGAACACAGACATATGGGATATATACACATGGGATATAACACAGACATATGAGAAATATATCATACAGACACATGATATATAACACAGACACATTGAGATATAACACAGACACATGGGAAATCACACAAAATACGGGAGGGTTATAACACACACAAGATTATGCGCCCACTATGAGCTCTTACCGCTACTCATGCCAAGTCTCGAGTTCTAATAGAACAATACGCTGTGAAACATAGCCCCTGACCTTGGTACAAAGTAAAGGCACGTTACTCAGATCAGGAAATCTACAACGACAAACTGGTGGCCCTCGCTACACACACCGACACGTATCAGTCACAGAATACAGTCAAACTACTGCCCCCAGAAAACATCTGATGGTTGTTTCAAAGCAGTTTTTGTGCTGCTGTTTGCATTATTCCCGCCATGTGATAGAGCAAACACGACCAAGCACCAGAATAAACAATTACATTTATAACAGTGATATCAACTGGCGTACCTCCTGTTTCTGTATGTTCGTCATGGTGACGACAGACAGTCGGATGTCATGGCCGAGGGAACTGTCGCGAAACCTCAGCGCCGCCTGGTGGGAAGAAAAGACAACACCGTGAACCCACCCAGAGAGTAAAGATTAATGTGATGCAGCTCCAACATAGCTCTTGAGACATACTAACCAGAAGCCAAATTGAGAGTCCGATTGTTAATTAACGTATAGCAAAGCAAATCTAATGAAGCGCACGTACGTATAGTGAAGCGTACGTACAATATTGAGAGCGGTCAAGACGTATTCCTGCAGGTCGTTTCCGTGGAACTTGAACATCTCTGGGTCAGTCACCACCATCAGTTCTAGGTACTTGGTCTCCGTTGACCTTCGTGACCTTCCTACCTTGACCTCCACATCATCTGGCACAGGGCTGCCTGTAAACAGGACCACAGGTTCAACGATACCCGCACCGGGTAATATTTAACAAATACACTTCTACGGGGCTACAGCGAACGGTATTTCCTCTCTGAGATGCCAAAGTTAACACGATTAATCACAGGAACAAAACAAATTAAAAAAAAACCCGACGTTATCGTTGACCCTAATTAACAATCCCCGTTCTGGGCTAACTTACGTGTTGTTGTGTTGATACACGTTATCATTAAAGCAGAAGATAGAAAGTTCCAAGACGGTTTACGATAAGGTTAAATATCTCTTCCTAATTACGTCAACCTAGTTTGTGATTATAGTAAACCACATGGAATAATATGATCGTTGCATTTTATTGCTAACATAACTTTAGATCAAGTTGGCTAGTCACGGAAGGCAATGTGGGACTGTGGAAATAGACCTCGTTTGCGACCATTGCCATGTCTCTGTCAATTATAAGTCAAGCTGATGCATTTTTTCGTCTAAAACGTTAAACGTAATGTTTCCACCTCTGATGTTGGCCGACTGAGGCAACTGCAAACCCTGAAACAGGTGCTAACCGAACTAGGTACACTATAGGAGGCTGTACTAAGCGCTGACGTGAATTGTGACGTCAGTTATTTTGCGTACGTTTGATTACGAGGGCGCAGAGTAGATTGGCTTAGTGACGTCAATTCAGTGTGACGAGTATTTATCGCCTGATAAAATACTGTCAGCGGCCTTTTATCTTGTAGCAAAATATCTTAGAATGTATCCATTACCTGTCTGTCTAGACTGTGACTCTTGTGACCGGTGAGGTTCTACAAGACAATACTGGGAGTCAAGATGCACTTACCAGAAACTCCACAGAACCGTTTAGACGACGTCCTTTTGTACACGATGTGTGGGTGTTCGCCTGTGGCGTCACGCCGCAAGCGCGGCACGTGGTGATGACGTATCGGCACGACCATAAGGTCATGGTCACGTGTGCTGACAATACCATGCTGTAAAGTATGACATACTGACGATGTATACACCGTGTGGGATGTGTATAGCTGGGTTTGTGTGTAATGTTTGCTTTGTTTGTTTGTTTGTTTGTTTGTTAGTTGCTTAATACATCGCTCAGCAATCTTCCAGTTATATGGTGGTCGTCTGTAAATATTCGAGTCTGGACCAGACAATCCAGTGATCAACAGCATGAGCATCGAACTACGCAATTAGAATACAATGTCATGTGTCAACCAAGTCAGTGAGCCTGACCACCCGATCCCGATAGTCGCCTCTAACGACAAGCATGGGTGGCTAAGACCAATTGCAGTGTATGAAATAAGGCCCGCCCGAGACGGGCTAGGTTTCTGCCGGACGGTCTAATTTTACAGCTAGCCAGCCCGATGGACGGGTGGAAAAAATATTCAGTTAACGTGTCCATTGGCACTGTCTATATAGTATTTAAGAGGGACTGGTTAAATCTCTTCTGGGCTGTAAGTTGTTGAAGCTACCAGCCCAGATGTCTGGCTGGGTTTTGGGCTTATTTCATACACTTCCAATTGTTACCCGGATCTTCACGGGTTTATATGTAATGGAGACCAGTAGATTTATCTAACTGTTCTCGTTTCACCAATAAATTATTATAAACATCGTACCAGTCCCTGACAGATGCTGACGGCGACGGTGGAGCCGTTATGGTAAACTGACGTCCCGTGGTAGTAGCAGCGTTTGGCTGAGCAGGCGTGGACGAGTGCTGTATCATTGGCCCTCGGTGTCCTTACAACACACCCTGAAACACAAATCACTTCATACTGTGGACCCTGACAAAACCGACTTCGGCTCTATACAGATGATGACCAAAGGTCATTCTCCATACATGTATGCTACAGACTGAAATCTATAAGAAGTTTATATTTGATTATTGTCCAGACAAAGGTCGTCCATGGCGAACGGGGTAGGTCAACGCGCCGATTGTGATACAGGTAGGTGAATGTCTTCAGGCTCTAGTGTCCAACTGTTGGTGGCCATTCCCGACCCGGGTCTTCACAGGTTCAGTATTCATTACGTACTCAGACATTGTAGATGCATCCTCTCATTTCCTCTAGATACCCATGAAGATCCGGGCCAGAGTTTCTCTTCAGCGTTTGTCGAAAGCTGTTCAGGCTTGTTGACTTGTTTCATGCATGTCATCGTATTCCGATGAAAATTTCTTCTAGGGTCCAGACTCGATATTGACAGACCGCTGTCATAAACATAGCATAATGCTCAGTGCGGCGTTAAACAACAAACAAACACATCATATCTACTGGGACTCACCAGGGGCCGTCAGTTGGTCGTTGTGTGTGAGCTGAAGGCGGTAGTCTTCTCCCAGGGCGTGTATTTCATACATCACCTGCCCATGGGTACTATTGGGGGACCGGATGCCACGCCCACTAACACGCTGGGGGATTATGACGTCATACACAGGGACTGAAATAAAGAGGTGTATTGGTTGGAATGTGTTATTACGGCGGGTATTGTATCTCAGTTATCTGTTCTGTTACGGGCAAGGCGTAAGAATCCGGCAAGTCACGTCGACATGATGCTACCGACGGTGTCATGTTACCGGAGGCGCTATGTTTCAGACGGTGTGATCTTACCGTCGACGTCATGTTACCGGTGACGTCATGTTACCGGCGACGTAATGTTACCGACGGTGTGATGTTACCGTTGACGTCATGTTACCTACGGTATGATCTTACCGTCGACGTCATGTTACCGACAACGTGATGTTACCAACCGTGTGATGTTACCGTCGACGTCATGTTACCGGCGGTGTGATGTTACCGTCGACGTCATGCTACTGACGGTGTGATGTTACCCTCGACGTGATGCTACCGACGGTATCATGTTATCGTCGACGTGATGCTACCGACGGTGTGATGTTACCTTCGAGGTGATGCTACCGACGGTTTGATGTTACCGTCGACGTGATGCTACCGACAGTTGATGTACGTTTGATGTTGCCGTGAACCCACTAAGAAAACATCACTTTGGATTTAAGGCAGTCTGAATGTTCTATGAATGTTGTGTCTTTTCGGACATGCAAAATCGTTGATGGCCTTGACAATGGGTTTTGAATGTTCTGAACTGTCTTACAAGCTCACAAAAACAACAATGAGCTTTACACGGCACCCTGTATCGTTTTCTGGATGCTTGTCATCTGAGAAAAACATTACTTGGCCTTTTTACGGTAACCGGCATGTGTTCTGAATGCCCTCTGTCTGCGATCACACAAAACACACCCCTGTGCCTTCACGTTGACCAAGTTCTACTACAGATTTGAGGGTTCGTACCCCGTGATCAAGACAGTGATTGTGACAACATGTGCAGCGATGAACAACGAGATTCTGACAATGATGATGATGATGATGATGATGATGATTCGATAGTCTACATGCACTCACCTTGTTCTTCGTGTCGGGTTCCAAAGTAGTGCAGCAGGTCATCTGGCTCCATGTCCGTGTGAAACTGTAACACGTACACTGACACGTCACAACACGAACACAGACCGGTCAAACTACGCACCCAGACACGTCCCACTACGTACCCAGACGTCCCACTACGTACCCTACACGTCACACTACGTACACAGACACGTCACACTACGTACACAGACATCAAACTAGGCACCAAGACACGTAACAACGCGAACCCAGACACGTAACACTACGTTCCCAGACACGTCACACTACGGTCCCAGACCCGTCCTACTACGTACCCAGACACGTCATACTACGTACCCAGACCCGTCACACTACGTACTCAGACCCGTCACACTACGTACCCTGACATATCACACTACGTACCCAACACGTCACAATACGTACCCTGACATATCACACTTAGTACACAGACCCGTCACACTACGTACCCAGACACATCACACTACGTACAAAGACACATCACACTACGTACACTGACATATCACACTACGTACACAGACACATCACACTACGTACAAAGACACATCACACTACGTACCCTGACATATCACACTACCTACCCAGACACGTCACACTACGTACCCAACACATCACACTACGTACCCTGACATATCACACTACGTGCAGACACATCACACTACCTACCCAGACACGTCACACAACATACCCAGACACGTCACACTACGTACCCAAACACGTCACACTACATACCAAGACACATCACACCACGTTCCCAGACACTTCACACTACGTACCCTGACATATCACACTACGTACCCAGACACATCACGCTACGTACTCAGACACATCACATTACTCGCACAGACACGTCACACTACGTACCCAGACACATCACACTACGTACCTAGACACATCACACTACGTACACAGACACATCACACTACGTGCAAAGACCCATCACACTACGTACCCAACACGTCACACTACGTACCCAGACACATCACACTACGTACCCTGACATATCACACTACGTACCCTGACATATCACACTACGTGCACAGACCCATCACACTACGTACCCAACACGTCACAATACGCACCCAGACTCATCACACTACGTACCTAGACATATCACACTATGCACCCAGACACGTCACACTACTCGAACAGACACGTCACACTACTTACACAGATACATAACACTACGTACCCAGACACATCACACTACGTACCCAGACACATCACACTACGTACACAGACCCATCACACCACGTGCACATACCCATCACACTACGTACCCAACACGTCACACTACGTGCCCAGACATATCACATTACGTGCACAGACATATCACACTACGTACCCTGACATATCACACTACGTACCCTGACATATCACACTACGTACCCAGACATATCACACTACGTACCCTGACATATCACACTACGTGCACAGACCCATCACACTACCTACACAGACATATCACACTACTTACACAGACACGTCACACTACTTACACAGATACATCACACTACGTACCCAAATACGTCACACTACGTACCCACACACGTCACACTACGTACCAGACATATCACACTACGTACACAGACACGTCACACTACGTACACAGACACGTCACTACTTGCACACAGATATGTCACACTACGTACCCAGACATATCACACTACGTACCCAGACATATCACACTACGTACCCAGACATATCACACTACGTACCCAGACACATCACACTACCTACACAGACATATCACACTACTCGCACACAGACCCATTACACTATGTACCCAGACACATCACACTACCTACCCAGACATATCACACTACGTACACAGACCCATTACACTACGTACCCAGACCCGTCACACTACTCGCACACAGACACGTCACACTACTCGCACACAGACACGTCACACTACTCGCACACAGACACGTCACACTACGCACACAGACACGTCACACTACGCACACAGACACGTCACACTACGTACCTAGAACCGTCACACTACGTACCTAGAACCGTCACACTACGTACCTAGAACCGTCACACTACGTACCCAGACATGTCAAACTACGTTCCAAGACACGTTGGGATTTGTTTAAAATCTCATAATTGATGATTGGTTCATTACAACTAATCAATCTTCGAAGGCAATTGGTTTGCGTCATTTATCATATTTTCCTGGTTGTTTGTTAATTCACACAAAAAAAACGAAAAAACATGTTATTCCTTCGTGTGTTTCTTGCAAATAACACAAAATGCATTTGCAAATTTCAAATCTTTAGGAACATAAATTTACTGGAGTCTTTAAGATAAATTCAATCATGACTTGGAACGAGCTTGTAGCGCTAATGAAATGTAACAAAATAAACCAAGCTTGTGAAAATATTGTTAATGCAAACAAGTGTTCAAAAATTGCTTGAGTTCGATTATGAGAAAACATGATCGATTGCTTGGTCGTTTAGTCATTGCGACCAATCTTCGATTATTTCAATTAATCAGACCACTACAGTCATGTCACACTACATACCCAGACGCGCGCGTTATTACACGTATATAGACACTTCACACTACCTACCCAGACACGTCACTACCCGCACACAGACGCGTTATAACACATATATAGACACGTCACAACACGTACTCAAACACGCAAGCCGACACGTCACAATACGCACTGACACATGTCACAACAGTTAAGCAGACAGGTCCAGACAATACCTATACAACATAGCATATTGATTTTGGGGTTGTTTTTATTAGCATGACATTTATTTATTAGAAGCACGTTTACCTCTTTTCTATACATGATAGTTTGTTAAATAGTTTTGTGTCAATATATTAAAGACGGGTCACATTAACAAAACTTTTTAGATATCTCTACCATATCTCCTAGGTATCATATCACCCACCCACCCACCCACGGTTTTGCAATTCTAACGTTAAATAAAATATAATGATTTTGACATGTTAATATAGACAAATAATATTAAACAGGTAATAGCGAAATAATACATTCATCGAACATGATTTTGTTCGAACGACATCATCGATGTTGACTTGTGGACTTGTCCTCTGTAAGGACATCGACGACACGCTGGAAGAGGACATATCTTTGTAGCATGCTGATAAAGTCCATCTGACGTCACAATAGCTGATGACCGCGTTGCATGCTGATTCTCTCCGTGCAGCCATCAGTCGAGGAACTGGATAATTGGAACTGGCAGTTGTAGAAACTACCATCTGACGTGGTCGCATGAATCCTAGGTGAACTCAAGGTCACTATGACGTGGTTCAATAGTTTGATTGTACAGAACGGTCTCGTTCATTACTTCAGGTTTGACTGGATTTATCCCGTAGGTATGTTGTATCATAGGCACAGGGTCGCCAACATCAACATCATGACACGCTAAATCTGTACGGTCAGGTACATCCGGAAACAAGTGTGCAAACTCTTGATTAACTCCGAAAGTTGAACTTAGGTCCCAGTTAGTCTAAATTAACTCCAAAAGTTTAACTTTCGTCCCAGTCAGTCTAAATTAACTCCGTGAGTTGAACTTTCGTCCCAGTAAGTCTTAATTAACTGCGTGAGTTGAACTTTCGTCCTAATCAGTTTAAATTAACTCCGTGAGTTGAACTTTCGTCCCAGACAGTCTAAATTAACTCCGTGAGTTGAACTTTCGTCCCAGTCAGTCTAAATTAACTCCGTGAGTTGAACTTTCGTCCCAGTTAGTCTAAATTAACTCCGTGAGTTGAACTTTCGTCCCAGTTAGTCTAAATTAACTCCAAAAGTTGAACTTTCGTCCCAGTCAGTCTAAATTAACTCCGTGAGTTGAACTTTCGTCCCAGTCAGTCTTAATTAACTCCGTGAGTTGAACTTTCGTCCCAGTTAGTCTAAATTAACTCCGTGAGTTCAACTTTCGTCCCAGTTAGTCTAAATTAACTCCGTGAGTTGAACTTTCGTCCCAGTCAGTCTAAATTAACTCCGAAAGTTGAACTTTCGTCCCAGTCAGTCTAAATTAACTCCGTGAGTTGAACTTTCGTCCCAGTCAGTCTAAATTAACTCCGTCTTTCGTCCCAGTCAGTTCTAAATTAACTCCGTCAGTTGAACTTTCGTCCCAGTCAGTCTAAATTAACTCCGTGAGTTGAACTTTCGTCCCAGTCAGTCTAAATTAACTCCGTCAGTTGAACTTTCGTCCCAGTCAGTCTAAATTAACTCCGAAAGTTGAACTTTCGTCCCAGTCAGTCTAAATTAACTCCGTGAGTTGAACTTTCGTCCCAGTAAGTCTAAATTAACTCCGTCAGTTGAACTTTCGTCCCAGTCAGTCTAAATTAACTCCGTTGAACTTTCGTCCCAGTTAGTCTAAATTAACTCCGTCAGTTGAACTTTCGTCCAAGTTAGTCTAAATTAACTCCGGAAGTTGAACTTTCGTCCCAGTCAGTCTAAATTAAGTCCGTGAGTTGAACTTTCGTCCCAGTCAGTCTTAATTAACTCCGAAAGTTGAACTTTCGTCTCAGTAAGTCTAAATTAACTCCGTGAGTTGAACTTTCGTCCCAGTTAGTCTAAATTAACTCCGTGAGTTGAACTTTCGTCCCAGTTAGTCTAAATTAACTCCGTGAGTTGAACTTTCGTCCCAGTCAGTCTAAATTAACTCCGTGAGTTGAACTTTCGTCCCAGTCAGTCTAAATTAACTCCGAAAGTTGAACTTTCGTCCCAGTTAGTCTAAATTAACTCTGTGAGTTCAACTTTCTCGTCCCAGTCAGTCTAAATTAACTCCGTGAGTTGAACTTTCGTCCCAGTTAGTCTAAATTAACTCCGTGGAGTTGAACTTTCGTCCCAGTCAGTGTAAATTAACTCCGTGAGTTGAACTTTCAAAGTTAAATTAACTCCGTGAGTTGAATTTTCGTCCAAGTCAGTCTAAATTAACTCCGTGAGTTGAACTTTTCGTCCCAGTTAGTCTAAATTAACTCCGTGAGTTGAACTTTCGTCCCAGTTAGTCTAAATTAACTCCGTGAGTTGAACTTTCGTCCCAGTTAGTCTAAATTAACTCCGTGAGTTGAACTTTCGTCCCAGTCAGTCTAAATTAACTCCGTCAGTTGAACTTTCGTCCCAGTCAGTCTAAATTAACTCCGTCAGTTGAACTTTCGTCCCAGTCAGTCTAAATTAACTCCAAAAGTTGAACTTTCGTCCCAGTTAGTCTAAATTAACTCCGTGAGTTGAACTTTCGTCCCAGTCAGTCTAAATTAACTCCGTCAGTTGAACTTTCGTCCCAGTCAGTCTAAATTAACTCCGAAAGTTGAACTTTCGTCCCAGTTAGTCTAAATTAACTCCGTGAGTTGAACTTTCGTCCCAGTCAGTCTAAATTAACTCCGTCAGTTGAACTTTCGTCCCAGTCAGTCTAAATTAACTCCGTCAGTTGAACTTTTGTCCCAGTCAGTGTAAATTAACTCCGTGAGTTGAACTTTCGTCCCAGTCAGTCTAAATTAACTCCTAAATTTCGTCATAGTCAGTCTCTGTATCAAGTCCTCATGAAATGTTTAAACTGATGACACCTCTGTAAAGCTCAGTGAGTGAGTGAGTATAGTTTTACGCCGCTTGTAGCAATATTCCAGCAATATCACGGTGGAGGACACCAGAAATGGGCTTCACACACTGTACCCATGTGGGGAATCAAACCCGGGTCTTTGGCGTGACGAGCGAACGCTTTAACCACTGGGCTACCCAACCGTCCCGCAGAGCTCAGTGAGATGCATGATGATGTACACTAGACTGAACCTAGTTATTCAAAGTCTATTGGAAAATATCCAACACCACATTTAAGCTCTGATCTGACTCAATAGCAAATCCTTGATAGAAACCTGTAATTTCCCGTAAAGGAATTGACTCTCGACAAATTGTGGAAGAGCATATGACTGTAAGAATGTTCTGATTACCTAGCGGGCTTTAGGCAAAGGACCAACACAATCAGTTGGTGAGTGAGTGAGTGAGTTTAGCTTTACGCCGCACTCAGTAATTTTCCAGCTACATGTATACTAGCCACATAAAGAAACTGTGCATTGTCAAAATATTATCCCAGTTGATAAGTACGATAACAATGTCAAAGGTACATATAAACTTTAATGGAGGGATCATGAGACCATAACAAGTCGGGAGAATTTCCATTGAAAAGTCAATCACAATGACGTCACGAGTCCACAAGCGGGACAGGGGTCAAACGACCATGTCACAAGCTCAATAACGGGTATGTCCACCATCGGCATTGAGAACAGCAGTGCATCGACGACGCATAGAGTCTATCAAACGTGCAAGGAAGGCTTGTGGGATGTCACGCCAGATTCTCTCAAGTTCTGTTGCAAGGTCAAGGACGTTATCTGGCGGATGAGGAAGACGGCGTTGACGTCGATCCATCTCGTCCCAAACATGCTCTATCGGGGAGAGATCCGTTGAATTTGCAGGCCAAGGCAGTACGTCAACGTTGTGGTGTTGCAAGAAATCCATAGCAACCCTTGCCGTATGAGGGCGGGCATTGTCCTGTTGGAATGTTAACCCAGGGCCATGACGTTGCAGAAAAGGAATTGCCACAGGTCGAAGAATCTGATCCCTGTAGCCCACACCAGTTAAGTTGCCCTGAACAATCACCAAAGGAGTTCTTTGGCGTGCTGTTATTCCACCCCAAATCATCACGGAACCACCACCAAAGCGATTCCTCTCCAAGACACAGGCCTATGCATAACGTTCTCCCACGCGTCTATAGGCACGTTGACGTCCATCATTTTGGTAAATGTTAAACCTGGACTCATCTGTAAAAACAACATTTCTCCACCAAAACAAGGGTCATGATTTCGGCACCACATTCGGCGAGCTTGTCGATGACGTTGTGTCAGGATAGGCCGTATGGCGGGACGTCGTGGTCTTGTCCCGTGATGACGTTTACGTTGTCGAACTGTGTTGGGGTGGATACGGCGAAGTCCTGGGATGGTTCGGGCAGTCATCACTGCAGTCTGAAACCTGTGGCGAAGATGGGTCACCCTTATCCATCTGTCCTGTCTTGGCGTTGTTACACAACGTCCAGGCCGCCGATCGATGACGTCATTTGTGTTCTGGTAGCGTCTCACCAGTGCAGAAATGGTGTTCCGGTGGCAGTGGAAATGTGCAGCCACTTGTCGTTGAGACATTCCCCCACGGACCATCCCAATGGCCTCATGACGTTGTGCAGACGTGAGCCTGGGGCATGCTATGCGTTTCAATAGCCGTTTAATTTTTGAACGATCGCAAGGGCAGGGGTTGAGCTTTCCAAAGTGACAGTATTGTGTGGCATTCATTTGCTGTTTCTCTTTCCCGGAATGCACGTGCAACAACGTATTGCACGTCTCAAGGACGAACCCACTGACGTCACGGAACGTGGCACGTGCATGCATGTTGGATACATGTCACTAATCTCTGAGTTTAAATCCTTATGTGTCTACACAGGTTTGATAAATTTAGATTTTAAATTTTTGTAGGCACAGTTTCTTTATGTGCCTAGTATATATGGCGACGGTCTGTAAATAATCGTGTCTGAACCAGACAATCCAGTGATCAACAACATGAGCATCGTCATACGCAATTGGGATACGATGACATGTGTTAACCAAGTCTGTGAGCCGAGATTTCTCTTTCCGAGATTTCCATACTATGTTGGGCTAGTCTATAGCTGATCTACAGCGCGTGGCCATATCATTACGTACAATTGTAGCGGTGTTGATACCGTGTATAGCGATGCCCGTTTTTAAAATACTGCTACTCAAAAACGACACCTAATATCGTCGTAATATTTTGTCACATGATCGACCATGATGTCACGTGTCTGTCACGTGACTATTCTTAATCAACTTGTCGTCTGCTACATATTCTGGTTATTTCCGGCAACAATGGGGAAATCGGCTGATTTGTCGGAGTCACTTAAGAAATTAATTGTAAAAAAGTTTCAAAGTGGCGAAAAATGTTCTAACATTGCAATATTCTTTGGAATGCCTCGAAGCAGCGTATATTCGGTGGTAAAGCGATTTAATCAACGTGGATCAGTCGAGAATGTTCTCAGAACAGGCCGTATGAGAAAACTGACTCCTCGGGACAATCGACAACTTTTGAGGTTGGTCAGAGACAATAGGATTTCACCTTTGGGTGAAATAACTGAGAATTTGAGCAACAATAGGGCTACACGTGTATCGGTGAGGACTGTAAGGAGACGATTATATGAAATAAGTTTCTTAAACGTGTTGTTAGAAAGAAAATCCGATATTATGGCAGAATAGTAGTTAGCTAAATTTTAAAATATTTGGTTTTTATAAAGGAAGCTGGTATATACATTGATCTTTCTTTTCTAAAATGTGTGCATTTAAGAATATAATGAAACTCATCACCTACATCATTTATTCAACATAATTTACATTTTCTTACATTTATTGGTAATTGGTATCCTGTTCCATCTTCCTTTCTCAACTGGTAAATGGTGCCATTAAAGGATAGGGACGTTAGATAATTTTTCTTATTCAATTGAGATCCAGATACAGCTGTGAACACCTTCATTTTGAAGATTATTAGATGGACTGTTTGTCAATAATTTAGACCAAAAGGTTAACATACGAATTTTAACATCAACAGATAATACGACTATGGGAACATGTATATACCTTGACACTACAGGGAACATGTGTATACCTTAAGACTTTAGAGAACATGTATATACCTTAAGACTTCAGGGAACATGTATATACCTTAACACTTCAGGGAACATGTATAAACCGTAAGACATTAGGGAACATATATATACCTTAAGACTTCAGGGAACATGTATACACCTTAACACTTCAGGGAACATGTATATACCTTAATACTACAGGGAACATGTATATACCTTAACACTTCAGGGAACATGTATATACCTTAAAACTTTAGGGAACATGTATATACCTTAACACTTCAGGGAACATGTATATACCTTAACACTTCAGGGAACATGTATAAACCTTAAAACTTTAGGGAACATGTATATACCTTCACACTACAGGGAACATGTATACACCATAACACTTCAGGGAACATGTATATACCTTAACACTTCAGGGAACATGTATACACCTTAAAACTTTAGGGAACATGTATACACCTTCACACTACAGGGAACATGTATACACCTTAACACTTTGTAACACTTCAGGGAACATGTAAAACCTTTTTTAGGGAACATGTATATACCTTAACACTTCAGGGAACATGTATACACCTTAACTTCAGGGAACATGTATACACCTTAACACTTCAGGAACATGTATACACCTTTGTAACACTTAACACTTCAGGGAACATGTATACACCTTTACACTTCAGGGGAACATGTATACACCTTAACACTTCAGGGAACATGTATACACCTTAACACTTCAGGGAACATGTATACAAATCTTTACACTTCAGGGAACATGTATACACCTTAATACTTCAGGGAACATGTATACACCTTAACACTTCAGGGAACATGTATATACCTTAACACTTCAGGGAACATGTATACACCTTAACACTTCAGGGAACATGTATACACCTTAACACTTCAGGGAACATGTATACAGGGGAACATGTATACACCTTAACACTTCAGGAACATGTATACAACACTTCAGGGAACATGTGTATACACTTAACACTTCAGGGAACATGTATATGTACCTTAACACTTCAGGGAACATGTATACACCTTAACACTTCAGGGAACATGTATACACCTTAACACTTTAACACTTCAGGAACATGTATGCACCTTAACACTTCAGGGAACATTTACACCTTAACACTTTTAACACTTCAAGGAACATATATATCTTAACACTTCAGGGAACATATATACCTTAACACTATACTACCTGCTTCACACATCCACGTCTACACACGGACGTCCACTGCCCTGGCTGAAAAAACAAATGACATGTTCCCCTCAGCCATTCACTCACACATACCTGAGACAGAGCTCCACCTGTACTGAACATCACACACAGAACACACACAACTGATGAAGGACCGCGCATCGTGGGGCCAGTGTCTCAGTCGTGAGAGAAACAACAGCTGACTGCCTCCTGTCCCAGTTGAGACACTTCTGGCTGGTGACGTATCTCTAGCTCTCATCAGCCACCCACCTAGCGACCCGGAACAGTCTTAAAGCTGCAGGGACCATCTTGTTGACTGGAACCGCTTAGGCGGAGGACTATACTGGCTCCAGCTGTTGTCTGGAACCGGTTAGGTTGAGGACTATACTGCCTCCAGCTGTTGACTAGAACCGGTTAGGTTGAGGACTATACTGCCTCCAGCTGTTGACTGGAACCGGTTAGGTTGAGGACTATACTGCCTCCAGCTGTTGTCTGGAACCGGTTAGGTTAAGGACTATACTGCCTCCAGCTGTTGTCTAGAACCGGTTAGGTTGAGGACTATACTGCCTCCAGCTGTTGTCTAGAACCGGTTGTAGGTTGAGGACTATACTGGCTCAGCTGTTGTCTAGAACCAGTTAGGTTGAGGACTATACTGCCTCCAGCTGTTGACTGGAACCGGTGTTGACCAGAGGTTGGGTTAGGACTATACTGCCTCCAGCTGCTTGACTGAACCTGGAACCGGTTAGGTTAGGGACTATACTGCCTCCAGCTGACCGGTTAGGTTAAGGACTGCCTCCAGCTGTTGACCAGAACCGGTTAGGTTAAGGACTATACTGCCTCCAGCTGTTGTCTGGAACCGGTTAGGTTGAGGACTATACTGGAGTTGAGCTGTTGTCTAGAACCGGTTAGGTTAGGACTATACTGGCTCCAGCTGTTGTCTGGAACCGGTTAGGTTAAGGACTATACTGCTTCCAGCTGTTGTCTAGAACCAGTTAGGTTGAGGACTATACTGGCTCCAGCTGTTGTCTGGAACCGGTTAGGTTGAGGACTATACTGGCTCCAGCTGTTGACTGGAACCGGTTAGGTTAAGGACTATACTGCTTCCAGCTGTTGACTGGAACCAGTTAGGTTGAGGACTATTAAGTCTCCTGCTGTTGACAAGAACTCTCTGGCAGGTTTGAGATAAAAAAGGTTAAGGACCATGCGTTGTCCTTCACACATGTATATGCCTGTCCATTTTATTCTGATATTTCCTCTCACATTAAAGGTGACGTTCAGTTACACAGCTGAAATACTGTTAAATCCTTCCCATTCTCACTTTCATGTGTTAATATATTGAGTGACTGAGTGATTTCAACATTATTTAGCACGTCCCTAGCAGGTGTACAGTGGGCGTTACACCTCCTGTAATCGCCCCATGATTTTGTATAGTGTTGATGAAGATGTTAGATGTACAATCGACCCCGAGTTGTGATTTGATCAAGTTTATTTTCAAATAGATCGCCTGCGGGTCGCCTGTATAGAGTCAGCTGCAATGATGTTCATGACTGACAAACAAGTATGCGGCGTTATCAAGTCATTCATTAGCACAACGGCCCGCCTCATCCTCCTGAGACGTAATGTCATACTCATTACTCGTGCACCCGGAGTACGAATCAAAGGTCACCGGAGATGCTAAGGGAAAGATACTGCCTAGTAATGTTTTGATGAACAGTATTTGGAAGACTTAAGTTTTGTGTCTATAGCTTCCTGCCTCACAATCGCTCATGTCCTCCTTGCCTTACTTACTCATCCACTCATCACTCATTCAAATTCCACCCTCTCACTCACTCATTCATCCACCCACTCACTCACTCAAAGAAATCCCTCACGATGAGCGTCACTGTAACTTTATTCTCTTGTTTCCTTAAAGTTCAAATTCCATAGTTTACCTGTGGAGACAAAAGCTATCAGAAGATGTCAAAGAGTTCATTTCTAAAAGCATTAGTTACAAAGGACTATACTGGCTCCAGCTGTTGTCTGGAACCGGTTAGGGTTAAGGACTATACTGCCTCCAGCTGTTGTCTAGAACCAGTTAGGTTAAGGACTATACTGCCTCCAGCTGTTGTCTAGAACCGGTTAGGTTGAGGACTATACTGGCTCCAGCTGTTGTCTGGAACCGGTTAGGTTGAGGACTATACTGCCTCCAGCTGTTGTCTAGAACCGGTTAGGTTGAGGACTATACTGCCTCCAGCTGTTGTCTAGAACCGGTTAGGTTGAGGACTATACTGCCTCCAGCTGTTGTCTGGAACCGGTTAGGTTAAGGACTATACTGCCTCCAGCTGTTGTCTGGAACCGGTTAGGTTGAGGACTATACTGCCTCCAGCTGTTGTCTAGAACCGGTTAGGTTGAGGACTATACTGGCTCCAGCTGTTGTCTAGAACCGGTTAGGTTAAGGACTATACTGCCTCCAGCTGTTGTCTAGAACCGGTTAGGTTGAGGACTATACTGGCTCCAGCTGTTGTCTGGAACCGGTTAGGTTGAGGACTATACTGGCTCCAGCTGTTGACTGGAACCGGTTAGGTTGAGGACTATACTGCTTCCAGCTGTTGACTGGAACCGGTTAGGTTGAGGACTATTATGTCTCCTGCTGTTGACAAGAACTCTCCAGGTTTGAGATAAAAAAGGTTAAGGACCATGCGTTGTCCTTCACACATGTATATGCCTGTCCATTTTATTCTGATATTTCCTCTCACATTAAGGTGACGTTCAGTTACACAGCTGAAATACTGTTAAGTCCTTCCCATTCTCACTTTCATGTGTTAATATATTGAGTGACTGAGTGATTTCAACATTATTTAGCACGTCCCTAGCTTGTGTACAGTGGGCGTTACACCTCCTGTAATCGCCCCATGATTTGTATAGTGTTGATGAAGATGTTAGATGTACAATCGACCCCGAGTTGTGATTTGATCAAGTTTATTTTCAAATAGATCGCCTGCGGGTCGCCTGTATAGGTCAGCTGCAATGATGTTCATGACTGACAAACAAGTATGCGGCGTTATCAAGTCATTCATTAGCACATGGCCCCTCATCCTCCTGAGACGTAATGTCATACCTCATTACTCGTGCACCCGGAGTACGAATCAAAGGTCACCGGAGATGCTAAGGGAAAGACACGAGTAATATTTTTGATGAACAGTATTTGGAAGACTTAAGTTTTGTGTCTATAGCTTCCTGCCTCACAATCGCTCATGTCCTCCCTGCCTTACTTACTCATCCACTCATCACTCATTCATCCACCCTCTCACTCACTCATTCATCCACCCACTCACTCACTCAAGAAATCCCTCACGATGAGCGTCACTGTAACTTTATTTCTGTTTCCTTAAAGTTCAAATTCCATGGTTACCTGTGGAGACAAAGCTATCAGAAGATGTCAAAGAGTTCATTTCTAAAAGCAGCCCAAGATTTACAAGATGAACCATCTTGGTAATGAAAGCACATTACAGGAGAGATAAATCTGAGTTTAATGGCCAGAGCTGGTAAACAAGCCGTGTCGCAACACAACAAGAGGGTGTCGCACAATGACAACATTCCGCAGGCGACGTGGGCATCACTGCGGTGACCTTACCGAGGGACAGAACCCGCGCCCAGCTCCTCGTATGCAGATTTAACATTACATAAGCTAGCACCATTACGATAAACACAATAATCTTCCTATTATCTATCGATAGTTGATCTACCAAAAGCGCGATCCCTGTCTAGCTTCAAACAATCAGCATGTTGTAAACTCTTCTTATCAAAGTACCATGATATACAACACAGCCCTAACTAGCGGTAAATACCTATTTGATCACAGCATCAGCGTAGTTATAAAACCGCTGTGTACAATCCTGCAATATAAACACTTGGGCATTAATTAAGCACTACTTGAATCCAAGGTAAACTTTTTAAATGTGGGTCCACACAGACGATCATACCATGTGATACTGGAATGCACATCTAAAAAGCTATGGGTCGCATGTTCACGCGACGTGATGGCGCCAAGTACCACGAGTTATACATTTCGTAATTTAAGTATGTGCACATTTGTTTTCTGCAATGGTTTAAAGGACTAAAAGTAAATATAGCTGTCATAGAAAGAGAGAGTGAGTGAGTTTAGTTTTACGCCGCTTTTAGCAATATTCAAGCAATATCACGGCGGGGAACACCAGAAATGGACTTAACACATTGTGCCCATGTGGGGAATCGAACCCGGGTTTTCGGCGTGACGAGCGAACGCCTTAACCACTAGGCTACCCCACTGGCCCTGTCATAGAAAGAAGAGAACTTAAAAAAAATGAACGATGGCAAGTTATTGGAAGGCATGGCACAGGGATGTCATGACGCATCATCGGTGCTAACCTCAACAGTAATCATACGAACTAGACAATTTCATTTAGAAAGTTGAATGTAACACAAGTTATATTTGGGATTACACTTTCTCAGTAAAGTTACAGATTCTTGTACTTTTGTTGGGTTTAGTCCCATCTGGGATTCGAACCCACACCCTCAGAGTCAGGCACCTAATCGCCAGCACACAAAGTTAGCCGTCTAACCCACACAGCCATCGCTACTTTCACAGTGGGATGGGACTCAACTCAACAAAGGTACAAGAATCCCAAATATAACATGTGTTACATTAACCATATGGTTATCAGTGGACTAGTGAGGAAGTACTAGGTCAGCGGTAGCTTAAAGGATTGTCCTGCACCTGGAAGACTGGGGAAGACCAATGCCCATGATGATCGAGTCCGGTCTGGCAAGACGCAATCACATGACCCATGCCGAAAAAACTTTCTGGGACACCAGAAATGGGCTTCACACTTTGTACCCATGTGGGGAATCGAGTGAGGGAGTGAGTATGGTCTTACGCCGCTTTTACCAATACTCCAGCAATATCACGGCGGGGAACACCAGAAATGGGCTTTACACTTTGTACCCATGTGGGGAATCGAACCCGGGTCTTCTGCGTGACGAGCGAACGCCTTTTAACCTTTTTTAGCCTTTAACCACTAGGCTACCCCACCGCCCCTATAATGCTGGAACACAACCTGATGTCACAAAGAAGTCAAATACACGCCCATGTTCAGCCTCGTCAGTCCAGCAGTTTTGGAACACATGTGCTCAGGACAAGGCTTCTTGACTACGGAATGATCTAAGCGCAAAGGCCAACATGTAAAGTACCACGAAAAAGAAT